TTCTAATTCAAATGAAAACTCAAATAAAATTCAGCAATTTGGTAAAATAAATGCTTAATTTTATTACTGTTATGTAAATGGCTGAGTAAATAAATATTTTCAACAAAACTTGATTCCTATGATAAATGACATGCCTAATCTCACTCATGTTCAAAATCTTCTACTGACTTATTTTAGTAAAATATTATTATTTTTACTCATTAACAGACATTTCTAGGTAATGTTGATGCCTCGCTAACCAATTAAATATGAAATTAACAGAAAACTCAAATATTGTTAGAAATGTCAAATTATGTAATCAAGGTTATCAATAGATAAGGCCATTTCGAAGTAACGAAAAAAAATTAAGATATTATCTATGATTTTGATTAAATTTTATAGAAACCTTCGAAATGTTTACTATCCATGAGTATGGTCCAGGAGTTAGGACTTAAATTTCAGTCAAACATTATTTATTAGACTATTGATATCCAAGACTTTCTTTAGAATTTAGCACTTCTTATCTCTCGTAATATCTGCTTATCTATAAAAAGTTGAAAGATTCTTTTGCGAAACATCCTTATTAAAATCAAAAGTATGTAGATCGTATAACACCTTCTGTCCTCCTTGTCGTTATGACATAGAACCTCGCAAATGAAAAAAACTAGAAAAAAATAAAAAAAGAACAAGGACCCCACCCTCGCATTTCGCGTCGCGAACTCATACGCAACTAGTTTTGTACATGCAGCAATAATAGCCGGTGGCTATTTAAGTATTTCAGTTGAAGGATATATACGTGCATTGCGTTCGTGGACGACGACTCTCGCTGATCTAGGCCTTGAGATTGATATTGTGGTTTTTCTCCGCTTCGATAGGTAGTGCAGATCTCGCTTTGCTCGCTACTGCTTGTAGTCGTTTCTGACTTCATTTTACCAGTACGTTACAGCCTTTGAGCTATTACAATTAGTTTCGATTTAGGAAATCTTACCTATCATATGCAATTCGAGTCTGATACGAATAAAATTTTCTTTAGACCGCACCTAATAAACCTGATGGCGTATCTTCGTTCACTCAAAGAGGTGGTCGATATAGGGATCCTTTGCATGCATAGCTAACATTCAACAATGAAGCATACGCATTCGACGAGACATAAAATAAAAAGAATTTCGCAACCATGAACGCGTCACTGCAACAACGGGACCTATTCTTTTTTCGCACATATTGCAGTTTAACCAATCAACGCACAGTTTACGCTGCTAGATCGTTATTTTTCTCAGTAGATTGAACAAAAAATATAATACAATTTGCAATTATCTTACATAATTTACAATCATGAAAAATGGGATGAAAAAAATATATTTTAATTTAATATATTTATGTGATCTTATCAAAATCAGTGGTAATCAGTTTCATGAGAACTACTATTTATGTACATTGTACTATTTTATAATTTAATAAAAGTAATGGAAGTCAAGTTTAATTAAACGGCAAACTTGATTCTTATGAGACGAGAGTAAAACGATGCTATCGTTCGATGAAAATCATGAGAAAATAGATAATAGTTTCAAATATAGCGAGATTTTTTTGGATGTATTCTAGCAATTATGGTTCTTAATTAACAAATTACATTTTGATTTTGTTTAAAAATCGTGTATCTTTCATACTTGAATAAAATTATGCTTAAGAGAATGCATCTTTTAAAACTAGTAGAGTAAAAAATCGATTGAAATGTTTATCGTAATCGCAATTGTGACTAATGAATTGTTTTGGACTTACAAAACATTTGTTGCACATAAGTTTAAAGATAAAAATAATCATATTTGGAAAAAAGACGCCAGCCGCACATATGCCAACAGAAATCGGACATTGCTCGGCGTTCGAGTCCGTTAGAAGTACGTCGACGGCACGCGAGCTGTTATCTTCCGAATGAGGCAAATTTTCGACGTCATTCCTCGAGCGGGTGATTAAAAGAAAAACCGCCAACTCGCACGTCGCATTTTACAAACATAATAACGGCCTCACCTACTTCCAAGGCTCGACGCTCATACCCGATCTCGGGCTCGCGCCTATACCCGATCCGGCCGCTTTTATTTTTGCTCAATTCCAGCGCCATCCTGTATACTTAATTGATTTTCTCAGCCATCGCGGCGATCCACGCTTGCATAATTCATTTTTTAACTAAAAAATGCGAAATGTGATTCGGGACACTTTTTGCGCGGTGTTTTCTTCTAAACTGTTGCCGCGTTTCGACATATCATTGTTTTTGATCGTAGGCATGGCGAGGCACGCGAATGATTGAAAAAATAATGAAAGTAAGGTAGGGTTCGGAAATGAGTTCGGATACATGAAAAATTCAGGATGGCACTCATCGGTTTGTTATGGCTATAAGTTCAAACGAATTTTCCGAGATTTGTTGTACGAAATTCTCGCAACGATTTGGTTTCATATCAATTTATATTGCCACGCAGTGAAAAACTACATAGATGTATTTCTGTATAGGAATTATATGGTCAAATCACATAGACGCTTATGTTTGCATATATATTCTATGGAAATCGCATAAAATGCCAATAATCACGAAGGAAAGGCTCAATTAAGGCCATCCCTCGATACTTTATTTACGGACTCGAGCCGCGTTACATATACTAATTGACGCTCGGTCGCGTAGATGATGTTCGAGGCGGCTGGCAAATACACGCACACGCGCAGGTATTATAATAGCGTGCGGGGCTCCGCGTGGCTGAAATTAAGAATAATTCCTCGTCGATAAATAAATGTGTTAGGAGCGCACGTGCGGCGGACAGTAAACAAATAGGCGCGCGCGATCCTCGCCATAGTCCCGTTATTCTCCGTTTGGCCGCGAAGCTTTAATTACGAAACGGCCGGCCGAAAGATCGGTCTCAATTAAAAGTCGACGTCTGCCGCGCGGCAGCGATTAAGTTCTTTCGCCCCCTCTCTCTCTCTCTCATCTCACTGCAGCACTCGACCCGATGACGGAATAACAAGGATATACACAAGTGGCTTATCAATAGGAGAGAAAAGAGCCCGAGTTATGCACACGCGCGCGCGCGCGCGACTTTGCTATACATTATAAAGTTCCATTCGAAAGAGAAAGGAGCACGACGGAAACAAATGCACGCGCCAATGTGATATAATGCCGCGCGGCTAGAAAGACTTTCGCGCATTCGGATTTTTCCTGCTCTTAATAATAATGCTGTACGTATAGCCGCACGCGTCCGTATGTGTACGACTCGCGGCATTTGCACACGCCTGTGCGTGCGCACATTATAATATATTATTGACATTTCTATCTGTATTTCTCGCGCGCGGCAAAACTTATTATTAGGATTGTTTTTCTTTTGTCGTAAATTTACCAACGATCTGCGGCTGCCTTATGCGGCCGTGCGCACAAGCTCGTAGTAGAAAATATCGAAATATATTACGCGTATCTTGAAATAATATTCCGACTCGTTGATATCTCAATGATACCTCTGGGCATTTATTAACTTGGTGAATTTAAAACCACTCACGAAAGTTTTCAAGCCAGTAATAGTCGTTTTAGTACTGCCCTCGTGACTTCTTCTAACGCACTTACATATTGTGTACGCTGAAAAGCTTTATCTCATTCTTGCGTCACAAAAATCTTGCCTACATGCATCTCATCGCTGATTATATCGCTCTACACACCCATCGCGAGTCATTAAAATTATGTATATTATGAGCTCGAACGAAGGAACGATAAGCAAATTAATAGGATCCTTATCCACCTTGCCGACACAAGAAAGGAGCAAAGAAGGAGCTCGGAATCGGGCTAATCTAACTATCGAGTTAGACCCAACAAATGAACGAAATAATCATTGTTTATTCATCGTCGCTCTCGCACGCATAAATCAAGTAGTTATGCGCATTATAACTGTGAAGTGCAGCTCGGCGCGGCCGGATACGGAAAAGTCGATCCAATTATTCGCACTCGCGGGAGAAAAAGAGAGAATAAGGGGTGTGGATCGATACTGTGTCCAATGTGTGCGTACCTACAAATGAGATTTGTTTATTTTTCAAATATATAAATATACATGAGCGCAATTATGCATTCGCAAGAGAGTCGGAAAATTTGCCGACTCGGCTTTTTTTTGTTACTCTATCAACGTCGCTTGACGAGTGAGTCTTCCAGTCTCGGAGGTTCATTAAAGTTGGAACTATGTTGTAGCCCGTTGACTGGACTCATGAGCGCAGAGCTATTTTCATCGAGAGATTTCACTCGTTTAATAAGCCTTAGGTGCATTGCTGTAAACTCTTTGTAAATGTATTTATTTTCATCGCCAATTAATAATAGTGTGTACCACACAACGTATTAGATGTAAAACTTGGGTTATACAATGAATTGGCTTGCTTGGAATTAATTTTTTTTCGTAAACTTGTGTGTTGTGAATCTCGATCAAATTTTTCCCCGAATTATAATGCAACCCTCAAACGTACTTTATTTGCGTATTCGACAATTGTTTTATTTTATATTTATTATATAAGATGGATCAAATTTCGTGTTTTACGAACGTGCAGCAGACATCACGATAGCATATGAAAGTCACGCAGTAAGCATCATCGTAGTTTTCTTCTGCTGAGATATCCGATAAAAATAGATCGATTGTTTCCTTACTCTTTATTTTACGTAATATAGTATCGATGAAAAATACCCCCAATAACTTGCATAATAAGACGTTGTAGGAATCATGTTCTCACCGAACTGTCAAGTAAATATTGTATAGTGTGAATTCGATATTGCCTGTGGGAAGTAATTTTAAGTACATTTACTTTTAGAAGAGCAAAAAATTTTTCGAAGGAATCGTTGCTAATATAGAATTTTGATTTGTTTCAAATGTTGTAAAAACAATTTATAAACGGATAAATCAGGTACCTCGATTGTAAACAATATGATCATTAACGATTTTGACATCGTCTCTCAAAATACTGATCATGTTTGTAGTAAAATCAAATTAGTTTATATGTTGTATTTCCCAACGAAATAAACCCTAATACCATTAGATAAATAAATTTCAGTTATTCAACTTTTGTGGCATTAAAGAGAAGTATCAATCGCTTAATTTAGGCAGCAAAATGGATAAAAGTAAAAAGAGTTTCGACGAAGTTGTCTCAAAAAGCAATTTAAGTGAACACGACATTGTTGTTTCAGATGACAAAAAAAACCATTGTGATATTTACCAGGAGGCATTTATACCAGAATCAAACATGATAACCCACCGAGACACGATTCACAATGAACGAAAAGATTTCGCATGTGACAAGTGCGAAAAAAAATTTGAGTTCCGAAGTCACGTGAGTAGACACCAAATATCGGTACACAAAAACTGCAAAGATTTTTTATGTGACAAATGCGAAGAGAAATTTGTGAGAAAATCCAGTTTGATTACGCACCAAAAATTAGTTCATACAGATCGAAAAGATTTCTCATGTAACAAGTGCAAGAGAAAATGCGAAAATAAATCAACTTTGCTCAAGCATAAAAAAATATTTCACGAAGTTTTTAAAGAGTACTTATGTGAAAACTGCGCAAAAAAGTTTAGAAATAAACGTAGTTGGTTCATGCACGTAAAAATAGTACACGAAGGTCGAAAAGATTACACATGCGACAATTGCGAAAGGAAATTTGGAATAAAAAGAGATTTGTTGAGGCATCAAAAGGCAGTCCATGAAGGTCGCAAAGATTACTCATGTGAAAAATGCGAGAAGAAATTTGGATTTAAATTCAATTTGCTTTTCCACCAAAGGACAATACACGAAGGTCGGAAAGATTACGCATGTGACAAATGTGAGCAAAAATTTGGCACACGATGCAATTTGATTAGACACCATAAATCAATTCACGAAGGTCGCAAAGATTATCCATGCGACAATTGTGAGAGGAAATTTGGACGTAAGGCAGATTTGTTAAAACACCAAAACACAGTCCACGACGGTCGTAAAGATTTCGCATGCGAAAATTGTGAGAAGAAATTTGCACACAAATCGACTTTGCTTTTCCACCAAAAGACAATACACGAAGGTCGGAAAGATTACGTATGCAACAATTGTGAGAGAAAATTTGTAAGTAAAAGGAATTTGTTGAGGCATCAAAAAACAGCTCACGAGAGTCGCAAAGATAATGAATGCAACAAATACAAGAAGAATGATGATTGACAATTAGAAATATTTATAGATACTTAGAAATATATGTGTTTCTAAAAGTTTAATAAATATTGTGCCTAAATGATTTTATATTACCTGAACCTCGGGCTTTCAACTATCATTACACCTTTGTTCACTATTGTGTTGATGCTTTATTTTTGAACCGGACGACTGCTAATTACTACTCTCTGTTCATTTTTTGACTTCTTAGGTCTTAGCTCGTACTACGCGGTGTAGTATGTTAGGTCTCAAATCTTATTATTTTAAATTAATTTTTCCGAGTCCGAAATTTTGGACGAAGTATATCTTTGTATTTTTAAAACGTACTTTTAGTTCACGGCATATCCAGTAATTCACTCACAGTGGGCGCTTATCTTCGGGGGTCAAAAATACTAGAAAAATCCATTGACACCGGTTCCGGTCACTTTTTTGCTCGTTAGAAGAAGGAAAATCATTTTCAACATTCTACACCTAACCGAATCTTCATAAAGAAAAAAGTTTCAGGAACTTATTAAGAATGCGTACACCATCTTCATAAATACCCATGATCATGACCTAAATATTTTTTATTCTAGGATTCAGTTGAAATATCTCATGATATATTTTGAGTATAGGAGGAGTTCGATTCCATCATCCTTGTTTGTACATAAAATGCATACTGTCGGTTACAGTTATAATGCTATTGCCTTGTATGTACCCCGTCACACTATGCTGCAGGTTGAATCTTTCACATTTAGCAGCAGTTAAGTTTTCCACTTCCACACTTGAAGGTTTTCCAAATTTTAACGTAGTTTGTGCAAACAACGCCTGTGGTATTATCAGTGCTTTTTAGGTAGTATTAATTTATTGTAATTTCTTCGAGGTTGAAACACGATCTATGCTCGTAACCATTGGCAATGCATTCAATGGAGATTCATAAAATCGATCACGTTCTATTTGGCAGGGCATAGCCAGGCAAATCGTTGCTTATGCGCATTGTCATGCGTTAGCGTGCGCACGAGCAAGTCCAAAATTTTGCATGAATTAGTCGAGGCGCTCGGGCGCAACGAGCAATTCTTCCGATTCGATTAGTAATGTAGGCGCTCGAGCTAGTACTACATGGCAACTCGCGAGATAAGACGGATATCTGCTACACGTGCATTATTGCCCGCGTTCGGTGGCCTTACATAACGGCAGAAAAGCGCAGCGCTCCGTGCGTATATGATGAATATAATTATATCTAGATATGCACTCGACACTCCGTTACAGCCTATAGTTGTGGATCGCAGCTGGCATATATAGCAGATAAATACCTACAGTGCAAGTGTGCGTGATACGATCTCCAAATACCGGTACCTTATAACAGTCGACGATGCAGAAAGCTCTGATTTGTTTGCCATCTTGTAACACTGCCATATGCAAATGTGAATTGTTAAAACCAATCTTCGCTCGCGTGTACTACAACGGTAAGTTGTATGCGTTATTTTAAAATATGAAATTTTACCATTGACGTCTCTCCCCTCTCTTTCTTTTTGGAAATGTTCTTTTACTTCCTCGCTGCTATGTTTATTATCAGAATTCGCCAGCTTCCTGCCAATGCGGAGATCTCATCTTGAAGTTTTGAAAATATCAAGAACAGTGATAAATCAAACTCTTCAAAATTTTATAAAAAATATATTTGTGCATCTGGTATTCTTTACATTTTCAACAGTACATTAGGAATTTGAATGGGGCTTATACAATTGAAAAATTCTTTCAATTTTGGAAAAAGTATCATTCGACAAACACGTATGAATTTCTTCAAATTGTTTAAACATTCGAACCTTCAAGATCTGACCATTTTTCAAAATTCCCAGTAGTCTGGTAAATTCTGTAAAAATTTACAAGCTTTCTCGGAAAGGTTTCAACGATTTTTTGTTTCGTTTTTAATAATCATGAACATATCAAAAGTGAAACTATCTTTAACAAATTTCCTCGAAATCTTCAAAGATCGAGCATCCTTGAATGAAAACAGATGAGAAAATTCACTCGTATTATTTAATCATGAATGCACAATTGAAAAACCTCCACGCGATTAACACGGTATTCTCGTGTATCGAGTAGAAGATTCCTAGCAAGCACTCTTAGTTTTGCGCAGCTCTCACTTGGCATAGTAAGCATTTTTTTTCGCACAGCTTACAAGTAGGCCGATGATTATATACATGAAAATATAAATGTAGCTGAGAATTCACGCTTAAAAGAGAAGTGAAAAAAGATAAGGAATGAAAAATTTCATCCAACATTAGTTTTTATTGGGAGAAAAAAATCGCTCGCGCGCTGCTGCGGCTGGGCTGCGCGACTAATTAGCTCGTACACGCGCCTCCTTCGGCGGTACGCGGATGCTCGCTAAATTAATTTATTGTATGTGTTTATGCGTTGCTCTGCGTAGGCGTGAAAGCCGTAATATTAATTAGAATTTGACATTTCGAGGTAATAATAAAAGGCCTGCGCCAAGGCTCGTGCGATAAATCCGTTAATACAGCGCACCGTGGCGATAATACAGCCGGGTTAAGTGGCTCAGCCTCGGGTACTTGAATTTATGTTGCACTTAATGCCACGAGTCTGTATCGAAGCTAAGATTTAAAATAATTTTTCGGACTTGATTCTAAAAAATTCTAATTTTCGCTCTTGTGGACATCTTATGCGAGAGATGCGGAAATTGTCCGTCCTTGAACGTCGACATTTGAAAATCACACTCGTAATGTAATTCGAAAGAAATGATTACAAAATCGACTCTTTGGCTGCACCATAAATTTGGTACGATATAATTCAAACGCAACAAAGACCACATCTCAGCATTGTAAATCTTATATCAATGTCTCTCGGGCTGCTCGCGCTTTCCAGCATTACACAAGCTTTTCGCTCGCCTTGTAATCCGGGCAGGACATCGACGCGTAGACGATAGGCCTTGCATATAAAGACACGCATAGCTATATAATCGATCTCCTTTAGAGCTTACCCTCGACATCGCTCAGAGAGAAAGTTTACTTATAAGTAATACATATAAGGAAAAGTGCCAGGCGTACGTACCTGTGCGCAAACATTTTACCATAATATATACTACGTTATTATATGTGTAAGCAAGCCTCGTGCTTGATATTAGAGAAAACTTTTTGACGTTTATTATGATGTATCCCAATGTCGATTGAACGGGAAAAAAATCAACTTTCCGCGATCTTGTTGGCACTTTGTCAGGTGGAAAAAAAGAAGAATTACGCAAACAAAATCTGTATTTGTGTAAACATAGCTTTTTAATGTAAAATCATTACGGCTGCTAAACTTGATATCAAGATTATACCTCCTTAGACATAAAAATTTGAATCGAATGCGTTCATGTAATTGAATTTCACATATCACACGTGAATGCATAATTTCGTAGAAAAAATTGATTATTTTCTAATCTGTAACCATTCATACCTGTTGATGGAAAAATAGTCCTGCTTCAGATCATTCATCATCTTTTTTCAACTTTTAGATACGTGTCAACCGGAACTTGAACGAAATAGCCGGGCAAGTAAGTCATCGGTCTGGGCGTTTTATCGCTCGCCATGAACTTGTAATTTAAGATCAAGTAGTATATGGCAGTTTTAGGTTTTAAAGTTCCAAGACGTTTACCTGCACACATACATATTATGATAGATTTGATCAATTGTTAAATGCTAATGACGTATATATGAATCTATTACCTATGCAGTGTCTAGGACCATCTCCGAAAGGCAAATGAGTGCAATTTTTTCTCTTCACTTTGTTTTCGTTAGAAAATCGTGTTGGGTCAAATATCTCGGGCTCGGGATAAATATCTGGATCCATGTGTAAGCCGATGGTTGGTATGATTAATTTTGAGCCTTTTTTTATACAACAATCTGAGCCAGGGATTTGAAAATCTTGACTGCATTGTCTGTTTAGTACAGGTGTACCAGGATGTTTCCTCAACGTTTCTGTAAAATGATATAAATTTTGACTAAGATGCATTTCCCTCGAAATTGTTGTAGAAAACCTGGATTACCTTGGAACGTCATATCCAAGTATGGCATATCAAAAAGCTTATCGTAGGTTAATCCTTCCGGACTGTCGTTCACTTCTCTTATTTCTCGATACAAAGTTTCTTGAACTTCTTGATTGAGAGCCAATTCGTACAAACAGTTAGTGATAGCTGCAGATGTGGTTTCTTGCCCAGCGGCGAAAAATATCATTATTTGACCGATTGCTTCGGTATCGGTCAATTTATCGGCTACCGTTACTAAAATTTAACAATTGATCACTCGATACGATAAGTAAAAGACATTTTCAACTACTTACTTTTCGGTGCATAGCCACTCGGAGCACTTTTTGACTCGTTGTCTTCTTGGATGGTGCCATAATCCACCAACTGCATTATCATATTTAGAAAATCAGGCCTCATGATGTTATTTTGTTTGCGATGGCTGACCATTTTTTCATAGAGATCAACGAAAAATGTTTCCACTTGTTTCCTGTCTTTTGGTAATGGATACAAGGGTGCTAATTCGGTATTAAAAAAACTAATGAGCAAAAAAATTCGACCAAAGCTATTACTGATTTGACCATTTTTCAAAAATTCACTGTCCGGCTCGTGTAGACTATCAGCGTTGAAACCAAAAGCGATGGAGGAGATGCAATCTATCGTGAATCTACAATTTGCTGTTAATAATTGAATAATTTAAGACTTTTGAGCATTTGTTGCACTCTTTACCTAGTGACCAGTGCCTTGATTTCCAAGACATTGGACTCGATCAGAGCATCGTCGAAGACCTTGATCATTTCTTCGCAAATCTCTTGAACCAGCGGAAGCATGAGCTTGAGCTTCTTGGAAGTAAATAGAGGCGAGAGTTTTTCCCGGAGCCTTTTCCACTTTTCGTCGTACAGCCTGACTATTCCAGTTGACAATGGATCCTTGCTCTCATTGTACAGTGTGCCGCGATTGTAAAAATTGTTGAAATTTTTCACCAGCACGAGCTGTATGAGCTCGGGATCGTTAATTACGAGCACGGGCAAGTTGAGCAGATAAATGCCGTAAAATCGCTGCTTCTTGTGCTTCTCGTAGCTGGCTTTTACAACGGAGCCTGCGTGAAACGTGCTTCGTTCGATTAAACGCGAGGAGCTCAGAGAGAGGAGGATGGATCATCTTACCGAGCGTCGTGTCCCCGATGAAGTAGGAAATCGGCAAGTTACCCAGTGGAATCGTCGGCTCGTCGTGCTCGATCCCGCGCCTCTTCCACACACCGTAGACCACGATTTTCAGATAGAAATAAAGAGCGAGCACTGCCAATGTCAGAAGCACGTGAGCTTGCGAAACGAGTGCCGCTGCACTCGCTGGTGACTCCATCGTCGTCGCGCCTATGCTGCATCGCGCGGACTAAATTGCGTCCACTCCGATCGCGAACGCAAACTCGAAGATAAAGTCAATACTCGTTTATGTAAAACTCCCACTTTGAGGCTTGATAAAAACTCGTTTCTTTTTATTTACGTGCTACTTGGCTTCATAATCTTGTGTAATGTAGCAATCGTCGACGCTGCTGAAGAGACTCGGACTGCGATCGAGTACTTTTCGTGTGAAAATCAATAGATCTTGATCAACTCTCAGAAACAAAATGAATTGTAAATATATATCATCGATCGATCGTCGCTATATATGAGTGAGTTAAATATTTATAGTCTTTTTCTGATTATTACATCACTCGCGCTAGCTGCACTTGTCCTCTCGCACGTTTAGGTAGAAAAACAAAAACGAGGTACGTTTCTCAAGTTTGAACGAATAATCTGAATAATCTTCGGTGAGTTTTATTTGTTTATTAGTGAGTGTATGTATTTGCTTTAATAATTTATTTACAATACATCTGTAATTAAGTTGACTTGACGTTCTTTTCATCCGCTATCACAATTCTTGAATTGAAAATTTAGTTTTGCTTAGGGTTATGAGAGATTAAAATATTGTGCGATAATAGTTATACCTGAGGTATTAACTCAAGTGTCAATGTGAGCGTGGCATGCATCTAGAGTTTTTTATCTCGATGGTGTAGTGTAGCACAATTCTAATGTAACGATCAAGCTACGATATTAAGAGCCCCTTTTTTCCACTAGTCACGAAATCACGATTTTAGTCGGCGGTCGAACGCCTAGGTATAGATTTAATTTTGATCCGAGTATGTTCGAGTATTCAGTAGGTTCTGTATGTTAATCTGTATCGGTTTGACGGATTTTTCTTTTCTCAATCGAGACTCCGAGCCTGCGAACGCGAAAAGAAAATTCGTGCCTATCGATAAAATTGCTTATTAGTTTCAGCATAAACAATCGGAAATCGGTCGCTTAAGAGTTTCTCCTGGATCAACTGGAACAGTTAATTTTTGTCGTAATCTAGGACACTCGTTTGAACAATCCAAGCTAAGATTTTAAAATGTTTAATTTCATTACAATACCGATCAAATTTTCATTACAGATTTTCCAAGGGACAAATGGAAAGTCACGAGGCTATTATGATAGCGCAGTGGATGCACTTACGTATGGAAAATAATTTGACAACCTTACACCTGTTAAATGAGCAATAAAATATACGTATGCAGACGTGCCGACATTAGTGGCCACTTTCAGCGAAGCAATCGCAGTTTAATTTACAGCAGTTGTTAATTCACATGACACAATTAAAAATCGAACTGATTTACGAACTTGGCGCATTGTTATACGAGGCGCATCGAACCAAAAGGCAAATAATCTCGTCAAGCACAGAAAGAAAAGAAACAGCGTGCAATAATGTGCAGCGATGTTGGACTGGTCGCTCGAGTCGAAGCTCGGACGGCGTTAAAAAGTGGATATTTATCTGCGATCCCCATACACAGAGAGCTGCACGTATGGAATGAACGACAAGGAGGATAAGCCGCTGCTGCCTCGTGCGCTCGCAAATTCTTTTTACTTATATAGAACTCGCGCGTGATACGCTCTCCTTTTCTAATCCTCGAGTGTCATGCACGCCGTAAGATATTGTGCCTCTCTGTACTCCGTATATATATATGGGCGCGCACGTGTATGTAATTGTGTCAGTACGCTCCGAGATTCCAACTGCACTTTTATGCCATAGAGCCGCGTACAGGCGCGAGTCTCTGCTTTTTTTTTGTTTTTTTTTGTCTCGGCAGCTTGAATGCAGTTAGGCAGTGTCAACGATTCTGCGAATTCACTGCGAGCGCGGCACGTATGGATATACTAACTGTTAATAAGAGGTAAAGGCGAAATTTTTTCATCCTGTCAGCGCTCAAAGTACGCTCGCGAGCCCGATAGAAAGCGCCTCGTTTTTCGCCTCGATTTATGTGCGCGCGATTTTTGTCGTAAAACTTTTAATTTGATAATTATTATTGCTTCGCTTTTCGATACGAGTCGCATTTACATCGATTTTCGCAGCTGCTATGCAATGGTATCGATCGGGCGCAGTTCACGAATAGTTGGCGCACTTACGACATGCCGACAGACGCCAGGACGTCGACGACTTCCGACTTTGGATGGAATTGCGAAATACACACAATGGGCCGCATTGCCAACGCGAAAGTATTAAGAAAATCGACGCGACGGGCAACAAAAAAATCGTGACGAATTTATCGTTCTCGAATATCAAACGTGCAATGGGCTGCTGCTCTTGCTCCGCGCGACCAAGTATATCAAGCCGTGTGATTTATTGTCGCGCGAGAGAAGAGAGCAATTTTTCTCGCCTTGAATCGCGGGGATAACTACTTTTTTTTTACGATTCGACCGAGTGATTACATGCATGTTCTTATTTTCTTTCATTTTCTCGCATCGCCGAGAGTAAAAGAAAGCATTGTAAAAGTGCGCGAAAATATGAATTTTACGACCCGGCGATAAACTCGCGTGCTGCTTTTCTATATGGGCACGTATTTTCACAGCTAATTTAGATAATATGAGAAATTCAAATATTCGCATAAAGTAATTGCATAAGTCAATTTACCGTTCGTATGCTGCATTCGAATATGTGCGTGGAGTAAAAATTTGGCCGAGCTAATTGGAATTGAAAAGTTAATAGTTTGCTCAAAGTTTTACATAAACTTGCAGAATTTACAAGTAAGTACCAACGTTGGCGCGACGCGCTTTTTTACATTCATTCCTCCGCATCGATTCGCAGCAAAGCTTGCCAAGCTCCCTTGGCCGATAAAACGCGCGTATATGCGAACGAAAAAGATTCGATGCGAACAATAAGCGAAATGAAGCGTCATCGCGCCAAGGCCTGAATATCGTCACGTAAAAATAAAGCTCGTAACGGTCGCGACGAAAAGCAGCTTTTCATCGTTGCCGTCGGCTGCTGGAAAACTGCCGTATTATTGCGCGCCATATAGGCTACCGGTGTTTAAATGAAAACATTCTTATTCCTCGCTTGTGACTCGCGTATACACACGCGCCTGCAGCCGAGTATATACCGTTTTTCTGACTCGCGCGCGCGTGGATATAGGAAAACGAGGACTCCTTTTGCGAGCTCGAGCGCGATGGATTTATATTTATACTCGCTCGGCGCGGCCAGACACGACGCGATAATAGGCTATTGCAGGTGTTTTCGAGACTGCTATGTAACTCGTTAAGCGCCGAGCGCGGTGCGAATTTACGACGCTCGAGATTAAAAGCAATAGACGAGCCGAAAAAAAAGTCGCGCTAGTAGTAGCCGGCAGCAGCGGCGGCGGCGGCGATGACGCACTTCACGGGCAAATCATTAAAGGACATAACTGACTAATATTTATTCTTTGAACAGTTTATTTAATATGAGTATCATTGAACATTGATTAACATCGTAATTTACAATAATATTCTGACTACCATATAATGTGAGTTGTTTCTTTGTAGCGTATACTCTAAAAGATTGACGGCATTTGAAATCAAATATTTGCGATTTTAAAACTTGATGCGATATACTCTTCTTTTTTGTCGAAATAAAAGACGCAGCTCACAATCGTAAACATCGTCATAGATTTCTTTTTATCTCCGTAAACTTTCGAAAATGTTTGCAAATTATACCTCAAGTATAAACTAGTTTATTTTTTATTTTCATTTTTTTTTCATTTATTTTGAACTTTCGTTTACTTTTTCATTATTTCAAGTGACTCATACAATAATGATTATAATTCTTCTCTGGTTATACTTTAATTAAATATCACTTTTTTTTAATTAGCATGATAAACTTAACATGTCACCTTTTTTTCTCTAGGCTAAAATTAAATTCATCAACAACGTTCGCTCATAATATAATACTATCTTACAAAATGCTAAACTCTGTAACCTCTAGTTACACGGCTCTGTTCTTATTTTATGTGCAATAGCAGGAGCATATGTATCGAGTTTAACATTATATCGAAATTCATACTTTTCATTACTTTATTTTTTTTCTTCGTGTAACATTTGCTTTTTTTTGAGATTTTCATTTCCATACGGTCAAAATCTACATTGATAAACGTTTTCATGTATAAACACCAAGCTTCGAAAAGTCGAGGGATAATTCAACAATTTATAGAAACTTTGTTATTAATGTATAATACAAATGTTTGGGTATTACTATTCAACATGGAAAATTTAAACGATCACAATCAGATTCATCAACCATTTAAAAAGTCAAAAACGTCAATAATTTCGTCGACGGAATTAGATTTAAAAACCTTATGGAATTGAAAAACCAAATCATAATCAAATGGAATTACATGTATCATATTTACTTACTACACTATATAAAATCTTGCGAACGCTTAAAAGATTGACAGCTTTACTTTTTTATTTCTCAATATCATTATTTTATTCTCGCTGAATTATATACTTCTTATTCGCATATTATGTTATTTTTGTATCGTTACTTTATTATTGTTTATCGTTAGATGTATAGTGATTGACTCGTGATTATAATTTTTATAATTTTCGTTTTCAATAGCAAAACAACGCGTAAATATATATGATATAACCAATTAACTCACTTTTCTTTTTTTTTTTTATTAATATATTCATATAACTTTTTCTAGTAGTGTACATATACACATGCACGTGTAGATTAAATTTTACTATAATTCTCAAAACTGCTGTTCGCTACTGTAATGATTATATCAGTCTGTCCCTACAATTACAAGTTTTCCTCGCAAACTTAATATTTTTTCTCTTCATTTTTCTGTATTGTATTATAATTTCTATTGCTTCAAAAACATAGAGAAGAAAATACGAAAAGTTACTGTTAAAAAGTACTTAATACAATGGAACAAATTCAAAACAAAAGCAATCATTGAGTATACCCTCATGTATAAATCAGAAAATGAATCAGCATATACATCAATATATTGTCGCTTTTGTTTCAATGACTTTGATTCAACTACTTTGTGGGATATGTGTGTTGTGAATTACAATTTTTGTACGCAACCCTTATGTACTTCTCATTCAATCATTTTAATTATTCGCAGGGTGTGCGTCTAAGACCGTTCATGTATTTTCGCATATATTTATATGATGGACTGATGTCATGTTATTACTCTATTGCTACTATACACTTATTCGTCATTATAGTACGTGTCTCACATTCGCTCGTCGACGAGGATAGCTTATTATTCACGATCGATCGATATTACACATTTATTCAATAAATCGTAAGGAATGTCGATGAAACGCAATCGTAATTGTAGCAATTATACAAAAGATAATACAATAGGTACATAATAATAATTTCATCAAGGTATATCATCAAAGACAACTTATCATTGTCGTCGTGTGTGTGGGAGTGTTTTATGGGTGTATATTATATACATACTTGATCGCTCTTAAAGTAACATGGTATACAGCTTTCGTTTGTTTCAGAACTTGTATGGCCAAAGCTTTTACCCAGAGCTATCGAATTATGTGTTTATTATATAGACCCAAGCTTATGTATTTTAATAATGTTTATTCATATGTTACAACATTCAAGTTTATAGACTAATAAAAATTGACTATAAACTGCTTTACTTTTCCGTTTACATTATTTTTGGAATAGAGGGATTTTATTCCCTCGTGAGTCAACCTGTAAACGAAAAGCGTATCGATAACTATAATATGAACAATAAGACTTAGAATACAAATAAATGGAATGGCTTGAAACGATAATAACTAAACATCAATCGCAAAACTGTGGATAATATTTACAAAACGCAAAATCTTATTATTTGTTGTTTTTTTCTCAAGACAAGACACCGTTGTGACGACGTATTTTATAAATTACTCAGTATTGTCGAATTAGGTCATAATACCCGTGTGTATGTATTTTTCTCACACTTTGCGTAAAATGCAAAAAATTGTCATCGTCATCTTCAATTTTTTTTTCTCAATTTTTTCTACCATCATAGACAATTAAACGATCGGGAGAGTATCAGAAATCTAGGTCTACAATCTAAATCGTATCATATAGAATATTTTAAATGCATATAAGTTAATCGTGTCGAGATATGTTTCCTAATATCAATTTATTCTTGTTAACTCATCATCCATTCAATAAGTAGGCACCTTTGTGTTTAATACTTTTATTGTGTTTTTTTACGCTGTTGATCAAAACATAGACAATATCCGATGAAAAAAATTTCAACGCTCGACGCATCAAGTACAATACAATCTAAAAAGCTTGACTTTGTTGTTTTCGATACCTATCCTTTTCTCTTTCTTCCTTATTATCTTTGTCTCTGTCTCACGTTTTCCCAGATTTCTAACACAACTCCTGAATGATCGAATCAGAGCTGACTAAATTCGCGGATAACTATGATCGGCGCGAGCTTCACTTAATTTAATAGACCGCAGTGTACACGCACAAATACAATTTTAAAAAATTTTCCTATCATTTTTTTATTGGTAGTTTTTTCTTTCAATTAGCTATTCGATTGAAGAAGATTCAGCCATTATTATCGACTTGTTATCCCATAAAAAAATGTTCGAATAGCAATTTATGCGTTGTGTGTATATGTACATTAACTTGTACAGTCATACTTCATCATTTGTTATATTATCTTATATAGAGTTTCGGTACCTATCTATAATAAAAACGTTTAAAACGAGCAAACGGACAAGAAGACTGTAAAATGATAGAAATAAGAAAGAGTATCGTTTAGAAACGCTATTAAAATTATTTAGAATAGATTTGTAACAGTCACAGCGCGAGAAAATCGTTACTTGAATATAATAACACCATCGATGACACAAGAATAATTGTTATATTATAGGACTTGCATATAACAGTATTGTAATAGTTAATTATTATTTTGGGTAATCCGAAGGTAAAAGTCATTATTATCGTCGGTTATCATGCACAACAGCATCACACGCACACGCTCAGACACACACTCATGCAGACTCGGCACACGCACACGATTACATACCAGCTGTGACGCGGTGCGCGCGTCTCAATTATTTGAATATTTTTGTTTTCAATACAATAACTCGTAGCGATAGTTATGAATGATAATGTTAATTTGAATAGATGCACGATCAAGAGACACGGATTACATGTGTGCTTGTAAGCTTAAACGGCTTAAGGCAACGGCACGACAACTTGAACGTAGGACACGGGAAAGTAGCCTGTGCGACCGTTAACAGTGCCCTCGTACCAGTTATCGTCGATCTTCTTTATCAGAGTGATCGTATCGTTTTCCTTGAAGCCGAGCTCGCCCGGATTCTCCGGCTCGAAATCGTACAGAGCTGTGCAACACGGCTGTCGCTGTTGCTGCTGCTGTTGCGGCTGCTGTCCCGGCTGTCCCTGCTGCTGCTGTTGCTGTCCCGGCTGCGGCTGCATCGGCGTCTTGGCCGGTGAGCGTATGACGCTCGGCGAGGCCAACGGCGACGCGTTGGTCGAGCTCGGGGGCTGATTCGCTGGGAAGAGGTCGAGCTGGGAGCGCTTGTTGCCGTTCATGCCGTCGCCACTCAAGTGAATGGCGTCTATGCGCAAATCGGACAGGGTTTTCGGCTGGAACTCGTCCTTGGGCCGGTTCGCCGCCTCCTCCTTCTTCTCCATGAGTCGCTCGCACAGGGTCCGCAGGATCTCGACGCACTGCTGATGGTACTCGAGCAGACCCTCGCTGAACGTGGCCAGCTGCGCGACCTGCTCGATGTCGTTCTCCAGCAGGTTGTACATGCCCATCTGAGCCAGGTGCAGGCTCTCGGCGAACTTCTCTTCGGCCTGGCGGATCTCGTCGTCCTTGGCCTGGCAGCGCCGCTTGCAATCGAAGTCCAGCCGTCGGCCCTGCAGCTTCTTGCGGTGGTGCATCACCTCCTTCAGGTCCTTCATCTGCAGGTGGTGCAGCGGCTCCAGGAAGTTCTGCTTGATATTGTCGTCGAGCGAGTACTTGACGTCGGCCATCTGTTTCATGGCGTCGCCGACCTCGATCAGGGCTTGGCCGAAGATGCTCTCGTCGCCCATTTTTTTGCCGTAGTGCAGCATGCAGTCGCCGAGGATGCCTTCGGCCTGTGGGTAAGTCGAGGCCTTGGCCTGGCCGCTGAGTTTGCCGATGCCCTTGACGGCTGCCATTTTCGCTCGGGCCGTCGGATTCGGCTGGAGAAATTCTTTGGTTTTCAGTTGCAGCTCGTCGACGAGCTCGAACGTCACGTCCGTTTTCCTCTCCATTTCCACGAGCTGCTCGTCGTCGAGCTTTGTTCCTTCCGCGCCGCCCATTTTCTCCGTCATATACTGGTTGGCTTTGTTGATTTGCTTTTTCAGACCCGCGAACGCCATGATTGATGAGTTTTCAAATTTTCTTTTCAATACAATATTTCAATCTGAAAATTAAAACATTAAATGTCAAATCTGGTCCATTTCATCATTTTTTGCTTTCAAGTTTATCAATAATTTGATTTAAAAAATCTTTGAAAAAAAAACAACTGAGCTACAGGTATATATTCATAAATTGAGAGGTAAACGTAGTTTGTTGCGATATAGACCAAGTTAACGTTTTAGCATGCGCGTGAAACGTACGAGAACTTTATGTCGTTCGACGTGCACATTCTCACCAGCGTAGGATGTGTTTCTCGAAATATACCACGCAACGTTTTGACGCGCACTAATTGATTTAACGGCGTGAATATTTTCGTTTAACAGTAATTCAATGACGTTCTCTTTATAAACGTTTCAATAGACAAACCAGTATAAAAAAAAGCTCGTGCCGAACTCGCGAACGAAAATAAAAAGTTAAAAGCATCGCATCAATTGAAAGTCGATGCAATATTGAAAAAAAAACTGCACAATTTTCGGGCCAACAAAGACACAAAGTCAAATGACAAATGCGGTGCAATTCAGCGAGAGATTATGATGTATTTTAACATCAAGCGATTTTACGAATTAAATAATCGTGCATAAAGAAACTTACAATTTCGCGTTTTACAATAATGATATGCCGATGAATTAAAGTAACTTGATTTACGAAGCTCTGAATTCAGCTCAAAGTTGACTGAGCTTTAGAGACAAGCCACGAACAATTCAATGCAAATTAATACAGTTAAATTATGTCATTGTCCGATTTGACCAAACGAAAGTAAATAAAGAAAGCAATAAAATAAAAGCAATAAAAATGACTCATTTACGTATTATTATTTGCTGGGAAAAGCTCGATATTCGTAGCATACAAAGGTATTAAAGAAAAAGTCAATGAAAGGGCTGCACAATACACAAGATGAAAAAGAGAGAGAGAGAGAAGTGCTGCATATAAGTTGCTACGTATAGTGGAAGGGCGTGCGCATTAAAGCTTGCAGCGTATGCATTGCAAAGAAGCGAGGTTATGTCGTCATGCTCATTAATTCTAGACACATACGAGCGAGCGAAGGCAAAATGCAGCAGCAGCACTAGGTAAAATCATAAATATTAGCTGCTCCCGATGATGCGTGTATTTGCTCTTTCGCTCTTGTCAATGATCAAAGTTCGCTTCGGGAAAAGTACTCGAGTCGCGTCGATCGAGAAGCGCTGAGAGAGCTTGAATTTTTAACGTCCTCGGAGCTTTTAACGTATTAAAATGGCCCGTTTGGCGGCGCACGTGTAGCCCCCCGTCGCAGCTGCACACACACACACACACACGCACACACTGCTACTACGCGCAGCACCGAATGTGACACTTTGCGCGAATCGGCCGCAATGGTGTTTCGGAGACACAATGTTTTTGGGGGCGTCGGGAAAGGGGGGCCTATACTCGTCCTCGGGCGGGGGCCACTGCGATACGTACGGGAACGGCCAGCAGCGGCGGCAGGAACAACGGAAGAAGCGGCGGTGGCGGCGCGGAGCACTGCCTCGACTCCTCTTCGACTCGTGCTGCTGCTGGCTGCCTCTGCCTCTGCTGCTGCTGCTGATTCTCTCCTTCCTCCCGCTCTCCGAGTCACGCACATGGGCACTGGTACGCGAGAGAACACAGAGCTTTCATCGATCGGCTTGGCTACTACTACTACTACTACTACTGATACTACTACTGCTGGCAGCCTTACTACTTGCGCTGCTGCCTCGACGCTCTCTGCTCTGTGCTCGCGATATACTACGATGTCGCGCGATCTATCTCTACGCGCTTTTCTGACCGATGGACGTTTTTTCTTGCACTGCCTCGGGTTGCCACACGACGCTCTTTTTTGCGGCTGCAGCTGCCTCTATCATCTGCGTGCATATGTATAGGTATACAATGTGTACGTGTATCGAGTCGCGCGCGCGATACAGCGAAAGCTCTCGAGGACAGGCTCGGACTGTCTTTGCTGGCTGCTGGCGCGGAGAGCTTTTCCACCGCGTACACACCCCCGTTCGGAGAAAACCTTAACTCCCCCTCTCTCTCTCTCTCTCTCTCTCTTTACCGAAGCGGCGCTGGGCTTTTTATCTCTCCCTCTCGCTCGCTCCGGATACCTGCGCGTGCTTCTTCCTACGGGGGAGTCGTGTCCTATGACCAATGGGACTTTTTCTCAAAACCGCTCGCATCCCCATTCGCTCTGGCGTTTTCTCTCCGTCGCGATGTGCTGTGTGTACTTAATCTCCATCGGTGTGCCCGCGTAATGTCTCGAACGGTGATGTGGCCGATATGTGTGTCGAAGCATCGAGTGTGCAAACAATACATCTGCACAAACAGACGCAAAGGAAACGGGGGCATATGACCTCCTGCCTGAGTCACACCGCACACGCGTAGTCGTCCGGCTGCTTATCGTCGATCTCTCTCGCCTGCCAAATATCCCTTTTAAGGAAAAGTCAACGAAACACGAGCCAGCCTCGATATTCTGCATTTTTCTCGAAAAATCGCTCGAAAAGGATCGAGTGTCTCGGAGCGATCGAACCGACGCTTCGTTCAAACGTCCCAATGAGTCGAAGCGTTTTTTCAATGAACCGCTTCCATCGCGAAGCCTCTTGCGTACTACTTACGCATCCATGAGATGCGATTAATTATAAGTAACGAATTTCGTCGTTACAATGAAAAGTCAACGCAAGCCAAAACTGTACTCTCAAAAAAGTCGTACGAATGAAAATCCAATACTTCCGACACTAATGATTGACCCATTGTAATCCCAATAATATATCTTCTGTCAACTTATTGCATTCATGCATGATTTTTTCACTCTTCAAACGTTTCGCGCGTCGAGATATACTATCGAAGCGACCGTTTCCTTCCGCTTATTTTTGATTTATAATATAAGTGCTGTCTTTTCCTTTCTTTTTTTTTCTTTCAACCGACAATAAAGTGATAGCGCTCAACGCCCACATTTTTCCACGGTAATACGTTTACCGAAGAAAAAATCTTCAACATAATGCACGCTTTGTTCAACTACCTACATCATTATTAAAAACAAATAATTCGAGAGAAAAATGAGTAAATATATATAAAACAAATATAGACGGAAAAGGCTCAATTATTTATGAAAATAACGATTAGAATGAGAAATTGATTTTTAATGAGGTACCGAAGTAAAGAAAAATATTGAAATCTTCAAAATTATTCTCTGACATTCATACTGAAAATATTTTTCGAAAAATAATGGTAATCTAAAAAATAATTCATAAATAAACATATATTTAGCAAAAAACTCAAAAAATTAATTTAACATGTTCATTTCCTCAGAGGTTTTGAGGTTTCCTTAATTATCAAGACACGCTTTTACGTTGTCACGCACAGAGCTTTTGCACTTTAACGTCGTGTCTTTAACTTTTTATTAATGAAACTCCGGAATAAAACATGTTAGAACAGATACTGTGCAGATACCGTTGTCGGCAGAATATTAAATTTCGAGCTTTGAAAAACGGAAAGAATAAGTTTTGCTTCTGAGGCACGTGTAACATATAATAACGTCAAAATCAATATCTACCAAAATTGAAAACGTGTAAATTATCAGATGTACTACATTGCGTACTTTGCTCCGTTTAAAATATTTAGCTACCTACACTATTTACCCAGGTGCAAAAAAGAAGAATTTCAAATATCAAATGGTACATTCTAGCTTCTTTAACATGAAAAGTTTCATCATAAAATTACTATCCTTCTCTCTGGCTTAAACAAAATGTTGAAAATAAAATAAGAATGTGGAATTTTGTGGAGTAATATCACGCTTATCAAATCTGACTCTCATTAATACACGTAGACTTATAAGAAGTACATAAACCTATTCACAATACCTTGCAAGCATCGAGTCAGAACTATAAATGTTTATAGAGCCAACGCATACTTGCTATGAATGTACATGTTTAATCTACTTGTGCTTTCAATCAACATAGAATATAGTTTCTGATTATCATAATGAATAAAAAAGTATTAACTTTCAATTAATATTGAAACCAAGGAAAAAATATAACAATTGACTTGAACAATGACCAAAATATAAACTTTTGAATTGTCAAAATATTTAAATTCTTAGTAATGAATGAGCTGTACTTTGACACTCTATCAACTAATACATCAATGACAAATAAAAAAAAAGATAGAAAATAGCACCATAAAACTATACTAACAAGTTGATTTAGTAAAAGCTATCCAATAACATAATATGTGATGAATATCTGAAGCCAGATATATTATTAATAAGTACAAGGTCATAATAACATACACATCTTATAGTTTGAAGGCAAATTAAAAAAATCTAATAAATTAAATAATACAAAGTAAGCTTAAGATTAACAACTGTGCAAGCAAGTAAAATAGCAAAAAAAAATCTTCTGTATTCTTCAGAAGTCAGAATAAGCGTGCAGTGACACTTACTTTGCTCACTAGAGTATAATTCTGCTGTGGATTATAATATATTCACAGATGTGGAAATCTCTTCGTATTGAAGGTTATACATGTACAAAGAACTTTTGAAACAAGCAAAAATCCGTGAACATCATCACTTTGCACTTTATTGACTTTGATTTTCTAAAAAGAAAAATTGCGTTCATTACACAATTGACATTAGACAAATGGTTTCCTTATTACTTATCAATCAATAGATTCTGTGTTTCATCGACGATTAAAACTCACTTTATATACTCGAGAAAAAAGGAATTACAGATGTACGAACGCTTGCTCCGTAAATGAGCGATAATCGCCGTATTGTATAAGTATGCGTATGCTTTGCATCAATAAGAAAAGCACAGCAAAAATTGTACAAGTGCACTGCTAAAGGAGAACAGCTGACTATTAAACAGTATTGATATTAAACCCCTTTGACAGTTGGTGGATTTGAAGCGCCTCGACAACGGTCACATAACCGTCTTATTACTCCGGTACATACGAATGGATGCTTATCTTTGAATTCTCTATATTTTATAAAAATCGTAAGCCAACAATTTTTATATAAGTTTTCTGAGATTTCTACGAAACTTTTTGTTAAATAACTACGCGTAAATTACCAGAAAAAAATTATGATATTCGCTCACTTTATCAGAATAGATTCAGGGGAGATCTTTGTATTTTTTCATTTAAGGCGTTCCTTTTTTATTTAGAAAATCGTAGAGATTGAAAATGTAACGATTTCTAAATAATTTTGAATGTAAAAAATCACTTTTGCGATTTTTATCCCTTTGAAAATGACTTGAGTGAAAAAGTTCAAAGAACAAAAAGCTCTTAGAAAGCGTGTGAATTTGTTCGAAATTTTTAAAACAATTTTATAAATTATCAACGCTAAATTATTACTTATAGTATATTACTGCTCTAGGCCACGAAAAACAGAAAAGTCTCAGGGTACATGTAATTAGTGATCGAGGCGAAGCCGAGGCTAATAAACACGTGCCCTGAGGCTTTCTGTGTTCGCGGCTTAGGCCTGTATACTATTTTATACCCCGTGGCCCGAAAATAACTCTTCCCGTGAAATGAAAATAACTTTTTTGAGGCCAAAAAGAGACCTCAATCGGCCACGAAAACCCCCTTAGCATCCGGACTTATACTACCTAGATAATAGAAATTACTACTACGATTATTCTGCTCATCTTATATATGGTTTCATTCTCGATGCAATCAATCAAATCTCACTTGAAAAATCTATAAAATAAAACTAATATCACAACGCACCTAAGTTAACTTATATCAGTAACTGGACATTAGTGTGGATGTAAAATTATGCATGATAAAAAAAAACATTAAATAGGGAAAGAAAAAGAAGCAAAACGTTCTCTATTGTACTAGGACCCTTTGAAAAAGAGAACAACGTGCAAAATAAAATGCAGTAAGAGGGAAGGGATGTGTATGTAGCATTCTAATTAATCGCAATTAACCGCCGCGACCGCGAAGTGTACTCAGCAGGGTACTGTGGAGCGGTGCACATGGTCGTCGCCGTAGTCTCGGATACTAATTGCCTCTCGTCGCGCTTCTCTTTCAGACACAACGCTTGCCAAGTGTTGTGCACTTATTTCGCCCACGATCCTGCACTTTCTCGAATACAACAAAATATACATTGCATAATATACATTTTATACATATTTGGTGCAAAGTCAAATCTGTAAGCAGAAAATCGTTTCTATTATGAATTGTTTTCGGGCCAAGGTTTTGCATTTTTGTAAAATTACTAAGTAATCGTTGTTACTTAAAAAATGTATCATTTAAAATGAATATACTATGGAAAAATGTACGTGGGGGACTCTTTGGAAAATTAAATGACCTAAAGTTATTTTCTATTTATATATTTCATTTCATACTTGTTATCTGACTTCAAGGATGTAGAGCTTACGCAATTGTTGTTAAAAAAACAAGTCTTGTAATTAAAGTTTGAAAAATTTCCTTTGTAATAAAGGTGTTTCAATTGTGCTTTCATGATGTAAATATCATAGAAAATTATATTTTTGGACCAAATTTTCAATCTGTTCCGAATTCGCCATAATCTGGAAAACATCTCAATCCGTGGCGAAAATGTTTCACCTGTAAAGTAATATTGATTTCATAGTGAATTTTTACCGTGAATTTATTTGGCAATATGTTTAAAAGAATGATCTTTCATATACATATATCTTTTTGACAAGATTCGCACTTACAACATGACATTTGTTACAGCAAAACATAAATAGAAATTAGCATTTTACGTGTTAGTGCTTAGCTAAAACTAATTGTGACTTGAAGAAAAATTGAAGGCTGCATATTTGAGTATCATGTACAATAATATAAGTTATTTTATAGCGTTTCTTAAAATTTGTCATTGTCATTTTTTTGCTATATAATAATAAGCGAAAACCGACGGTGTAATATTTGCTCAATAGGATTCAAAGTAAATTTATCAAATTATAATGGAACACATTTTTTTTTTAATTATTTACTTGGTCCTCGTTACAACAACTGCCCAAATACCAGTGAGTAATAATTAATTAATAATAAAATGTGTCTAATGACATAATCGTACATTATATGTAATATTATATTATAGCAAGCTAATCTACTAAATTTGCTTGGTATTCCTACACTATCTAATCTTTTGGGACGCCAGGATAGATTCGATGGAAATATTAATTTCGATCTATCTGGTCGAAATTCTTTTACTGGAGCGCAAGAATTTTTTGGTAATTTTTTGAGCGATTGTTTAAAATTAATCAAAGCTGATGGAAAATTTTTGGGAAATCAAATACACGAGAGTCAAGGAAATATTAAAGGAAATTTTACATATGGAACTTCTTAAGAACAGATTTTTGTGAAGACTCATAAAAATTATTATTAATTTTATAAAAAATTATTATTAGTAAGCATAAAAAAAAGCAAAATAAAATGTGAACTTTGGTATCTGCATGTATTGTCACAGGACTTATATGTTAAAGAGACTGTGCAATCTTTGTTTTTGTGATTCATATAACTGCTACTCGTACGCTAGTGTTATTAAAGCTTTTTTGTAATAGAATCTCATTTAATATTAAATGTTATTCATTTTATTATCAAAATGAAAAAAGCATTGCACAGATAGCAGCAACCTGGGCAAATTCTACGTTTGTACAGCACTATTTGAGACAAAATATTTTTTATGAGAAACGTGAGTTTTTTGAGTTGATTAGACACTTTACGTCTCTGTTGTGATTGTATACTCTCATATTGAATATTTAATAGGAATTGAGACCATAATATATTTTTTTGTTACTTAATCTAGAATAATTTATTACTAAACTTATTACGGTTGGAATGACTCACAGGTAAGTTATCTGTTTTAAGACAAGTTCAGACCAAATTCTTTAAAAAAATGCCCTTAGTGGACTGAGTTTTTTTGGAATTTTTTCAAGGGCTAGACCTTTATATTAAATCTATTCGATATTAACTCAAAAAGATTGTTTAATTTTTTCCTTTTTTCACATATGTTTGTCTATAATTTTTAATAATTTTGACCAGACATGTCTGGTTAACAAACCAAAAGTCTCTTAATCTTCAACACTTATAGAAAAATCCTGCGCTATGTTTTCTATGATTTCAATCACTGCCTATCATCCAACTAAGATACAGACATACTGCAGAATAGCTGATTAGCGTTGCTTAATGAAAAATATAAAGATTAATAAATGTTTAATCACGTTTGAAATATCTTCTATTAGAAAACATGCTACAGTAGACATGCTACAGTATATTTTATTATAGCTGTTTTACTTGTATAATTACTAGCTTCATTGAGCATATATCACTACGCTTTACTAAACTTCAAAACTTATGTAAGCAGCATTACAAAGCAAATAAAAACAGTTATCATTGTTTGCACTGACATTTTTGATGTAAGAAAACTTGAAAGAAGTTTCACTTCTGAAAACTAAATCTCACCACAAGGTTCAAAATATACACTAAAGTATATCGTTGATCAATGCTGTAATTTTAGCTGACGCATGTAACATCTTTATCAATTGCTTTTTCACAAGTGCAATCAACATTATTCATTTTTACTGCTACTTTTACTGGCATAACTAGATATAGCTTTAGCTTTAAAGAGGTGTCTGTTTACATGTGCGATTTCTAAATTTGAACACCAGAGGCAGCACTGAACAGCGTATGCCAATTGAATACTATACGTGTAACGTGTACAGTGAGAGAGGGGAGAACAGAGAGGCAGCAGCAGCAGCACATACAATTAAAGCCAAGCGGTCTCCACTCTTCATAGTCAGTTGGCCGTAGAAATCGTGGCGAATACAGCTCAAGATCAAGCCTCGGTGAGCTAATGATTCTAGCATCATTTCTATAGTATCGTAGGTTGTCTCAGACCAGCCGTTTACCTTACCTAGCCTCACCAATTCTTTTAGTAATCGTGTACAAGACTTGAGTTGCCAAAGACGAGATTTGCTTGGCAGTCAACAGTGCCAGTACAATAATTGTGTTTGCAAGTGACTCGTTCCCTGACTTTTCATGTGCTCTTTGCAAAAAACTGTGCTGCCTAGTGTTTTCTTTCTTTTAGGTTACTGCAGTTTTCGACTGACTCAACATAGTTTTACAAATTACTTGTAATTTTTTAACTTTATCATCTGCTTATTAGCAAACAAGTAAGTTAGTTTGGTTAGAACATAGACAGTCCAGCTCTAAACAAATTGAATAAAATCACATAACTGTCTGCTCTAAAGTTTATATGGGCTGAGAATTCTAGAACAAACCGAGGCACAGGCCCATTAATACGCCCACTAATAGAGTGTTCGCTCATATTATTGACCAAAAACACCCAGTTGAATCGTCAACATGAGTACTCAAAACCCTCAAACCACTAGTAATAGTGCTGGATCGCCCCGCACCCTCGGCATGACTTCAGCGATAAGCACTGCAGAACCTAAAGCTATCGATCGTGCAAAAACGGCAGAGCTTCAAGCAACATTGGAACGGTTTAATGTAAACGAGACTCAAGAAGAACTCAATCAACGAATGGAAATATTGAGGTATATATCGCACGAGATTTTACAAATACTTATACTTTTAATAAAACATTACTAATATAATTTATGTTCATTTTTCATGTTACAGCAAACTCAATACACTTGTGAGAAAGTGGATTCGTGACACTAGCATTGGAAGAAATATGCCTGCTAATGTAGCCGACCAGGTCGGAGGTAAAATTTACACCTTTGGGTCTTACAGGTTAGGAGTACACGATAAAGGAGCCGACATAGATGCACTATGCGTCGCTCCAAGACACATAACAAGAGAAGATTATTTCTCATCTTTTTTTGAGCTACTTAAAGCTCAGCCTGAGGTATCTAACTTGAGAGCTGTCGAAGAAGCCTTTGTGCCAGTTATAAAAATGAATTTTGATGGCATTGAAATCGATATGCTTTTTGCGCGACTAGCAATGAAAGAGGTTCCAGAATCAACAGATTTAAAAGATGATCTTATTTTAAAAAATCTTGATGCAAAGTGTGTCAGGAGTTTGAATGGCTGCAGAGTCACTGATGAGATACTACGTCTTGTACCAGACATTAACAACTTTAGATTAGCTCTCAGAGCAATTAAATTATGGGCCAAAAGTAAGCATACATTTTTATAAAATTTCAAGATCAAACATTTTTTAAAAAACTGATGTATTACTAAATATGTATAAAATTAAAATTTTTCAGAACAAGGCATATATAGCAACGTACTTGGCTATCTTGGTGGAGTTTCTTGGGCCATGTTGGTGGCTAGAACTTGTCAACTATATCCAAATGCTGTTGCTGCAACGCTTATTGAAAAGTTTTTCCTTGTTTTTTCCTCCTGGAAATGGCCAAATCCTGTGTTTCTGAAGGCACCATCTAATCCAAATCTTGGGTTTACTGTTTGGGACCCAAGAATCAATGTTCCAGATAGATATCATTTAATGCCTATCATCACTCCAGCATATCCTCACCAAAACTCAACTTTCAATGTTTTAGCATCAACTCGTCAAGTTATGCAAACAGCTTTTGAAAATGGCCTAGCAACAACACAATTGATAAATATGGGTAAAGCTGAGTGGAGCTCATTATTTGAGCCCCCAGATTTCTTTGGTACATATAAACATTATGTGCTGTTAATGGCCAATAGTGAAAATGCAGAAGATCAGTTAGAATGGTCTGGAATGGTTGAATCCAAATTGAGACACTTTGTTGGAGTTCTAGAGAGGAATCATACAATATCTTTAGCACACATCAATCCTACATCATTCAAACCTCTAAATGAGGAAGAAAATCAATTTATGACTATGTGGTTTATCGGACTTACTTTTAACAAAACTGATAATGGAAAAATCAAGGTTGATTTAACCAGTGATGCTCGCTCATTTGTCGACAACAGTATGTTTACTTTATAATAATTTTGATTATTTATAAAAAAATTTTTACTTATTACTTAACTATGTTTTTTTTTAGCAATGAGACATGCTGAACAAATCAAAATGTATCGAAAAGGTATGTCGATTGATGTTAGATACTTGAAGAAAAAAGATTTGGCTCAATACGTTCCTGCATCTCTCCTTCAAAAGAAAGTTAAAAGTTCTAATGGCAGTACATCTCCGAGAAATGAAATGGACTTACTTTCGAGGAAAAGGAAGTCTGATCAAGACTTTGGCGACTCTGCTGATAAAAAAAGACGAACGGTTGAGGATGAAAGTAATGAAGTTAAGGTAATCAACTAAAGAGAATTTATAAAATTCAATTTTGATAAGACAACTTATCATACATTTTAATAAAAATTTAAGAAGGAAGATTCTTGTGAAGTCGAACAAACTTGTGAAGATAGTAATTCTGGATTTAGCATAGAAGATTATAGCTCTAGCTATGAATCTACAAAAGATGTAAAAACTTAAACCTAAATAAGTCATTAGGTTTGTTAGCAAACATTTTAAGACAACAATGAATATTTACCAAGAAAAAAATATTTTAAAAGTCATCACTGCCTCTTAAAAATTCTTCAGCAACACGTAAGTCAATAATAATAATAATTTTTAGTTTTTCATTATGTTTGCTATTAAAACAAATGTTAAATCATTGGACTATTTTTGAATTGATTCTTAAGTCATCATAAAAAAATCATAAAAAGACTTTTCTAGATAAGTTTAAGAAACAAATTTTTTTATTACATTCAAATAATGTTTAAAAGAATGATATTTTGTGTGAAAAAACTGTAAATTCATGAATTTGCATGTTTCAAAAATTTGTTTTTTGAATATAGTTACAATACCAACTGTGATATATTGTGTAATTCACCTCATTATAGGTTGGAAACTTCTCAATTCTATAATACTTACTAATATCATCAAAAATAACAAAAAAAATTGCATATAAAAAAACTGTATAAGTTTTAAAAAACTCTCAGTAAAAATTTTAAATTAAAAAAAAAAGTTACAAAGTTGGCATCAATATTCATAGTGTCATTTGATTAAATTAGGTGAGCGTGTAATTGCAGTGTGTGAAAGCAGTGAATTGAAATTATATTAAAAATACTTCGGTAACTTCATAAAGTAAATTTTACTATTTGTAACACACGTAAAATAACAATCAAAATTTATTTTGCGTTCAATTTTACATGAATTTTTTGTAAATATTAGCTTATTTTATTTAATTCTAGTTAGTAAAAGACACTTAATTTACTGTTATTTCAAAATGTTGAATATTCTCATGTACACGATAACATGAGTTACAAATTTACATTCCTCGCGTAATTTAAAATTGACTAAAAGTTTTATTAAATTATAAAACTAGCATTTTCCAAAAATACAATTTTTATGTTTAACGTTAGTTATATAACGTTAACTACTTGACTTAATAAATTAACTTTAAAGTTATTGACATTATTTACAGAATGATTCCATAAAGTTGGACAATATTAAATTGTAACTCTTTTGCACTGTAAATCTTACTGAAATAGTAAATTATCTTCAACTATAATTAATATACTTATGTAAATAAATAAAGAAATAATCTTTAAAAAAGTGAAAAATCGACCACCTACTGTGAACAAAAATAACTAATGAAATTTAACAGTGGGGACTCGCTATACTCCTTTTTACTTCTGTACAATACGAACTAAATTGTGTCTGTCGTTATTACGTTTTTTGTATAAAAATTACACATGTATAATTGATAACGACCAACGATAGTATTCATACGTGTAAATAATTCATTATACATAAAACACTTTGACTATCATCCAAATGTGTAAGTTAATCGATTCGATTGTGACGATTAGAAATATTAGCGTACTTTTTACCACGCAATCTTCTAAATGTAATGTGTATAAAATAATCATGATTATACAATGAATATATGAATATTAAGAGAGAGGAAATTATCAAATAAGTGAAAGATGAAAAATACTTGGAAATTGGATGTATTTCAATGAACATAAACGGAAATATGTTTGCAATAAGACTTGTATAATGTATAGATGTGTGAAAGTGTTATGATTTTTTTTTTAAATTATGCTATGTAAAAAAATTAAAAAATATTGACAAAAAAGAAAAAAATTGTACAAAAAAATTTTAAAACTAAAAAAAAATAAATAAAAACCGACTTGAAAACATATGATTGAATTATTTCGCAATCCCTACTTTTACGTACAATATTGAGTTCAGAGTTTCGTGAATAAAAAATACCATACATAATATCTTTATCAACGATATTACATAAGTACTTTGTTAAAATCTATAACTCCAAAAGAAAACTGTTTTTTACACGTGGTAAAAAAAATCAGCGTGCATCCGTTGTGAACAGCCCGAATCGACATGAGCGCAAGGTAAAGTGCGCTTGCGTGAAGAAGAGCAAGAACTTCATTTATATTCCTATACCAATGATAAATTTTCAGTTTCACACAGGAGATCGGCTCGGTCCACTACTTGACCGGCGGTATGGAACTATTATACTGATCGGTATCGAGTCTTGCTGGCTAGGATTTAATAAGTATTAAAAGAATTCGCGATCAATAATATACCAAAAATCCTAATAAAAAATGCGGTACAAACACATAGTGTCAGTGGGAATGTTTTTAATGTCTATTATAGTTTTACTGGCTGCTTTGATGTACTACTTTTACCAGAGTAAGGATTTTTTTTCTTGTTTATTCTATTGCAACAATTTCGATGTTTGAATGTGTACCATACACGTTGCAGAATTTGAAATTCTAAACGATTATCCATTGCTGAAACTACTTTTACGAAAAATCCAAGGCTTTTACTCATTTTACGTATTCAATTAGATCTTATTGCTTCATTTGAGCGTGTGAAATAAAGTAAAATCCGTACGCGTATGATATAATTGTGCGATTGTCAGTCGGAAAATTCACGTGACAAAGTTATTTTTTCAGATGTAAAACCACTATATACTTGCTCGATGTGCAATTGAGATCAATCAAAAGTCTATTAAATTACGATATATATTAGCATCAAAAAAAGCAAGAAACCTACTTGTGTCTAGAATTGAAGATTACATCGGCTGTTGAGTTCAGTTAACACGTGTCGAAATGTCACTTCAGTGCAATAATCACTTTTATCATGCCTTCACGCGACTTCCTGTCTTAGCATGAATGAAGTATCATAAAACACTTAAATACATGAATGAATTTACAGAGGACTGTGCACTTGGAACGTTTCGGTGCCGAAATACAACTCCCGTAGTATGCATACCACAAAACAAATGGTGCGACGGTGCACCTGATTGTGCCGAGGAAGATGACGAGGACATTGAAGATTGCGGTAAGACAAATCAGAACGATGGCTATTCAAGGTCTATTGTTTCACCCATACTATGACATTATTTCCAGTTGATAATAAACTTAGTATTTATCCATATCCCAAGCCAAATTACAATGTCATGGATTTTTATTGCCCACCCGCTGCGATAGGTAAGCTTCAACCGACGCGACTTAAAAATCAACTGCAAACATTTGATTTCATCTTGCAGATGTCGGAAACTGTACGTATGGAAACAAAAGTCATGATTGCGCCGTAAAGTGCGAACATTTAGATGGAAATGTGTCTCAAAACATATCTGAATTCGTAATACAAATGTGAGAATTTTTAAAACTTAGGAAATATTATACATAACCGATGTGTTCGGTGGTAAATAAATGTATTATACATAATAACTTTATAAAATATAAAATAAATTTTTCTACAGGACCATTACAGACAGTAACATCAACATTTTACGTAAAAATGATTTCCTCCGATTTTCTAGACTAAAAACACTGTAAGTTTTATTTTTTCACGTCCCGAAAATTCTTGCTAACTACTTAAAATTAAATTTTAGCCATCTTTTGGAAAGTCAAATAAAAATATTAGAACCAAACGTATTTATGGCTCAAAAAAATTTATCAAGATTGTAAGTACATAAGAAATAATAAAAAATCAACTACGATACTTGTGCTCAATAAATTTTTTATTTTATTCAGAATCGTGGCAAATAACGAAATTGAAGAAATAGTAAAAGAAAACTGGAATGGTTTAGAAAAATTAAGCCTTTTTGATGCTAATTGCAACCAGATACGTTCGATTGATTTATCCTTTTTTGAAAATAGCACACTGTTGACTTTCATGTAAACCAAATATATATATTCATTTGGTGTAAAACCATAATAATGTTTCAAAATTTGACTAACAAAATTATTTTTTTTCAGAGATCTAAGCTACAATTTATTAACTTCAGAAAGCCTGACTCTCCCTTATTTGCCAAAACTTGATCATTTGTAAGACAAATATTTACGATAATAATAACAAAAAAGACAATGAATCTGTAGATTTTGCTTTGTCAAGGAATTTAATTTAATTTTTTAATTTATTAATCTCGATTTTTCAAATACTTTCATATTTCAGTAAACATTTCTTTTTACATTTCATGCTGGGTTTTCAATCAGAAACTTGGAAGACAATCGTTTGACAAAAATAAAGGCCAATATGTTTGATGGTTTGATTTCATTGACGCGGCTGTACGCTCTTTTATTTTCATATTACATGACATTGATTAGGTCGTAATTTTTCATAACATTTCATTTGGCTCATAGATTTTTGCAGTACAATCAAATTGAGCAGATCGATGAAGATGCTTTCGCCAGATGCAAGTCTCTAGTAGAATTGTACGAACTTTTGAAAAATTTACTTTCGTTTTCGTATTTTTTAATTTTTTAATTTTTTCCAGGAACTTGATGCAAAATTCCATTGTGGCCTTATCGCCAAATATATTTACCCCCTTAGGCAATCTCACTGCTCTGTAAGTACATAACTAGTTTTTCTAAGTCTAATACTCTTGTGTTTTTCTTTATTTTATTCGATTAATATTGTTATGAAACGTTGATATGATAATCGAGATTACATAAGCAGCACGTACGAGTCGGATGAATTAGGTTGAAAAAGGATAAAATCTTACACATTTCATCCCTCTAATCCATTTACGTGCTCGAAGTGTAATCAAGGGAATTCATGTAAAGAGTTTAGCTCATTCAGCAATACCTGCGCGCGTAAGCTCTGGCTTGTTTTTTTACTCCAACCACAATGTCAATAGTGTTTCGAATAATATTATGAGGAACACTATATTATACTTAAATAATTGAAAAAAATGTAAAAAATATTTCTAAATAAGAGGTAAGAGAAATTTGAGAAAATGAAAAACATAAAAATGAAAAGCATTGTCTTTACGCAAACTCCTATTCCTGGGTAGAAATATAATGAGGTTGACATTTAAAAAGTACCTCAAGAAAGTAAAAAAACCAATTAAAAAGTAACTTTGAACTCCGCAAGAATATTTGAAAAATTGTCTGAATGATTGTATGTTTCAGATTCCTTGGATACAATCCTTTCAAAAACATACCAATGGATGCTTTGCAGCCTCTCAATTCAAGTTTAAGAACACTGTAATGAATTGTTATACTGAATTGTTTTAAAAATTTGAATATTTACCTTATTCTCATCTGACATTAAAGTTTTTTGTTATACTTATAGGCATCTTGAAGATATAGAAGTTCATCGGATAGAAAAAAATGCCTTTGATATTTTCAAAGAGCTTAAATTTTTGTAAGTATGCGACATAAAATAATGCTGTCACAATTACTTCAACTGTTGTCTTTAACAGATATTTCAAAAACTTTTACTACTGCGCTGCTTATACACCGAGAGTCAAAATTTGTCGCCCACTTAATAATGGTAAATATAAATTAATAACGAAACTATGCTCGAATCAAAAATACTTCTAATCGTTCAACGAAGCTAAATATTTTTCAAAATCTTTACATAAGAATTGAATTAAGACATTTAGTACATCTTTGAACATTGAACTCATTTATAGGTGTCTCATCCTATACAGATCTCTTGGATAAACCAGTATTACGAGCTGCAGTTTGGGGAATCTCGTGTGTCACTTGTCTTGGCAATGCGCTAGTGTTATGGGGCAGATTCACAGCAAAAGACGAAAATCGCGTTCTCAGCATTATCATTCGGAATTTAGCTGGCACGTTATTCGTTTTTATCGACAATAAAAATAATCAATTGATCCATTTTTTTCAATTTCAGTGTCGGACATGTTAATGGGATTTTATTTGTTTATTATTGGATTGGAAGACGCACGATTTCGAAATACTTATAGCCGAGAAATAGCAAATGTATGGATGTCTTCGTGGTCTTGTACTCTTATCGGTATACTGGCTATGACGTCGTGCGAGGTGGGTGTTATAGTCAAATTTAAAGTAAAGGACAATATTTCAATGTAAAATGAAGGACTATATTTCATTTTGAAATGTTAAACTTTTTGAAACAATGAAGCTTTTATTTTCTATTTATAGTGTTCAAATTTTTTTCAGGTTTCTATGCTCATCTTATCGTTCATGTCCATCGAACGATTTTTACTTATAGCAATGCCATTCAAAGCTCACAGATCCATCACTGCACAAACAGCGACTTCGGCCATGACTGTGGTTTGGATAATTGGAATCACTGTTGCTCTCGTTCCTGGTTGAAGATTTAAATTTTTTTCTCAATGTCTTAGCATTGTTGACTCACGTGGGATACTTTTTTCAGCTATCCTTTGGCGCAATAGCACGCGATTTTATGGTATAAATGGCATGTGCTTCCCTCTTCACATTGAAGATCCATACCTTATTGGATGGGAGTACTCAGCGTTCATTTTTCTAGGCTTAAACGTTTTGGGGTGAATATTGTAATTTAAAAATCTTAAAAAAATGTCTTTCCGTTGACAAATTAGTAAAATGACTGAAACTAGAAATGCGTCATCGAAGTATACGTATCTTCAAAATTCAACACCTTTAATATTATTTTAGACTCTTGACAATTGGCTACGTTTATACTGCAATGTTTTGGAGCATTAGAAAAACACGTCTAGCCACAACTCTGTCAATTGGAGATGTTGAATTCGCATTACGATTTTTTCTCATAGTGTTGACTGATTTTCTTTGCTGGGCTCCGATCATTGTGATGAAAATCATGGCACTAGCGTCTTATCCCGTTTCACGTGAGTCTGTTGGTTAATAAAAGGATTATTAATAAAAACGACAATGACCTTTTACTAATTTTTTCAGCCGACTGGCACGCATGGGTAGTAATATTCATTTTACCCGTCAACAGTGCTATCAACCCGTTGTTATATACATTTACAACACCAAAATTCAGAGAGAGATTAAGCGAAGGGTGGTTTGGTCACGTACGTAGCTATGTTTCTCGCAAAGCCTCCAGCGGTAAGTAATCTCAAATCCATGCAGACAAAACCAGTTTTATTCATTTGCATTACAATTCTTCGAATAAAATTTTACAGATTCTCATCTATCCAATTCATCTTTAAGAGACAACAATATGATACCCATGTCAGCAATCGTTTATTCAAATGAGGGCAAAAGAAATAAACAAGTATCTAATAATGAAATTCTTCTGATAAATTTAATAAAAAATGATTGAATTTGAAAAACGAAGTATTGTATTTCCCACAATTGTGAAGTTGGTGATCATTATTATTGAAAATAGCTTTCAAATTTATTAATAAAAATTTCCCCAGACTATAAAAATAGTATTTCACATTCAACTAAATCATCAAACTTTGCTTTCAATTTTCATTTCATCTATAGTGATTAAAAAACGTTGACTGTTTGTAAGAAGATTTTGGTGGTTTTACTACTACTATTGAACATTAAAGAACTGAAATTTAAATTTTAGAGTCTTTTTCCTTCTTTGAGTCTTCTTTCTGAAATTAAATTTGACTTTTTCGATTTTCAATGTTTGTTTTTTAATTCAAAAGAAAGAAAAGAATAGAATTTGAACAATTAGCTTCATTGTACAATGTATGTATGCACAAAATAAAATCCCGACCAACAACTTGCTGACAGTTCGTGTTACTTGGGTAGTGCTAGTTTTGGCGGTATTTTTAATTTAAAACGAAAAAATAATTCTCAAACATTTGCAAGTCTAAAAAAAACGCAGAGAACTTTTTTTTTAAATTACTCGTGGAATGAGTACTTCACGATGGTCGATCACATTTCATTCAAGGAGAGGGAGGACAATTACTATTGTCCAGGTTCACGTTTTAACAATCAATTTTTTCAGTAATCGAAGGTACTACGCTCGAGTCAAAACTGGTAACTTGGCATTGATTTGAACCAAAATATAAATTGCACCAAGTATGTTACGGTACCTATAAGTCTACCTAATCAAAAGTACCGTTTTAATGAATATGCGTTAAAAATGCATGATTAGCGATTTTGGTTTGATCGGTTGGGCGCGTTATTAATTGTCATATTCATGCTTAAATCTACTGTTGTTGTTGGCTGATGGCGAAATCTGACACGAAGTCTGCACTGGGTAATTTGTTGCAACTCTAATCGCCTTAAAGTAGAATGCGTAAAATAAAATAAAAAATATTATCAGACGATGAACGTATCATTATCGATCCATTGATCGTTGGGATTAAGAAAATAAATATCAGCAGCAATTTAAGATGGTAATTTTTCTTAAGATATTAGTGACGTTTCGATCATTCGAGCCAAGATTTTGAAGATCCAAGACTCAGAGATTGAGACTGGAGTTTGCTACTTATTGCTCGAATACATCAAGTCTCAGAGTTGAGTCATGGTCTCCGTGCGTTGCATGTTTTTGGTCTGAGAGCATATGCATACAGCACTGCACATTGTTGCAGAATGCAGATACCGAATGCAGACCGAGACCAGCAGTACCAGAGAAAGAGAGTTGGAGAGCATCAGTGAGCAGTCTGATCTTACTGTAATAATAGATATAGGTATATGTTGTAATGTGCTGGCGAGGAAGGCTCTTGCTTGTATGTGTGTACTTTAATGTGTGTGTGTATATGTGCATCAACTATTGCAAACGCTAAAACGAACCCCGCTCGGCGCAAGCTGGTAAAGCAAAGTAGTAGTGGGTGAGCCCAGTGCGCATGCGTCCCGCATCTCTGTTTCTCTTTTATTTCTGTCAATGCGCCAGACAGAGACAGCGCCAGTCCAGTGCGAACGCGAGCAGCAAAATGGACGCCTTTGTGTCGGTTTTCTTCGTAGCTGCACTATAAATAGTGCCTCCTGGTGCAGGAGCCTGGCCGGCGGCCCACAAAGACTCCAAGGACACGCTAGCGAGCCCCAGCCGAGGAGCAGCTGAATACGAGGAGAGACGGAGCGCTCTTGGAGGCGGATAACAGCGCGCGTTACTAACACGCCAGCCGCCAGCCACCGCTATAGACCATTATACATTGCGCTACACCAACACAGCTGCACCTCGCTGCTCTCGCGTATATACACATCTACGATCCCGCCAAGCAAAACATCTTTTATATTTCCAACATTCGCTTCGCCGAGCCCACCCCGGACGATACCCGCCGACGAATTCACTCCTTACTGGTAAGACTTGCACGAATGCTATCTTGAAAGCGTCAACCTCCTTTTGCCTCGTCCTAAAAATTACGCAGAAATAACTATTCCGTGGCGGCCTGTGCTGCGTCTCGTACGTGTGTGTCTCTGCGTGTCCATATATATACCTTTCATACTTGTGTATACATAAATATATATATGTATACACATACACGTATATACATACTAATATTCTCGTCCGTTACTCTGTGTACGTGAGAGAATAGAATGTGTGTTTATGCGTGATACCTCGCTGAGGTAAACCGATTTCACTTTTTTAACCAATTTCCACCAAAAATTCACCATCGATAACTTGGCTTCATCTTTTTCTGCAGGTTACTGACTTTCAATCAACTATGAATACTCTACTTCAAGACCCTAGAGCTTCTTCAAAGTTTGGCTAATGACTGCCAAAACATCATGGGAACTTGAGTTTAAAAAACTGTTGCTAGCGCCTTAGTGGTGGTACTTACTAAACGTTTGTTAAGTGTAATCAGTGTACAGTTTCTCTTTGTGTTTCCTTAAACAAGTTTTGTGATCAAACATTTGATCTGTGCTTCAGTGATGCAATGAAAATAAGTGTGGTTAGTCATTACAGTGCACCTAGACACTCAGTATTGTAACCAAAAAAGTTCAACCGTTAATTTAAGCTGTGAGAATCTGATAAGTATACATTCAAGCTTACACTATCAGATGCCAGAACAAATCAAAGTCAAAATGAACGGGGTAGTACCAAATGTACCAATTACTACTCTTGCAGGCATTGCAAGCCTGTCGGATTTGTTGCCAGAGATGCCTCTGCCAACTCCTTTACCTCAAACTTTGTCCAATAAATCTCTTCTATTTCATCCAAGGGTAACTGAAGAGGCCAAGATTTTACTTAGTATGCAAGATGATAATCTGATACCGCAGCTTATCATGTCAATCTCGCAAACATCATCTGAGCATATTGAATTGAAAGATCAGTATGCGCATTTAGAGCAACCTTTGGAAGCGCAGCAAAATCATCCAGAATTATTAAAAGCAATTTTAAAAACTAATCCTAATGTTTTTAAAGGGAACAAATATGGTTCTGCACAAATTTGGCCCCAACAGCAATTAAGCTGCAGTTATGAAGGATTTTCCCCATCTTACTCAAATTCATCAGGATCTAGGCAAACACCACAAGGTAGTCCTGCTCACATGGCAGTAGGACGTTCAATGATACCTGGTGGTATACCACTTGCGCAACATCCTGGGATGCCAGTTGCTCCCCAGAATCATACAGACGTTACTCAAAGTAGTCCTTTTACTGTGCCTTCGCCATCTTCTCGTGCAACAGTCATTACTGAGCAAACTAGAACATCTACTACTCCACAACATTTAATTGATGAAACTCAATATTCTAATAATGTAGCAGCTCAATTTAATATGCAGTCTCCAGCACATTTGAATATGGCTAGCCCAGTTGTATCGTCTCTTGGTAATGTCACTCCGCAACATCATATGATCAGTAGTACTGGAATGAGCTCTCATCAAAATATGCATATGACGACAACTGCAGACAATAGTGACCAACTGTCTCAACAAATGCAAGCACATCACCACCCTCTACACCAACCTCATCAAATGCATCAGCCCCAAATGGCTGTTCATCAACAAATGTTTGATCCAATGGTTGGTAGACAAGTTCATCAACCTCAGATACCTCAAACAATGGATATTGATCATACCATTGGACATGATTATCAGCAAAATATTCTGGATCAGGTTGCTGGTCTTTCTGAAATGTTGGACGCTGTTCCCCCTATGACATCGGCACAACCCAATGTGTTTGATAGTGTAAATACTAACTCAAATATAGGTAATCCAATGATGTCTTTACCACAATCTGGATCATATTCTACACATCAACCAGATATAACATATGATCCATCGATGGCGCAACACTTATTGCAAATGCCTTATGGAGGACAGCAACAGGTTGATCTCGCACCATCAGAACATTTGTTACAGCAGCCAATGCAACCACAAGTACAACAACCCCAAGTACAGCCACAAGTGAACATGTTTGAGAAAGAAAAAATTTCTTTAAAAGAACCTGTCATTATGCTTAACAGATCATTGGCTGATCAAGCATTGATGAAAAAAGCTCTAGATGCATCTCCTCATAAATCATCAGGTAGAACAACACGAAATAGAGAAAGTATGTCTTCTAAAAGTGTGGATAATAAATCAATCAAATCTGAATCAGATAGCGATGAAGACTATAATAGTAAAAGCAACAAATACTTTAAATCTAAGTCAAAAGATAAAGAAAAATCAGATAAAAAAGAAAAACGTACTTCATCAGCTAGAAGAAAACGAACACTTGAATCCAGTGATGAAGATGATAAAAAGAATGAGACTGTTTCACCAGTTAAACCAAAAATTCGAAAAATTGAAATGAAACTTATCCCTGTTTTACCCAAGCTCAGTGTCGAAGAGCTAATGGAAACAAATACTTTTCAACGATTTAACTCATTGGTTGAAACAATATTTGATAATACAGAAGAAGCAGCCTTTGAAGAGATCGAAGAAGATGGTGATGTTCCACAGGAATTGCTCATTCCTGACCATCAATTACAAACATTATGTTCCGAAGCAGCAAAATTGAAATCACTGGCTGCCATGGAATCGGTACCTGCTGAAAAACTAGTTAGGCTATTGAATATCTTAGAAAAAAATATTCGCGACGGAGCTCGAGTTTCGCCATTGGCGGATCCAGATGACGATGTCGAGCAAAGCCGAATGTGGATGCAGATAGCAATGAGCAGAGTGCAACAAGCCGTCGATGCCTCTCTAGTTTGCTTACATATTATGACATCGAGTAACATGCCAAAAGCAATTTATTTGGAAGACGTGATCGATCGAATAATTGTTTTTGTCAAATTTCAATTACAAAATACTATTTATCCATCCTATGATCCAGTTTACCGAGTGGAATCGAAAAGCAAAAACGAGTCGCTGCTTTCAAGCGCGAAAAAGAAACGCAGCCACGCTAAAGAAGTCCGAGAGAAAAATTTAGTTATGGTCTATAGTAAACTACATGAGTTGGTTGGGCTTCTAGCAGAGCTCCTAGGTATACAGATTTTAACGGACACCAGCGTGTTGCACGCCTCGACGATGGGTGTTGCTCCCTTTTTCGTTGAGAACGTCAGCGATCTACAGCTCTCGGCTTTGAAGCTAGTGACGGTAATCTTCACCAAATATGAAAAGCACCGGCGTTTATTGCTCGAAGATATTCTAGCGAGTATAGCAAGGCTACCAAGTAGTAAACGAAGTCTGCGCACCTACAAGCTCAGTACAGATGAACATATCCAGATGCTGACTGCACTTGTACTTCAGCTCATCCAATGCGTTGTCGTTCTTCCAGAAACGGGAATACGCGGTACGGGAGAAAAATTATCGAAAGAAGAAAAAGAATCGGGTCTGATGAACAATGTCGACATCGATCTGCTAATATTGAACAAGTACGACGCAGCGCAAGGAATTGCCGGCAACTTTCTCGGGGCCTTTCTGAAAAAGTGCAGCAACAAAGGCGAAGAAGTCGACTACCGTCCTCTTTTCGAAAATTTCGTCCAAGATCTGTTGGCTACGGTGAACAAACCTGAATGGCCAGCGGCAGAGCTGATGCTTAGCTTGCTGGGAAAACTGCTGGTCAGCCACTTCAGCAACAAAAGTTCAGACATGGCGATACGCATAGCCAGCATAGAGTACCTTGGTGTCGTTGCAGCTCGTTTGCGAAAAGATGCTGTCAATTCGCATTGTAAGATCGATACCATCGATCAAATTATCAAAGACATCAAGCAAGAACAGGATCGCGACTCCGATTACGATAGCGTAAAAGATACCGCCATCAAAGGACTCAACGAAGAAGAGGAGCGCGTCGTCTTTCTGCAAAAGGTTCTTCTAGATTATCTTGCTGTTAATGGTACGAGAGATTCAGGCTTGGCTTACGCTCGCCACTTCTATCTTGTTCAGTGGTACAAAGATTTAGCTGTCGACAAGCAACGCATTGGACAATCCAACAAGAACATAAGCACTCCCAGTAAAAAGAGTCCAAGCAAAAGTAGTAGCAGCAGCAAGCATAAAAAGAACAAAAGTCGCAGTCGTCATAAAGTAAATAATTTTGATGTTTGAATCATTTTTAATCATTTTTAATTTTTTCAATGTTTCTCTAATTATTATTTTTTTTTTAACAGATGAGCGACGATGATAGCGACGATGACCACGATGATGATCAGGATGGTGACGAAGATCAAGAGAGCAAAGAACAAAAGTACGCCGAGATTTATCGGATAATTGAAGACAAAAAGCGGCTCATAATTCGTAAAATTAGACCGTGCAGTACGAGCACAAAATCTGACAACTTACAGACGTACATAGACTCCAGTTCGGCAGAGCTTATTTCGCAATATTTAGCCTCAACGCGCCCTTTCTCACAATCTTTTGATATTTATCTTCAACAGATCTTGCGGGTACTCACTGAGAATTCAATAGCTATTCGAACGAAGGCAATGAAGTGCTTGACAATGATCGTCGAGGCTGATCCAAGTGTGTTGGCTCGCGTCGACATGCAACTGGGTGTCAAGCATTCTTTCCTCGATCACTCTACGTCTGTACGCGAAGCAGCTGTAGATCTCGTTGGGAAGTTTGTATTGAGTAAACGCGAGCTCATTGACAAGTACTACGACAAACTAGTGGCACGAATTCTCGACACGGGCGTTAGCGTTCGTAAGCGTGTCATTAAGATTCTCAAGGACATCTGTATGGAGTATCCTGATTATGAAAAAATTCCCGAGATCTGCGTGAAAATGATCAGGCGCGTCAATGACGAAGAAGGAATTCGCAAGCTAGTTATGGAGGTCTTCCAAAACATGTGGTTCACGCCAGTCCGCGATCGTGACGCCAAAGCTCTGCTACGCAAAGTTATGAACATCACTGATGTCGTTGCTGCCTGCAAGGACATGGGTTTGGAGTGGTTCGAACAGTTGCTCGTTAGCTTATTTAAGCCCAAGGAAGATAAAGAGGATAGCACCAAGTTACAAACGGAGCCACCGAAAGCGCTTGTTACCGCTTGCACGCAAATCGTTGACTGCCTCATCGAAAATGTATTGAGACTCGAGGAAACCAATCTCAATAACGGGCCCGTTTCTAACGACGCAGAAACACCGAAACGCGGCGCTTCTCAGCGTCTTGTCGCTTGTCTAACCACCCTCTACCTCTTCGCCAAAATTCGGCCACAGCTTCTGGTTGGCCATGCTATAACTCTGCAACCTTATCTTAGTTTAAAATGTCAAACACAAGGCGATTATCAGATAATTAGTAGCGTAGCTCACACGCTCGAGTTGGTTGTACCTTTGATGGAGCATCCTAGTGAGACGTTCTTAGCCCAGCTGGAGGAAGATTCCGTTAAACTAATTTTGCAGCACGATCGTTCGGTCGTAGCCAGCTGCCTATCTTGTCTCGGCTCGATCGTAAACAATGTAACCCGTAACTTCAAACTAATTCGCGACTGTTTCAATAAGTATTACGGGCACATTGCTCATTATAAATCATTTTACGAAAAAGATCCAAAGAATCCTTCACTAGCCAAAGTCAAGCCACTTTTTCGCCGTGCTCTCTTCACCGTGGGTCTGCTTCTGCGACACTTTGACTTCACGGATCATCAAGTGATCGATGGCTTGCCCGAAAACATCAAAGATCAGGTATTCGAAACATTAAGCTACTTCGTCGAGCAAGAAAATGACGATACACGCCAATTCACGTTATCTGCTATTGGCTCGCTTTGCATACGGCACTGTGACTTCATGATGTTGCCTCAATTAGAAGAACTGTACCATTACTTCCTCACGTCGGAAGTCGCACCTGTACCCATGAGAGTTCAGGTTCTCAACAACATCGAGCTTTATTTGGCTGAAGAAGAAAAACGCATGATTCGGCAAGATCTCGAGTGGGCAAAATTATCGAAGCAAGAAAATCTTAAAGAGATGGGTGATGTCTCTTCGGGGATGGCCAGTGCTGTTATTCAACGTTATCTTACTCAAATTCTCGAATCCTATCTTCACAGCAACATAAATGTGCGTCATGCGGCACTGAAGGTTGTTCAACTTGTGTTAGCCCAAGGTTTGGTGCACCCAGTAGCTATTGTACCTTACCTTATATGCATGAGTACTGATTGTGAGAAATCGCTCAGCCATAGCGCTGACAAACAGCTACAGGACATCGAAAAAAAATATCCTGGTTTCGTTCACACGAAAGCTCAAGTAGGTATCCGCTTGAGTTACCGTCTCCAGCAGATACTGCAAAAAGATTTGATACTCGTTCGTGGCATGCGCATCAAAGAGGGAGAGTATCCCTCAGCTCTCAATGGATTTCTTTATAGCATATTACGTGGTACCAAACAGCAACGTCGAGCCATTGTTCAGTCAATTTTGAAGCAATTTGACGAAAGTGTCAAAACCAGTCTTTCGCAGATGCTTTACCTTGCAGATAACTTAGCCTACTTTAGCTATCAAGTACAAGACGAACCGCTATTCATAATTCATCACATCGACATTATAATTTCTATGTCTGGAATGAATCTACTTCAACAATTTAAAGAAGCACTGATACCAAAAAATAATCAAGTGCTTGGTAATCAAACGACTCATCTTCAGCTACCTCAAGAGATTCCTCTAGAGCAGCAACAGTTGCTGCACCAAATTGAACAAATCCAACAAATGTACCCACAGGTAATAAAAATTACTATGAAAAATTATAATTTTAATCTCAATGTAAAATGTTTCGTTAAAAAATCGATATTCCTGTCATTTTAGGGAGATGGTTTGAATATAGCTGGACAAGTAGCAGGTATCACTCATCCAACGGCAAGTGCCATTCCCAGTCAAGTAGCTGGCATAGCACCGGATCAGCTTAATTCTGCAGCGTCTATGCCACCTAACCAACCTACACAACCGGCTATGCAACGTTTCAATCCAGATGGAACACCTAAACCCGAACAAATGTTATCTGTTGCACTCGAAGACGAAGAAGATGATGAAGAAGATGAGGATTCGGTGCTTGATCGAGTCCCTCACGATACGCGGCAACTTCGTGGCTACATAACTGCTAGTCAAGGATTTTTATTACTTTTAAATTTACGCCAACATCTTAAAGATTTGTACGGGTTTAGTGACGCAAAAATTAGCCAATATTCACCGATAGAATCGGCTAAAATTTATGAAAAAGCTGTTAGTCGTAAAAATAATCAGTTGTTCAAACCTAAAAACACTTTGGAAAGAATTGCAGGTGACAAGCAAAAAACTGAGGATAAAGAGCTCGATGACGAAGGCCGACGTCTACTCGTTAAAGAGTATCTCAACTTTAAACAGCTCATGCTTAAATTTGATCCTGATGATCCTGAAGATGATGATGATAACGATGATGGTACCGGCAAGTCACCTAGGAAAAGTCGACAAAGCCACCATGGAAATCCTGGATCCTCCGAGGTGGTTAGTGAGCCGGTACAGTATCAAGTGCACCAGGTACTCGAACAGCAAAATCACTCCACGGCCCCAACTCAAGGACCACCGCGTGTACCAAAACTTACCATTCATGCAACGCATCATCATTCGCCTGAAAAAGAACATCGTAGTAAGCACCGAACCAGCCACAAAACGGAAAAACCGAAAAAACATAAGAAAAAGAAACGGAGACGAATATCCGATAGCAGTGACAGTGGAGACGACTACAGCGACCCAGATTTCGCAGTGTGAGTAGTTCCTCGGTCTTCCAGAGTTAAGGATCTCTATCATTTTCTCATCAATTTAATCTTTTCGCGATATCACTATTGTGCTGGTGCTGGACGCTCATACTCGGAGTAACTTGAGTGCTTTGAAGACACTTGTATCTATTGTGTAAATATTTGATGTCGATCATAAATTGTGATTTGAAAAAAAATACATCGTATCTGTTAAGTAAGCAGACTATAATAAATATGGACCAGAAAAGAATATCAATGTTTATAAAGTTGGAAATATAAATAAATATAGGAATATATTACTAAGTTTAAGATGCAATTTTAAAAAAAATTGAAAAGGTAGAAAATTGATTTCTAAGCTGGCACAATTTATTCAAACTAATAAACTAATAAAGCGCAATCCAGTCACTTTTACTAAAACTCAAAGTTGTTTTGAATGATAATTCTAAATTTTGTAAAACAAAGGCATGCATTATCTCTGCATAATGCTCATTATGTATAAAAATTCTGGAAAATAAGTGATTAAAATCTTTCTAAAAGATCTTATTTTCTTACAAAATAAAAAGAGTGTTACAATGATAACAATTATATAAAGTGATGACATAAAGGCGTGTTTACTTTTTCACTTCTTTTGATGCTATTTTCAATCGAAATTTTCTAAATTTACAAGCTTTTGGATCCTTTTTATGTTTTTTTTTTTTTTTTTTTTAAGTAAACTAATATGCATTATATCTTTCAATTATTATCTGTAAGATATTAAACGAAAAGATTGCTACTTATAATCAAACTACAAAATCGTTGTTACTTATGATAAATCATTATTTTTCATGGAGTTCCGAAGTATTCAAAAAATTGATAATCATATTAGCTATACATGAGATACATTTCATATTATAGTACTACGTCTTTGCATTTTTCTTTACCTAGCTTCTTATATGTCTAAGTTAAATATTGTTCATAAATAATCTCGTAAATTTAATTGTTGTAATAGACCAAAAGTGGCGTTAGTAGATAGAGAAAAGTAATTCTTTTTTTTGTGAAAATTTTATGTTATGCTCGTCATGTGATTGTTAAAAAGTAAATCTTATTATTAATGTCGTTTACACTTATAGTTTGTCTTCAGGTGATTTCCAGATCAAAATTTTGGTCGTTAATTGAATTTTAAGAAGCTTCTTGATATTGCCGCGATAGGTTCAATCAAAGTTTTCCAATTAAGTACACAAAAGCAGATAAAATTTATTTTCTACAAAACGTCAGAAGCGTGCAATGATATAGATCTTTTAGTGTCAGTGAAAACATTTTTCATTTCACTAATGTATTTTAATTCATGAACAAAATAAGGCATAAGATTACGTGATAATTTTGATTGAATGGAATAAAGAAAGTGTGAGAGAGAATAAATGAAACCATGTTTTAACTTGTGTCGCAGCTCAGAAGCTCAGATTGCAAGAAGAAAAATAGAGAGAAAAAAGAGAGAAATAGAAAGAAAGATCTGTAAATATTATTAATGCATAAAATTATAATGAAAAGTAATATAGATAGCAATTATTTCTCAGATTGATAAATAGGTAACAAGTTATCTATACTCTTATTGTAAAAGGTACATACTAAGATGGTATATACTTGGGAGTAAATACGTTGATGAGAGGAGAATTTTTATGTTATTAAGCTTTTTGCTTAAAAGAATGAAAGGTACTATCTAGGGTCTACCTTTCCGATGTAATTATTTCTAGAAAGTACAGTGAATTTAAAATGATTATATTTCTACGTATGTATAGTTTTAAATAAATTTTAAAAAAATTAACGGCTCTACGAGTACATAAGTATTTCTATAAGATGCATCTCATTGTATGGAGTGTAGCTATTGTGTCGAATATGGTTCTTACACAAAATAAAGTACATATTGTATATTGAGTAAGTTGAAAATATAACTTTGTAGAATAGTATCCTGTTCGACGCAATATCGAGGCTCGTTTGTATTATAAATCATTTTCGCAGATAACACGTACACTATCACACATGCACACACATTATCAGAATGTTTTTGTACTTGGTATTAAAGAAAAAAAACTTCATCGACACTGACTAACTCAAAAACTATTCAAACCTGCGATCGCATCAACTGAGTAAAAAATATATGTGTAAATATATATGTATTTATAAAGACATGTATATACACACCATTTTTCGAGCGGAGAGAAATGCAGTGTTAATGTTATCTGTAACATGCAATTAACCGTTTGTGCGTAGATATCCAAGGAAACGAGAAAATCGTTGTAAGAAAATGCGGTTGTGAGATAATGGAAAAGTGAAAACAAAAGTGACATCAATAGGCGGCATTTCTGGATAAACGTTAACATTCATTTACTCTTACTTATCGTGTACATCGTTTTGAAATTTATTGAAAAAAAGAGTTAAAAATAAATAAAATAAACATAGAAAAATGAAAGCTCGTTTTTTACATTTTCTTTCAAAACAGTTCCCTAAGGCCATTTCTCTTTGAGATTAAAATAGCAAAGATTTTTATTGGTAAGAATTGTTTTTTAATTTAGTACCATCTATTTTTTACACAGGCTTATATATAATCTCATAGTTCTTATGTAAGTAGAACTAGGTCGGTGTCATTTATTTTGACGAGTCATCGAAGTTTGAACATCTTCCTGACTTTTTTCAACAGTCCTAGAAAATATAAAAAAAGAAAAAAATGATTTCACATTTGAAAAAGATTTCTCGAGAGAAATCCTATAGAAATAAATGAAACGAAATAAAATATTCGTTAGTACCTATCAGAAGTGCCGGAGTCATTGCTGGAGAAGTTTGTTTGCAAAGCGTCGAGCAGTTTCCGCTCCATTTTATTCTGATAACCGATCGAAAAATCGTACACTCGTCTATCTTCAACTCGGCGGCCTCTAGAATTGAGCGCGCGCCGACGCTCGTCGATCAAGCGCAGCTTTTCGCGCTGCTCTCGGGAACGGAGCACCAGCTGACGTTTGCGCTCGGCCTCGGCTCGTTTGTGCACGGCCAGTCTCAAGAGCCGATCCCGAGCAGTGGAGTCGTCGTTGACCGGACGCCCGGGAGACCGTAATGGCTCGCACGGGTCTCGCGGCTGCGAACTACAGGATTCATCGCAGGATTTAGCCGAGATCGCTGCGACGCTGGTAGGCTGCTCGGACGAGTGGGACGCGAGATCGGCTCGTCTCCGCTGACGCCACTGCTGCACGGCTTGTCGCTGCTGCTCGCGCAGCTCGAGGTAGCGACGGTACCAGAGCTCGTGCTCGACGATGGCCTCGCGGCTCAGATCGGGACACTTGGCCTGGACCAGACGCACCAGCTGGGCCAGGCTCTGCTTGCCGGACTTGGAGCGCTGCTGCTGGCGCTGGCGCAATCTGCAGAACAGCTGGTGGTCCTCCTCGCTCCAGTTGCCGTTGTGGCCGCTCCTCGCCAGCAGACCGCACAGGTCCTGCACGCTCGACGACGCTTCTCTGTCGCTGACGGTGCTTCTCTTTGCCGGCCCGGTCTCGCCGCTGCTGCTGCCCTTCGTCGAAGCTTTTTCCTCCTGCTGTTTGCGTACGACTCGCAGCAAGCCTACCAATTCGCTCTCGAGGTCCTTTTGCTCGGCCACCAGAGCGTCGAGGGCCACGAGTGATTCTTTGCTCTCTTGCATTCGCTTCCACAAGGAGTGAAGTTTCGATTTGAACGACTCCAAGTCTGACATGTAAAATAAAAATGTTCGATAATAATTTGATTTTGTATTTACTTTCATCTCAACTCGTGAGCTATATGCACGTACCGATTGTCTCAACGTTGTCTTCGTTTATCATTGATTTGGCATCTAACAGCTCTTCATAAATTACTCGCACATTTTCATTCAACGTGCCCGTCAATTGTTTCCTAGTGAATTTTCTCGTGTTATCGATTCGCTCGCTTTTAAAGAGATAGGTAGCAAAATTAAGGTAAAAATATGAATAGTCAAATGCTTTTTTTGAGATTTTCAGGGATTACTGTTGAGCCATGTGAACATTCAAAAAAGAATCAAATTTGAATTTGTTTGTTAAAATTATGTTCAATAGAAATCTCAAATAATGCATTCAAAAATGATTATACTTTTTCTAGCTTGATCGATACACCACTAATATTAAACAATCAATTTCTTACCTTTCGATCTCAACACTTTCAGAATTGCGCCTAATGGTACAAACCATTTCAAGATCGAGCTTTGCATTTGCTAAAAGAGTTTCAATTGATTTTTCAATGTAACATTCCTGCTGCTTCAGTTTTAAATAAACTTTCAAAGTTGGAGATTTAGAGTAACTATCCATTGTATCGTATCATCATTGAAAACCATACTGTTTCGTGGCAGTTCATTCTTACGACCCCTTCGAAACAACTTTGTATGCATCATTCGCTGCAGTTACTATGGTAATTTTTCGGACCTGGGAATTTAAGGACGGCAGAAAGGCGGCTTGGTAAAGAGAAATACGACTGTAAGTATGCTTAAATTTCATTTATATTACAATTTTTTGCATAAATTAGACGATTATCTAATGTACACGCGCATCGATTTCCTTAAAAATTTTCTTACTCATTTACGCTCTCTACATCCATTTCTTCTATTCATTGGCATTTTACCACGTTTTAGAATATACATTCAGATGTATCATTTTTTCTCCAGCTATCTCTACAGATTTTTTGGCTGAACGAGCAGTTATCTGTTGTCAGCTGTAAGTAACGTAATAAATTTTATACAAGTTGTAAAAAATACCATTGGCAACCAGTTGTTGTAATATATTTATACGTTAGCCTTTAGTTTACCATCACGTTTTTCTGATAAACAATAGAATTATCCACATGAAATAATTTAAACAATATTTTACGTATTTTATCAGTTCTTTGCAAATATCAGAATTGTAAATTATTTAATTGCAAATTAAATAATCCTGCATTTATGAAAATCGTGTAAAATTATTTAATTCGAAAATCATACTATTATGAACGTGAATCAGAATTCATTGTTTTCGTGACAATGCTGAAAGTTTAAATAAACATTCTTTGAATTTGTCTAGTTATTTTAATTGAATGTCATCATCTTAATGGTAAAATTTGATTTCACATAGCAACAAACTGTCACAATTTGTACAGTATGCTTGAAATATAGAGCTCTGAAAATTCAAAAACTGAATCAACAAAACTGAGCAAAGTTTGATTGATTTGTTTTCAGTATGACTAGTTTGCTACTACAATTGATTAAGCTTAAGCCTGAGGATAAAACAACAAAAAAACTCATACATATTTTTGAAAATCATTTCCGTTCCATTCAAAACACATCCAAACTTGCTAATATTTTACATTTTTCACTCTTGGACGCATTATAATTAAAATATTTATTTCTTGCAATATTATCCTAAAACTACATGTACCTAATTTTTTACAATATTTTTAAATCCGACTAGAGGATTACAAATTAAAAAGATTTCATCAGAAAAAATTAAAAACATAACAGTTAACAAAATCCTACTATAATCGTTATTTTGGAAAATGGAAAAAACGCGCATTCAATACCATATAATTTAGATTTTTTTCGTTCAATCAAGTCATTCATTCTTACATTCTTAAATGTAAATATACTTATTGTTATCACGTCTTTACTCACATAATTAAGTAATATATTGCCCGCTAACACACTTATCTATTAACTTTATACGCAAAAATTTAATAAATTCCTCAAAAGATAATCACGGACGTCTCGAAGTCTTGTCACTTAATACTTGAAATAGGTCTGAATTTGCAGTGCATCAGTTTCAGATTTTGATTTTAATTGAAAAAGGTATTGTTCAATTATCATTTTAATCATTAAGAACATCACAAATTTTTTGATCAACACATCTTATGTTCTAAAACACTTGACAAGTACAGAGAAAAATTGTATGCAGTGATGGTACTTGAGATAGTGTAAACATTGATCAAGATATAGTACAAGAATTTCGACCTGCACAACTAGTACGTGAATCGTTAATACTTCCGGACGGTGAATTACCTGGCGTTGAAGATCCTGCACTGCTACTACCTATAACATTAGATAAACGCAGCTTACGATGTCCAAGATTCAATGACTTAATGCTACACAGTGTTCTACTGCCACAGGATGTATGAATACGATGTCGAATATGAGGAACAGAGGTCATGGCATACGATTTTAAGTGTGATTTTATTGAACCCGGCAGAGGTAGTTGTTCTATTCCATAAACTGTTGTTCTAGCCACTATCGCACGACATGCCAGTTCTTGTAGACTCAAAACTAAAATTTTTAATATTAAAAATCGTAAATAAAATGTGTTTAAGAGTTCTTTCATTAAATAATATAACAGAGGAAAATCAAATCTGTATTTAAAATATTTTTCAAATAAATTTACCTTTATTTGATCTCCACAAACGTTCCATTCCATTGCGATGAAGGGCCATTCGAGAAAGTTCAGAAAAACTTTCACGAATATTAAAATCACAGAGTGGTGATACCTCAAAGAATGCCATACGATTCTTAGCAGCATATTGTTCAGCATCTCGCTCACTGACTTGGCGTTTAAAGGCCAAATGCAGGCGATTACCAACAAGAACCTTAGGCACTCCAGGAGCTTGCTGTAAAATAATTATAAAAAAAGATTAGCATAAAGAACCATTTTGTGCATATTAATTAAAAAGAAATATATAGTTACTAACCTCTTCTACCTCTTTTAGCCATCTGTCAATTCCATCAAAAGACCACTTATTAGTAATATCATAAACCAGCAGTATACCTTGAGCTCCTCTAGAATATGATCTGATAATAGTGCAGAATCTACCTTGACCTGAAGTATCCCATAGTTGAAGTTTTACCCTTTTTCCATCCAGCAAAATGGTAGTGGTTTTGTAAGCTATAATGATACAAAAAAAACTTAAAAAATGTTTGGCTACAAAAGCGTAATTTACTAACCACTTCCACTGCAAAAGGGAGACTCAAAGGCACCATCGTCCAGACCACTGAGAATCTCCTGTTTACCAACATCACTGTCACCTACCAAAAGAAACTTGAGCAAATAATCATACTGTTTCTCTTGTCTAGGTTTACTGGTAGCATGGCTTTGCCCTCCTGCTGCCATGATAGCCTCGGGCTCGCGTTGAGCATACTGCAGTATCGACCAGGAGGTATCCGTCAGCAACAACCAGAGTAGTTTAGTTCAGAAACAATTCATGAAAGCAATCCAACGATATGGAATCAGATACAATGATATCAACAACAACAATAACAACAGCGGCAGATGTTTTAAAGACTGCTATGCATCGACCGCGTCACGTTTAGCAAACCATTTAGGATTCGAAAGTATATATTTCGAACTTAATTGCGTCGATTCTTCGCGATGCAGCTGGCGTGTGATTATAAAAACACGCGAGAAAGAGCTCTGAGAGTGGAGAGTTAAAGAACGAACGAACGAGCAATGCAAGGATAGAAGGGAGAGAAGAGAGCGAGAGAGAGAGATAGAAAGCGCGTCCTTGAGTAAAAAAAGAAAAACACCTGGCAAGGTAACACGACGAGAACAAGAATACAGTCAAGTCTGTAAAGCAAACCGGTTGATAATAATGCACACCCGTTAAATGTCCCACTGTGGCAATCTGCGAGTGTAGCTGATAATCCGACTGACTTGGGAACGTGGAGGATCAAGGAGCATCGTCGCTTGAGTACACAAGCGAGTATTATCACTAATGCTCCGAAATAATGCAAAACTGGTCAATAATTGTTATCCAGCCAACGACGGTCCGCGTACAAGTACTGCTGACTGCCTGCCATGATACACTGTAGGCAGCAATAATCAAGAAAGAAAGGAGACTGCGCTCACGGCGCAACTGTTGGCTGCAGGCAACACTCGAACTGACTTAACGAACGGCAAGCGCAACGTATAACGGCCGCAATGGGGCTAAGCTTACCTATATAAAATGTAAGTCAGACGGTGCGCAGTAGCAGTAGCAGCAGCTATATCACCAGTCACCAAATAAGAGCTGGGCATATAAACTCAATGCTACTTCGATGCTTTGCACTTGCTCGCGCTTACAAAACAAAAACATACACAACAATATTATAAATGTCAGTAAGGCGGCACAGCCTTTGCACTTGACGTTCGCTGCCGAATGCCAAATTGTCAATGATCACACTAGCCGCCTATACAATTGTCGGTAGCAGTAATACTGACTCGTACACTGCACTGTCACAAACTGTTATGTGTGCATGTGCCCCAGCGCACAAGCGTTTAGAAATCAAAAGTACACTATCATCTTTCAGTAAGCTCAAGTTAACACTCGCACGTTGCTCGTACATGCAGCATAAATGTAGATATGTTTAAATTCAAAATAAGTATTTACACTTACTTTAGTAATACAAATATACAAATAACGTTTTAGTTAAACGTTTCAATTCAATTTTAAGAGCAATAGATTCCTTACGTACTTTAAAATACATATCTTTATTAACTTAAATAAATTCCAATAATTTTTAGACCATCTTTTTTTAATTGTAAGATATTCTTTTGAAAGTGTTTCGACTCGCGCGCGAGACATGGTAACTATTTTTTGGCGAGGAATTTGTTTGGCGTTGAACCATGGAGTACTCCTGATGGAGTAAAAATATTCGAATTACGTTTCCCCATTCGGCGAATTTTCGCGATGGTATCTGTTCGTAAATAAAATGCACATCAACTATAAAGACGGATTGAACCAAAGTAAAGACACGAACAAAAGGATGAGAAAAAACGGATTTGAGAAAAATGTTCAACTTTTCTTTTCTAAAATAGTTGTAGTAATAGTGTAACAAAATACTTACAGAAGATAGAAGATAAACGCGGAAAAAATATTACACGATTAACGATACTACGCGTATCCGCTGTACTTTTTTTTACTATTACTTTGTTAATTAAATAATCGATCCGAACATTATTTCCATGCTTTCACTATTAATCATTAACTTTACCTACAAGCTGCTCAGATATATTGTATGAAGAACAGTTCCAAAACTCACCTGGTGGCCGAAATTGTGTAAAAAAAAATGAAGATATTTTTGAAGCTTACAATCAAATGATTTTACAGGTTCAAGTGTGACATGAATGAAAGCACATTATATTTTGGAAAGAAGGATTTAAATTTCAAATTGCACCAAAAAAGAAAAAAAAGCATTAGTAACCGTCGTAAGCAGTATTTATTTCTGATAGTTATCTTTGTTATCATCACCTTATTCGTGAAATATACATGTTATAATCAAATCAGGTATATCGGGCACTGTTAATCATCATCCTTAATTGTAGTATGTATAGCTCATATAAGCGACATTCAATTTTGTATATGCAGGCATTCTCGAAAAATTTTAGTAAAGCACAATTCGGAAACTTTCGCACCGGATCACGGATGCCTTATCGACTGCTGCAGATTACCGCATGTATAATAGGATAACATTTATACCAAAATTGTACAGTTTAGCTCGTAAAATGCGATAACTGCCATGCAGACATACCAGCTCAATTAATTTTATTAATTTTACTTTTATTAATAATATACATATACATACATGTATAAGCGAGTATACATGTACATATGTATCTATACATTAATATTATGCACATTACATGACAAGATGTACAAAAAGCGCTTGGACGTTTTTTCTCGTACTCTTGAAACGAATAGCGTTGACCATTCACTTGGTTGATTTTCTTCATTCCCTTACTTTACCGATCAATTGTATTGTATACTTTAATTCATTCTTACATTCTATACATATTCAACATTCCTCAATACATAAGACTAATATTATAATAGTATGAACCACATTTTCATCATTCATGTTTCATTAATATTTTATGTTAAATATTAAGCGTTATAGAGATCATTTCTTCGATTTCATCGTCGTTACTTTACGAGAAAAGTCAACTTTTCTCTGCTCTCCTTTACAAATATTACACTTAAAATACAATCAATCATTTCTCGATGTTGCAGCATTCGCATAAAGTGTACACATTATCTATACATATGATAAACTAAATTATAGTGGTTATGATACAAATGATTATACATCTGGGATGCGGTGTGTGCTCTAATTTTTCATTTTTTTTCAAGTTGTACCGTGATTTTCTTTATTAAGATGCTACGTTGGAATATGATTCTATTACTGCTGCGTTGTCTGGATTTTGTATTGTACAGTAAGACTGCTTTGTTATCGACATTGTTCTAATGATCGTTAGTTTTTCGTAAAAGATTTTTTCCATACTATATCACAAACGTATTGCGAAAAAAGTCGATACGCGAGGAACTTCTCGTTTCTTTAATTTTTTTTTAAGAATTCGCAAAAAAAGAATTCATTAATTGAAATCGCTTTTTATATTTAATAACATAGTCATAACAATGATTCTTTTTTATTGACATTCACGCGAGATACTTATATTCAAAAAGTGGCAGTAACTCATTCAATTCATATTATCTAATGTTTTCGATAGTTTGCTAATTATCGTACAAATTCGACAGTCATTGGTGCTCGCAATATCTTTGACTAATTATTAATATAAATCTAGAATCTTATCATAATTTTCAAATTATATTTACAGTTGAAGCTTTATTGCATGCGTGTATATAATCACGCAGTCGTCGTTTAAAGTTACATTTTTCTAAATTCATCTTCAATATGTTTTGAATGATTGCAAATGCGACGTCCTGATTTCGCCATTTAGTCGATACATGAATATTAATTTTTGAGCGTGACTTTTCTTTGTTTTGAGGCGTTAATACATATATATTACCTGAAAAAAATGCAAATAAATTTTGATAAAAAGGCATGAATTTATATAAACATTTTTTTTTCGGAAGTATCGGTTTCGATTACTCTTAAAAAACGGTTTTTTTATTAAAAATTTGAAAATTATTTTAAAATAATCTTGGCTTGTTTTACCGCTCATTTGAATTATTCATGTTGAAAGTCATTGTAGTGTTATTATAAATATAATTCCACTATATTGGTAATAGCAGTATTTATCGTTGAATGGTCACTATTTCACAAAAATTCGTCTCGCAAACGAATAAACAACAATTAAATGCATAGAAACCCGCATGCATTGTAGCTTCACGCAAGTACCACACTTGTTTAGAAAGAGCATTACCAGGCTATCACTCATAGTTTAATGAAAATTTTCTTACAAAACTCGAATATTTGTATATACTTTTCTCACACAAATAAGGTGTATTTAATAAGACGATGATAAGTAGGTAAAATTGATTAATCGATCGTTTAATTTTTTCGTGCGAAAAGTCTTCTAACTTTGTGTTTATTATTCGCACTAAAAAAGTGTAGAATAATTACGTAAACCTTAAAGCGATTCATTACTAAATGATTTTACTAACAATGGTACATATGATTTACAATTTTTTCTGCAGCTTTTCATCGCGTTATTGCAACATTTTTCAGATAAAAGGTGATTTTATCATATTGCCGAATTACAGAGAAAAAAAATGTTCCTTTTGACATAAAAACTTTATGCGTGCCAAATAGTTTTACAATTTTTGAAAGCTATATTCATCAGAGTCGAAAAATTCTAGGGAACTATGGTACAATTTTATAAAATTTTTTAAAAAATGTTTCCTTATATAATATGTTTTTTATAATATATTTTTGTACATTTCAAGATTATCAAATTAATTGCTGAAGATAACAAAAATTTTTGCTTTAAATACTTAATAATGGTTCATTCATCACATTTTAAAAATTATAGTAAGTAGTCTCACATCACTAAACCAATATTATTTACAATCGATTATGCTTTAGGAGCCAACGAAGACAATTCGTTTCAGCGATCAGCAGAATAGCTATAACGTAAACAAGAAAATATACTTCACGAGCAAAAATGTATCGTTTTCTGACTTTTTCAAAGTGTATTTTCTTCTTAAGTTACATATCATTTACAAAGAGCTATTATAACGTCCTGCTAGTTTTCTTGATCGAAAAGACGTTAGATCACAGCCTTATAATTTAATGCATTAATTTCTTTGCAACAGCAAACAGTGTTTACTACTAACAACTACTTAAAATGCTCGATTTAATATGTAGGTACTTCAAATACCTATATGATGGTGCACGCGTATCTAATACATATCATTCAGATCATAATACCCAAAAAAAGTTTATGCGGTAAATGTTTCATTTATTTAAAGCTACTCAGCAAGAACGCATTGCATTTAGCGACTAAACGCCTTAGAACGTTCTATAAATTATGTCTCATAACTTCTAGTCAATTGACGCTTCAATGACCACAGAAACAGCCATGTATTACAGTTCAAGAAATTTTTTTCTTTTACTTTCACCAGCTTTACATTTATTCTAAACACACACACAAACATACATACATGCATACATACATACATGCATACATACATACGCACAATTTGCCTAATTACAAAGAAATATTCACATCGACGACTTTCTTCCTCTCAAAATTAAGTTGAGATGTACATTAAAACAACATAGATATTCGAGAACAAAAACTATACACGCGCTAATAATCTTTTCAAAGTAAAAATGCTTCAAAATTCAATGTAACCAAATGGATCGATTGTTATCATACATGCACAAAGATTGTGCATCTTTAAGTATATATCTAGATTTATAAAAGTACAACCACACGCATTTTTTTGCAAGATTTAACACTATTGATGTTATACATTCATTCAAGCTAGCAAGTTTAAACAGTCACAGATATAATAAAATGAATGAAAAAATGAAGCAAGTTTCACATAGAAAATGGTTATCACATAAAAATCTCGTTTGTTGCATGTATGCACAATTATCATCGGCTATTACAATTATTATTTAAAAACTTTTCCAATTTTCCATTGATTATGTTTGAAAGTATAGAAGATTGCACGATGACTTATAATTGCATCTGTATCTTGATAATAGTTTAAATAAATTCGAGATTATATCAATAATCGTAAAATTATGTAAAAAACGAAAAGTGAAAAAGTTAAAAAAACAATTGATAGCTCATAACTTCGGGTTAAAGTTTAGAGTTGTTTGTTCATAAATTGTTGGTGATTCTTTTCAATCTTCTAATTTTTTCTCACATAAAATACATATATACAGAAGCTTAGCTTGATCAAGCTAAAGAACATTTGACACTTAGAAGGCGCCAAGGAGTGCTTGCAGGGCTCGAAATAATCGATAAAAAGAAAAAGGTAGGGCAATGTAGTATGAGGTCAAATCGGACGGATGGGTAAAAGGAGGCGCATGAAAAATTGTTTTTTTCATTATCCTCGTCTTCAAAAGGAGAGTCGAAAGTGAAGAAGCGACATTCGCTGGCTGGGGCTCACATTTCGGCTGCGTAGCGTTTGACGTCGTGCCAAGCGGCAGTTTTGTCACCCAGAGCCGATCGGTCAAGCGAAACGCAGCTACCATGACTAGCCTGAAGACCGGCGGCAAGAAGTCCAGCTGGCCCATTGCTTTGACGTTTCACGTCCTGCAAGCTATAGGCAAAATGTATAAGAAGTCAGCCACTGAGAAAAGAATCGATAGCCAACGATTATCTAATCGAAAAAAAAAAAGATAAAGAAAAGTAAGTGCGGGGAAATATACATGTCTTGTATACAGAAAAATAAAATGAAAAAATGCGTGAATAAATAAAATGACGTGCAGAGTAATTAGCTGAGGGTGCGCCGGTACCTGAGGCTATCCCATAGCGGCTTCTTTTGCTGAGAGGCCGAGCTATCGGAGCTCGTCGAAGCCGAAGCAGAAGCCGCAGCAGGTACCGTGGGTATCGGGTCGGAGAAGTTCAACCTCGACAACTGATTGTAGAGCTGCGGCTGAGCAGACCAGGTTGCTGCTTGTTGCTGCTGCTGCGGCTGTGGCTGTTGTTGTTGCGAAAGATCGACGAGCAGATTCGATCTCGCCTGATTCTGCGTGGCAGTGAGACTGGCTGAGGCAGAGTTGCTTTTGTTGGCAGTCGGCTGCCTGTGAGCAGCATCGCTTTTGTGCTTGTCGATGTTGGCCTTGATATTATCAAGAATCGGTTTGAGCTCCAAGGCCAAGTGGTTACGGTCTTTGTTGCTGACCACGGCCTGGGGCGGCGGCGGGGGTTTGCTAACCTGCAGTCGCTTTTGCTGCAGCTGCTGCAGCTGCTTCAACAACGCGGCCTGCTGATGGTAGTTGCAGCAGCTCGCCGTCTTACTGACCTCGCGGCTATTTCCGCCTGGGCAGGTTCGCACCAGCTGAACGCTACCCTGTCAAACAAAGCACAGAGACGGTACGTCATACATAGGTTAAACGATATGGGCCTCGTCGAGGTAACCAAAATACCTGCTGTTGTTGCTGTTGCTGTTGATGATGCGGCTGTTGCTGCTGTGACTGCTGTTGCTGTGGCTGTTGCTGTGGCTGCTGCTGCTGCTGCTGCTGCTGTTGATGGTGATGATGGTGATGATGATGGTGATGGTGGTGCTGCGGCTGTTGAGGTAGCGCATTGTGAAGCGCCGTCGTCACTTGGCAGGCTAGCTGTGTCGAGGACGTCGACGACGAAGACGAGGGCGTGTTGCGTTTGTCCTGCAGCGCCGACTGCTGCGTCAACTGCTGTTCGGGCGGGCGTGGCAGGCGCCGCCTGAGCCAAGCGTGGCGCAGAGCTTCGGCCGGAGTCATTCGGTACTGCGGATCCCACTCGAGGCAGCGCTTGATGAAGTCCAAAAAGTGCTTGTCGTCGCAGCCCTTGAGTGCCTTGCTGAGGTTCTTCGAGCCGGGTGGACCCCGAAACTTGCCGCGATGGGACCAACCACCCGACAGGTCCATTGTGCCGTCCTGGGAAAAGTTGATGCCCGAGTAGCGGGGGTAGCCTTTGGTGCTGAAAAACTGCCTCGCGCGCTTGGCCTTTTCCAACAGTCCCTGGGGCGGCATGCCGAGCAGCTCGATTATGCAAGCCATTTGGTCGGGCTCGTCCTCACCGGGCAAGAGTGGGTAGCCTGTGAGCAGCTCGGCCAGGATACAGCCAAGTGACCACATGTCGATGGCCATCCCGTACGGGGCTCCCAACATGACCTCGGGAGCCCGATAAAACCGCGACTGAATGTACGTGTAGACTGTCTGGTTTTCGTAACAGGACGAGCCAAAGTCTATCACCTATAAAAACAAGGTAATCGGTTATTAGTCGTTTCAATTTTTGGAAATAAAAATTTTCTACTATTTATATGAAATATGACAAGGAAAATGAGCCGAACTCAGTTCGGCTCCAGTCGCACTCAATGATCCACTCAAGGAATATCTTTAGAACACCTGCCATGCCTCGTTCAAGTAATAATTTCACGGAATTCGCTCGATACGCTTTAAAATTTGAACTTGAAACGCGGAGCGCGTTGCGATACAGCGGCGAGTCAAGTCAGCAAATCAAAAGGAATGTGTCAGGCTCTATGCGCGGTATCGTTTATTTATCGTTCATCGACTGCATCGAATCGGTCGTCGAATCGACGAGGAAGATCAGCTGCGACGTATGCACGACTATTTATCGGGCGCGGATCGTGCCGCAAGGTCGTAATAAGTGTAGAGGATCGCGGATCGGCCGCTGAACCGGCTTCGGCGCGGTGTCGCTGAACTTTGGCCGCTATATAGCTCTCTCGACGGCGTGGGCGCGAGATGCTGCCGCCAATATATATACGTACGTGCGGCGCATGGCTCGCGGCTCCGATAAATCGAACGAGCGACAAAAATAATCAATTCTGCCTTCTTGTGTGTATGTATGTATATCGGCGCGAGCCACGCAACGAGAGAGAAAGCCTTTTGTTGCGCAATCTTGTGGCTGCTGCAGTCTAACGCGGCGATCGAACGAGAGCCAAAAGAAACTCGAGTTTCTACGAGCTGTGCTCCAGTACCTATTCTTTTTTCGTCTCTTGCATCGATTCTCGTGGTTTTTCGTCGTCTCGCAACCGATGCCCTATCGAAATCGGGAACATTCAGTCCTCAATTTTTCTCGCGATAATACGACGATAGCCTTGCTCTTGCTTAATGAAACGAACCTCGCAGCCATGTGCATTGCGAGTCGACAGCCTCTTATCGTTTTGCCTACACGTCTATTTTCACGCGTCAGAAACGTAGCCGGCTCGATTGAGTCCAATATCGGACGCAGAGACACGCGCTCACTCCGGCATAAACATCCGTTTATTAATGAATGAGAACTCGAGGCAGATGATACATCGACTCGGTATAGGCCTAGATGTGTATTGTGTAGACTGTAGATGTATATAGACAAGTCCGGGCCACGAGTATCATTTTTCTATTCTCGAACGCTTCTATTTGAGACTAATTTTTCTTGGATATATTAAGGCACTTATTCTGCGTATTAAAAACTTTCTACTCGCGGAACGACTCTACATTACAAAAATATTAGATTTTCTCACGAGGGAAATGTTGGCTTACGCACGATCTGATCTGACTATTGATCAAGGTACAGTAAAATGGGTTTAGTTCTGCAAAATGTTTTAGGTGCGCACCACTTTCTTGCGAACGACGAAAGCAACACGTGAAACTCGGACGGGCAAAAAGATATTACGACGGGAGTTGAAAAAATCTCAATGCACGCTCATCGATCCGTCGCGATTTACTATTACTTGTCATCGGAAAAATTTGTCTCGCTTTGCTTCGACACAGAGTAAACTGCTTTTATCTCCGACCGCTTCCATCTTCCTAGTTCCGTACTAAAGTTATCGCTTAGTGTTAACAACAATTTTAATGCTCATAATAGTCACCGCGTGGCATATAACCCTGATATCGATGTCTCAAAAATCATTGAATTTTTTCTTTTCACGTTATCTATGACGGAAAGATGAGACCAAGTGCAAATTTGCGCGTCAAATTGTAGAAAATGCGCTGTTCTTCCAGTAAGCCAATTATATTGCTAATACGATGCATAAGATCAACAGGAGGTGTAATGTTAGCATATCAACTGCAGGTGGAAACCATTTGAGCAGCGCGTATTCTAAGGGTGTATAAACTACGATTGGTCGCCAGAGCTTTTTTAATTGAAGTGATTTTTGGAGCAACGCGCGTCAAGTTCGACTTTACACAAGATGAGATAACGATGGTAATAAGACGAAAATAAACGTGTGAAAATTTTGATCGATGCTAGTGAACGTACGTTAAGAGGTTTTTACAATAAACATACAATCGCGTTATAAAACTAGTTCTGAATCGGTAATAGTTGTAACTCGAGCGTACGAGCGACGGTTGCATTCAATATATAGCGACGGAGGGTGGCCTATACGATGCATAAACGCAACGCCCGTACAGATGGTCAAAGGCGCGCACGCACGAGGTAAGGCAACCGTGCGAATCCAAATGCTTTATTTTTGCGCTGCCTGCGCCGTACTGGCAACAACCCTCAACGTATGTATGTAACGTATACGCGCGTCGTGTAAAGCCAACGCTTTTATTCGTCTTGTATCGTGCGTGCATTTTATTTTTCACAAATAGAGGCCGGTGGATGTACACATCGTGTACGCGTTTAATTGCTGGCACATGCACGTTAAGCGATCATTTGCCGATTTTCCTTTCGCTCAACATTTCAAGTTAAAGTATCGAGTGAAATCAAATTTTGCGATGCAACGAGCATGGAGAGAAATTAGGAATGACGCTTCGTCGCTGATAACGAACGACAAGTGGAAATGGGAAAAAAGCTCTCGAGACTCGAGATTTCGAGCGCCACGAGTACTTGTACGTATTCGCATGCATCGCGACTCGCGCGAAAGACTCTCGGTAAAACACGTATCCGATATAATTTACAGCAACGACGAGCAAGACGTCGGTGCGATCAATGAAGGTAAATGACTCGTGATAAAGCATTCGTATAGTCGGCTCGTGTCCTATATATAACTCGAGCGTGCAGCCGAGCTAGGTATGCGCGCACCAGCATGACGATGTGGACATTGCAACGAGACTATAGCTATTGCGTCGTCGGAACGTTACGTTTTGCGCGTGCACCGCTGGCCAAGGATACGTTGCGCGTAAAATTCACATTTCCGCTCTCTCTCTCTTTCTCACAAACGCACTATACGATGCTCGCTACATGCTCACATACGTGTAGCAGCGAGAACAAGAGAGCGAGGAGTGCATGTATATATAGCGAGAGATACAAAGGTATAATAAGTAGCTACGCTGCACATTATCGAGAGAATCGAACAAGTGTGCAGTACAGGGCCAAAAGGATCGAGAAAGAGGCTGGCAGGAGGAAGAAGAAGCCGAGGAGGGATAAGGAGAAGCTGTGGTATCGTGCTCACCTTAATTCCAGAGCGGCCCTGTTGCTTGAGCAGTACGTTCTCGGGCTTCATGTCGCAGTGTATGATCTTGTTCTTGTGCAACGCCTGCAGGCACTGGAGCAGCGAGTGCGAGAACTTGCGCACGAGCTGCAGACTGAAGCCCTGGAACTTGTTCTTCTTGATGAGCTCGTACAGATTGATGGAGAGCAGCTCGAAGGTGATGCACATGTGATTGCGAAAGGTGAACGAGTCGAACATGTGGATGATGTTCATGGCGTTGTCCTTGTCCTGCTCGCGCAGGTTCCTCAGGATGCGCACCTCTTCCTGGGCCTGGCGGTGGAAGCGCTCCTCGTTGCGCACCATCTTCAGGGCGACGATCTCGCCGATCTTGTGGTCATAGGCCTTAACCACCTGGCCAAAACTGCCCTTGCCGATCACCTTGAGCACCTCGTAGCGGTAGGCCACGTGGTCGTGGATCACGTGCATGTAGCTGCCCTTGTCGTTGTCGTAGTCGTTGTTGTTGGCCGCGCCGACGATGCCGGGCCGTTTCTTCGCCGCCACGCCTACGTAGTAGATGGTCGGGTAGCGGTAGATCTCGTGCAGCTCGTACGGCGTGAGCTTGCTGCCGAACAGCTTGACCGCCAGCTCGGGCGTGTACTTTTGCGGCACGTGGCTGTGGCCGTTGTTTATCACCACGACGTCCAGGAGACTTTTCGAGCTGCCGCTGATGCTCGACTGCGAGTCCCTCGACGACGCCAGTCCCAGTTGGCTCTTGGAGCTCGATTGTGACTGTGACTGTGACTGGGACTGGGACTGCTGCTGCTGCTGCTGACTCGGGGGAGTACTATTCCGGCTAGTTGCCGACGACTTGTCGCCGTTGCCGTTGAGGCTCTGAAGACTAGCCGCCAGACTGGGCAGATTACTGCATCGTGCCAGCAGCTGCTGTTGAGTAAACAACTGTGTATATGGCTGCTGGTTTGGTTGTTGTTGTTGCTGCTGCTGCAGCTGCTGTTGTGGTCCTGGCGAGTCGAGGGATTTGGAGGTCGGCACCTGTGGCTGTGCCTGGGCCGGGGCTTTCAACGGCGGCAACTGACCACTGGCCTCGCCGCAGGCGTACGCGTGCAGCTGCTCGCTCGACGACAGTCCGTTGGTCATGGTGGCCGCTGACAGTGGCGGTGGTCTCGACGACAATGGCATGCCTGTGCCGCTACTGCTGTCTCGTGCTCTCGACTCCTTGTTTCACTTTATATCTTACTGATACTTTTGGCTGATGCTGCTGCTGCTGCTGCTGCGATCGTCGAGTTCGGTCTATACCTCGGCTGAGGTCGCAGATGATGCCTCTGCTTCCGCTTGCTACTGCTGCTGCTGCTGCTGCTAATCGTTGTGGCTGCTGCTGTCGCTTCTGTTTCTTCTTCTACTTGACGAGTCTCGGGGGGACGATGCATGGCTAGTGTCATCGGGCGTGATGCACTAGACAATGGCGCGGCAGCTCTATCGTCTCCTGGACGACTGCTTGACTGCTGGAGCCGGCTTCTACGAGCCCATGCTTCTTGTCCATCGGTTGGTCCCGAATCGAGCGGCTAGTTCTCTTATTTCGTGTAAACACACACACAGAGCAAAGTCGATCGTATATAAACACCGCGGAGAGCTCTTAGCTGCGCGCAGGATTTTCGAGCCAGCACATTTGTTATGATGCTCTATTTAGCTCGGCTATTGGTACGTTTGTCGAGCGAGAGCGAGCTTCGGTCGGTAGGCAGTTGGCTTGGCTGTAAAATTCATAATTTCAATGGACGATGCACGCGGGCGCGACTTTATTGTGCAGGAGCGCGTGTCCTCGCGCTCGTAGACGTAGACGGCCGAGTCTTGCGTGCACGAGACGTCTCGGTGAATCACTGGGCCGAAGCGATGACAAGAGCATCGACACGCGTATCGTAGCTCGCGCACTGGACACCCAACGACGATACCGACACGATCGATGAACTTTCGTCGAACGCACTCGCGCACACCATTTACAGCTTTCACAAAGAGACCCTCGAGATAACCAATAATAAGGGCGAAACAATAACACAGATATGTGTGACAAGCCACTCGTGTATGAATCGGCTGCACTACAACGACAATGAATGGCCGAGGGAACGAAATCGAATCGTTCGGGTCGACAATTTACGCCTCGGTGTGCACACGTATACAGAAAAACGCGTGCTTTGTATACAGCTGCGAGAGTCGCGAACTGGCCCTTTTGTGGTTATAGCGCAGCGGCAGTTCCTTGCGTGTCACTATATTATATGCTTGGCCAGAGCGCATAGAAAGGGTGACTCTTTCTCGCTCTCTCTCTCTTTCTTTCGTTGCAGCACACATGCAACTTGTCGCAGCTTCGACTTTGGAATCGACGTTCGAGCGGCGATGCTGAACTTACACCGCTAATTCGCTCGCGTGCAGACTGCAGATGCACTTTATATATAGAGTGCGTAATTTTTCTTCTTTTCTTTTCTCTCGGTCTCTTAGCTGTACTCGTTATACGAGTGCTTGGGCCATGTCCTTCGAGCTCGTTGTCGGCCCTCTCTTTTACACTCGTGCTTCAGTCCCCTCGTCGAGAATAATCGTCGTCCCGATACACTTGCAGCCGCGCGTTCCAGTCCAACTGTAGGGCTAGGGCTCTGGCTGGCACCGATAATTCACATAGACACACACCCACAGCACACGCGCGACGATACACGCATTATATAGCGCCAGCGAGACTATCGTAGCGAGCTCCAGTTCCCGTACAATTCTCTGCTGCTGCTGCTGCTGGCCTGCTGCTGCTCCGACGTGAGTCCAGTCTCATACGATTTTCAGAGACGCGCGGGGATGATCGCGCACGTATAATACATGCGTGTAACTCGCTGCCTATATGTGTGTTCTTCTCTCGCTCTTATCGCGTATACGCGTCGGCGCTGACAAGTACGTGTGTTTACGTCTGACAGAGACGAGAGACTCGGACTCGGATATTACAAATGCGTGTCCGGCGAAAAAAAACCTGACCGAGAGACTCCGCGGCGAGAGCGACTCCTCGATTGTGTTGTATCTCTCTCTCTCTCTCTGCATGCGCAACCTATAATACCCACGACCTCTATGGGACGAGATGCAGCAGCGCGTATAGTGTTGCCCACCAACACACGTATACACAAGTGGCGAGAAGTTGCCGTTGGCTATGGCGTCCCGCGCAGACTAGCGGCTGTAAACTGCGATACGACCAGCCCTATACGTGCTGTATATTGGCCATAGGCACTGCTGGCAGTGTATCCACTTATTTAGCAGGCGACACGCACACGCGCGCGCACTCACGCACACATGGGCGCGCATCTAACACACACATACATACACGAGACCAGCTAGTATACGAAGAAGCCAAACGGAGACACGGGACGAATCGTGTACGCTACTGCTGCTGTATACGTGACGCGCAGCCGCTCTCGGCTAGTTTTAGACAGTCCCGACTGTCCGGACTCCGAACTGTACGACCAAGCCGAGGGCAGTATCGTGTACATGGGGGCAGGCAGCGATCGCCAAGTTTTTGCCAGTTCGCTGCCACGGTGCTGCCACCCGGTGCTCGTTACCTGGACTACTTAGCAGCAACGGCGCTCGGCGATCACAACAACCACGCACGCTTGCTTATCTCCTCGTACCTGCTAATAAAAAAAAATAGTATTTATCATTGTCCTAGGCCGCGAAAAACAAAGTTCCAGGGCACGTGTAGAGATAGTGCCGTGAACGCGTGCACTAGAGCCTTCTGTGCTATTTTTCATATCTCGTGCTCCGAAAATAAAATTTTCCGTTCAGCGCAGTAACGAGCAAATTCTGCTTTCTGGACGTTGCCGCGAAAGATACACTTTTTCTTTTAAAGCTTTTGTGGATTTACTCATTCTAATATTATTGTCAAGTCCTTCTCATTCCTTTCCCTTTAAAAGACTTGTTTACAAACTTGGATGCACCGAGCGAAATATATACTGCAGATGGCAGCTCTGATCATCAGTGTCTGTAGCGCGAAATGTGACAAATTACGATCTTTCGAGAAAACTAATTAGAAGCATACTAAGTTCATCGTTCATATAATACGGTTTTTCTACCATTACTATGAAATATGTGTTTCACCAAAAATGGAAAGACCTGTCTTAATTAACTTGAATGAAAATGATATTCTATGAGTAGAAAGTTTTCAGTTTTAATTACATTTCATATTGTCACAATACTAAAAATATAGAAATAACTTATAATTGTACTGAAATTCTTATATTGGCTGGCATCGATGAAATAAATTCGATCAGTAAATGATATAGGGAGATAGTACTAAAACCTGATCAGTTAAGAAGTGATGTTCTTGTATCCGGTGATTTCCTCGTGAGCTTATGATAAATCAATTACATCTTTCACTTTGACAATAAAAACTTGAATTTTCACTCAACACTACTTTAAATAATGAAGAGATTTTAGAGAAAAAAAATTGTTGACGTGGTAATTTTAACTTGAAAGTGATCCGTAATTGGACAAATTAATTTGCACCAATATCGGGTCACTTTTCATTCCATTTGTAACTTCAATAAAAATGACTGGTCACTGGGTATAGTTACTCTACATTGATTTCGCTCCAGCAAAAATGTATTAAGCCTTTCATTGAATTTACTATTCAAGCTTAGTTCGTGAAACACCGTGAAAACTAGAAACCAGCTATACGATGAAGTAAATGGATTTATTTACAAATAAAATAATTTCGATAAAATTGTTTCAAATTTTGAAATATTTGCTAAAAGCAAATATCACTTTTTACATAAACAATTTATAATTTAATAAAGTTACAATAATTATAATACTAATAAATGAATAAAAAAACTACCGATAATAACCCGAAATGACATCATCACTATCGATATGTAAGCACGCGTATCTTAGAAACATTATCCGGACACAGTAATATTTACTTTAGTTATCTTATCCAAAATAAATATAATACGCTATCGGCCTAATTTTTTCCTAATGTTATGATTTTCAAATAATATATGGATCAATGAATATATCAAAAATTATTTAATAGCAATTGCAATAATATATCTTAAATTGCTATACTTTTTAACTGACAAAACCCCAAAATAATTATAAACTTAGCGCGTAAAGCACATTAACGAATTAGTACAAGCTTAGCCTTACTCCCGCGAGTGTGGGTAGAGCAGCACCGCTGGCTTTCCCCGCATTTCTCTCGATTCCAACATACGCGAACGATGCGAATTTCGCAGCCGCAGCCAACTCCACTGCACGCAAGCAGCAGTGTCAGCAGCAGCAGCAGCGAACTCTCGCGAGATCAGCATACGAAACATAAACACACGCGGTCAGTAACTTGGTCGACGCAGATAAAGCAACACTCCGATAGCACAGTGGATACGTTTATATTGCATTATACATATAAAATTCGCGAGTCGTGCGTGCGCCTTTGCATCAATTTATTATATATACTCAAACGAGTGAGGTGCTGAACACGTTTCTGACTATCAGCCTCGCAGCGGGAACTTCATAATAGAACGCTGTCAAAACGGAGCTGGGCCCGCATCTGTCATCGCGTGTGTACGTCGTATATCGACGAACTGCGTAATAACGTGCAGCATAGACTCGAGCATTACGCGCGGCTGCTCGCAGCACCTTTGGACTTTTCGACAGTAACAACGAAGCTACGATTAAAGACAGTCTAGGAATATATGTGTACTATATATAGCATATATAATACTGTTTCATAGTTTCTCACTATACAAGATACGAGCATATATACGTGCGCAGTACTTATTGCGCCAGACTCGGAGAGACTGTGTCGTTGTTTTAATACTACTAGAACCAGATAGCCTCTTTGCTTACGCTTAACGAATCGAGTAGGTTTCGTCATATATCATCGCAATAATAGCACACCATTGTCGATTTCGATATTAACGCCTTGATTTCTTCGGATAAAACGCACTCGACTGACCATTTTTAAGTCTGACTTATCTGAAATCATTTATAAACAATACCAGTATCGAGTTATACGGTTGTCATCATTTACTCGACTTTCTGGACAAAGACATCGAAGTATTACTATTGAGTTTTATCGTCGCCGATATGAATCTCGTACCGAAATCTTTCAAGGAAAAACGTTCCTTTGGTTAGTAAACATTTTGTAATTTTATACATTGAGCAATGGGTGCATTGTCAATTATGTTGCTCATTTTTTTATTATTCTATCCGACAGATCAACGTGTGGCCGATGTCAAAATGATTCGGGAAAAACATCCAAATAAAATACCCATCATTGTTGAAAGGTACTACGCAGAGAAACAGCTACCATTGCTTGACAAGACCAAATTTTTGGTTCCAGATCATCTTTCAGTCACAGAGCTAATAAAAATTATAAGGTAAACTGTTTGGTATTATTTTTCTATACAAGCTTGAACCAATCTAAATGGTCCTACTAAATATTCAAATGCTAATCTATTGTTCGATAGGCGAAGACTGCAGTTGCATCCCACGCAAGCATTTTTTCTACTTGTGAATCAAAGAAGTATTATTAGTGGTAGTACAACCATGGCTCAGCTATATCAACGAGAAAAAGATGAAGATGGATTTTTATACATTGTATTTGCGAGTCAAGAAGTTTTTGGATCAACACACAAGCTCTGTGAGAGATCTTAAGTAGTTATCGATCCAGATTTTCAATTAGTTCAGTAAAAAAGCCCTTGATGCTTCGTTTTGAATTTTCATAAAATATAATGTGTTTAAAATCATTGATAGAGTCATCGATAAACTTACTATGAAAAGTATATGGTTGATTCTCCCGAAATCTGCTTTTTCGGGTATGGAAAACGGAAAAATGGTGAAAATTTTTTTGTCATATTGAACGGCGCGAACTAGTTTACCCTTTTTTAAACCATAAAATATGAATAATTATTGAATCTGGGGCTTTGAGATTTCGTTTTACGAAAACTAAGTCCGATTTTATGCTTAAAATCGACTATTTTCGGTTACGGAGGTGACACACACGGAGGTGACAAATCGCTGCTTTGATCAACTATGTAAGAAAAATAAGAAACGCACAAAATTTTCCGCACAACCCGAAATTTGGTCATGAAAAACAAGTCTTTTGACGGGGCGAGCGGTTAAAAAGAATGATCATAGCTCGAGATATTCATGTCCACGGAGGTGACCGTTTTTTTGACACACGTGAATTTTTCAATAGAATAATTATCGCAGCATCGATAAAATGTAAAATTTGAACCCGCAACCTACACCAATCGAAAGCTGGGCTATAATACTTGACATTTACGTATCTAGCGACATCAAAAATGAGTTAGCGACCCAAAGCAGGCGGTATGTTTGAAATTATTCAGAAGCATGATTAAAATCCGAGACATTTTTCAATTGCGTGGGAAATTTTTTTAAAACATTTTTCAAACCCCTAAAATAGACTTAAACTTTACTCTGGATGTATAGAAGCTGGTCTCGTAGTTATTATAGGGCCAGGTGCTAATGAAAATGAATGGTACATGCAAATAGAGTTGATTTTGAGATGTAGACATGCCACGGAGGTGACATTTGGCATATATATCTTCACGGCAAATTTAATTGGCTCTAAAAAATTGAAATATTTATGTCCTATCATGAAGAATACAACAATATTGAATGAATGACCGAGCCAGTTTTGGCTCATCTTCATTAGTTTAAGAATATGGCATAAAGACATGCAAAAAGCAGATTTCAGGAGAATCAACCATATACATACTTTAAAAGTAGCATTATACAGATTAAAGACAAGTCTATTTTGTCTTTTTACCTTCTGCTCGTGACCCTTTATATTGTTATTTGTACCTGCATATTGTTAACTGTATTATAACAATTCTATAATGCTGCGTTCATATTTCGTATTTGGAAATGATTTGTTTGCAAAACAAAAACCAAAAATAAGACACCTTTGTGCCTTTGTTCATTAAAAAGCTCTCTTCTTTCTCTTTTTTTACTAAAAAATTCGATGTAAAGTTTTACAAAATGCATATTACGAAATAGAAAAATGAGTGCATTATTTTTCATACATACAATAATGATAAAAAAATATTTAGTAATAATATAATAGATGACAGAATTTTAGCCGCTATAAACATTGTAGCGCGATAGCGGATTGGCTGTGTATAACGTTGTTTAAAACATAACGTGTAAAAGTAGTTGTAGAAGATGTAGCGATAATAGTGTAAACGAATATCAAATAAATAAATGTTTTTTATATGGAAAAAAAGTTTTGTAATTGAATGTGTGTGTGCGTGTGTGTTAGAAATGTGTATAGTTTTCCGAAGATTCAAAATTTCTTCGCGCGTAGCTATTTTTCCGACGAAAAGTGCTGCTTATGAAAATTGGATCATGCCGCGATCAGCAATTTCACAAGTAACGATATAAGTAAAAAATACTGACAAGAGTTTGAATAGCGCGCCGAATAAATTGCTGATGCGCCTTTGCTAATCTATCAAGCGACTTTTTGCGAATTTTTAGATTAAAAAGTACCAATGAACTATTTAAATAGTTATGTCATAATTTTAATCTATCTAGCTGATTCGGACACGCAATCGGTAATCTCCGTTCATGCTTATCTGTTTCTAAGCCATCCAAAAAGTAGATGGTCTTGGTATTATCGAGATTTTCGACGGAGAAGATTTTTAAGACGAAGATAAGATTAATGACAGCTGTTGCTCGGTCGTTTAATGCGACGTTAAAATTGTGACAAAACGAGAGCCAAAGAAAACGATTCGTATCCGTACATTAAGTAACATGACATATCAACTATTTGAATGAGAAAATTATTTGTATGCGTAGGTAATTTATGTAATTGACGCGCGAGCGTTATACCGATGATTATTCGCGACCGAAAGTGCTGAATGTGCAATCGAAATGCAGGCACTACGTTGCTTCTCTGCAATTATAAGTGTGAGCAAGAAAAATAATTTCTCACAGAGAAAAAGCAGTTTTTTTGGGCCATAAGCACGTAGCTGACGATTATTTATCCGGAATCAATGGGACTTTGGGGTACAGCTCGAGTCCAGATACATCGTTGGGCTTTATGAGGGACGCGGTAGCAGGGTCGTTTACCCAGCTCCGGATTCAATAGGTATAGGAAGGAAAAGCAGTCGAACGAGTAGCGTACGATGGTATAGTCGTTGTCGGCTACGATATCTACATATTATATCCATTAGGTAAAAGTCGCAGGTATATAGGCTGCAAGTATAGGTACAGAGTAGAGGTATATCACACGCCCCGATTGGCGAGTGTGTCGTTGCGCCGTGCATGAGGCGGTTCGCGGGCCACCTGTGCAGTCGCTCGCGTTGCACTTTGCCTAGCACCTTCTTCCGATCCCTTCTCTCTCTTATTCATACTCATATATACGAACGTGTGCAGCTCACTCGGCTTGGCCTGCACTGCCTGCAGAGGTTTGCTCTCTTTGGCGCTGATGCTCGCAGTTTCTTCCCAGTATGTGTGTGTGCGAGTATACGTGCGCAGCGTAGGTATAGTCAGTGTATATAGACTAGAGGATGAACCAAGCGTATATATATATAGCGTGCAAATCGCGCGCCGAGATGCCCCGCGCGGCAGCAGACCGATCTTGCGCTGCAGCGCAGTTGGCCGCTGACCTGCACACTGCAGGTTCTACGCTATTATAATCGCGCACGTTCGGCCGAGTACGCATCTATAAAGTAAATTAATAACCGTATGTACACGCAGCCTCGCGAAACGCCAATGAGTCGATTCGCCATCTCGACTCTAACTAACTTTGACAAATCGCGAATTTTGCCCCGGAGATTTTGAAAATTAATAATCGCTCGTGGCTCGTCGTTACAGTTATATTAGACATTCCGCTGGGCAGTGGACGAGCGAACTAGCCGCGTCTATATACATCTGCACTCGTTTGCATATATAGTTGAGAGTCGGTGCCTCGCAGGCAAAAGTGTTGCATTGTTTTTGCGATCGACTCGAGTGCACAAACGCATAGTAGCAGTGGACACCTGCGACGATGCACAGCAAGCAAGCGGTGCCTCAACAGGTAACGTATTCCTCGAGCATTTATTTCTACGCGTGTGCTGCATTCTGCGCGATTGAGATCGGGCGGCCAATAACTATATATAGATGGCTAAATAAAATTAGGCGAGCTTAATCTTCCGATCTATAGGCATCGCGGAATTCCAGCGCAGGCTAAGTTTGCGCTTAGACGGAGCAGCTGCGCCGCCAACCAACTCGTATATAAATGCTCTTATACGATTCACTTGTAAATTAGTTTTATATACTGTAACCCACACGACGGTGCATACATAGAGAGAGAGAGAGAAAGAGAGAGAAAGAGCAAAGAACGCCGCATATATCTGGGCGGAGTTGGTAGGTAGCTGTTGTTGCACAGGTAGTAGCTCGTCGGCCCAGAGAGGAGGCAAACATGCCTCGGACTTGAAGTTTACAAGAAGATAGACGAGACGAAGAGAGGAGAGTACATAGTTGGGAGGGCCGAGGGAAAGAGAGAAAGAGAGAGAGAGAGATAGAGGCGAGAGGGAGAAGGAGAAAAGAGTCTCTGACCATGGCCGCTTCCGCTGCTACTATAAGGCCCTCTTGACTGCCACCGCCTCGGCTCGCGTGCATCCATAGTTGCAGATGTACGCGGAGCGATCCTTAAGCGAGCATATAGCGGCCAATCTCGATCGCGCTCCAGTCCAAGAAGCACTTGGGTCGCTCGGCTAGCTAGAGCCGACGACCTCTAGCTAAAACCAGATACCGATCTCTCCTCTCTCCCCTCTTCCTTCCTCTCTCTCTCTCTCTCTCTCTCTCTGCCTGCTCTCGTGCACTCTTTTTCACTCGCTCTCCATGGCTGATGCTGCTGCAATGCTGCTCTTGTGTAGCTTCCTGCATTTATGCACATCATACGGTGCAGTGACCACTGACCACTATTTGCAGCTGCCTAAGAGTAAGCTATCGACTCCAAATCGTGTAATAGTACATCGACTACTACAAATATCATTTTTACCAATGCCACTTTTCACTGGTGTCGAGAAAACGCGTCGGGCTTGCACAATGTGCTCTCGCTACTGCGAAGATGAGGCTGCTGCGAACTATTCAGGAATCGCGACGATCGCTTACGAAAACATAAATTTGGCCGACAGCTAAACCCGTATCGTTGTACTGCACCGCAAGCTTATATGGTACTCCGAAGCTCACGAACGTTTTAGCCGATTTTTTTCCCCCCATTTCTCAGCCGAATTATAAGGCCTCTCTGGCGCGTGCACGAGCCGAAGAACGATCGTTGCCCAAGTGAGTATAGTAGTGGAAAACCTGCACGATGTGCCTCGCTCGATGCACAGAGATCGACACGGATAGCGACTATTTTCGATGCACATAGACAGCTATACGATCTTAATCTGATCCGAGAGCGTCGTGACTCGCGAATCGACACCACGAGTTATAGCTTTCGATCCTCGACAAACTTATGGACGGCTGCAACAGCACCGACGATGCACACGTACAACGAGCGTGATCCGCTGTAGAAATGCACTTTTCAAATACCTATACCTGCACCTGTCTTTACACGCGAGTGCATACTCACATCGACTCGACGACTATTCTGTACTCGATAGTCACGTACGTGTGAAAAATTTATGGACTGGTCTTTTTTTCACTGCTCTCGCTGTAGAATACAGAAAAAACTTAGAAACTCATCGCACGATTATAAAGAATATCAAACAAACCGAGTACGAGCCGGGCTGACTATACAAGAACTCGCATAGCGTGTACACAATCGTTGTAGCTAATACAATACTTTGGAATATCCACGTACACCTACAGGTGTCAATTGCCGGCTACTTATACGTCTGCTGCTTGTCGAAAAGAGAAAGCGGTATAAAAAATCAAAAACACAAGCCCTATACAATTCACTTCATCACTCACGCATGACCGGCATCGTTCATTCATCACGCGGTATTATGCTGATACATCATTCGAACGAGAATTTGATCACTTCGTCAGTGGTTTATTATTATCGGCTCGCAGTAAATTAGTATAACGTCTCTACGTCGGTTCGGCTATAGTCGTACGTGAGGTTATAAACCTCTTTCTACGTTATTTATAGTTTATTGTTTATAGTGTATAGTGTATAGTTGATAGTTTATACTCGGTGAACCTAGTGCTGCAAAAATGTATGGTAAACCAAAGTATGCTCGTTCTTCGTTCCAGAGGGATATGGAGCGTAGTGCCTGTGAGATGTCAGCAACTACCTCGGCTAGTCACACGCCCGAGACGGTGCCAACTGAGCAACAGGAACCGAGCGATCTGAAAATACGCTCGACATCGTCTGCCTCTGCGACTACTGCAACTGCAAATCGTAGTCGCAACAACGTACCTGCTAAACAATCGTCGGCTGCTTGTCGCGTTGCTGCTCGCAAAACCGCCGACGAGCACGCCTTACGCAGCGGTCCCGGAGAAGCCGACGACGACGAGGACGTTGACGACGACGACGATGACGAGGAGGACGACGAAGGCGATGACGAGCGTGAAAACGAAGCCATCAACTACGAGGTAAATAAACGTGAACCAAAACCATTCACGAATCGTCAAACTCTTATATACACATCTGTATGTTGCATTCAATTTTTAGAAGAATGCGAACAAGCCCAACGATGCTCGGAAAGGAAATCATACCAGTACCAATGACAAGCTGAACGATATTAATCCGGAAATAGCTAACATAGCAATCCGCGATTACCGAACGCCTTTTAGAAAACATCACCTGGGAATCGACAGCAACACTGACAACATTCAGGATCTGGAAGCCACCGTCGACCGCGAGATAAAGCGTGAAATAGGTGTTGAACACTACACGGCCGCAGCTGCAGCTGCAGCCGCCGCAGGAATGATTCAACATCGCCTGCATACCGGTATCGATCAGATAGGGGGCAATTCTGGAATTAAAATGGAGGTATTTATTGGCTGTTATTCATCTTTTGTAAGGAGTAATGCTCGTATTCCTTCAAACATCTTTTATACTTTTTGCACAGATGAAATTATCTAGAGAAGGTCGAAACTCTTGCATGGGTTTAGGATTGTCGTTGGAACTGTGTGTTGTGTGTGGTGATAGAGCAAGTGGAAGACATTATGGAGCGATTAGCTGCGAGGGTTGCAAAGGCTTCTTCAAACGCAGCATTCGTAAGCAACTGGGCTACCAGTGTAGAGGAAATAAAACATGTGAAGTAACAAAACATCATAGAAATCGATGCCAATACTGCAGATTACAAAAGTGTTTGGCAATGGGTATGAGAAGTGACTGTAAGTAATAAAATTTTCAATAAGGTATTCTATTTAAAGTTTCACTGTAGTATTATGATGAATATATTTTTATTTAGCTGTTCAACATGAAAGAAAACCTGTGATTGGAAACAATGACAGTAGTGGCCAAACCAAAAGTGGTAATCGAGGGCAACGTATTAAACCAGAACCAGCAACATTACCACCTATCACGGAGACACCAGTTGTTAGTAATTCTTGGGAACCTCCTCAAGATCACCAACCCGAAAGTCCAAACCTTGAAGATCATCAAAGTAGTGACAGTGATTTCAGTGATGCTATAACTTTGGCAAGAGAACGTGTTATAATAGCACAAGCACTTGACAATATGACAAAAATTATTACTGGCGATGTGAGCTATGGTTTATTTTTGTTATTATACTATTAATCTTTAATTTAATATTTACAATAATTTATTTCAGAGTGTCAATGGTAGTATTGAGGGGGAACCAGATGATGACTGGAACTGCGGTCAATTGTTGTCTGACAAGCATTTACTTTTTGATTTAAGAGCTCCCAGTCCAACTCCTACATATCTAACTATACACTATGTTTGTGAAAGTGCATCAAGATTATTGTTTTTGTGTGTACACTGGGCTAGAGGAATTCCAGCATTCCAGTCTTTACCGTAAGTAGATGTACCTTCCTTATTTTTATCACTTTAATCAAAAATTTATTTATTAATTTAAAACTCTTACCTTTTAATAGATCTGAAATACAAATATCTTTAGTTAAAAGTTCATGGAGTCAGTTATTTATACTTGGATTGGCACAGTGTTCTTATATCCTATCTTTACCTAGTATTTTAACTTGGATCATTGGACATGTTCAAGCAAATATAACTCAAGAGAAAATGACTATTAATAAAATTAAACTGATTACTGAACACATTTGTCGTTTGCATGATTGTGTGAGTTCATTACACAAAATTGATATAAAACCAACAGAATATGCTTACTTAAAAGCTTTGACTTTGTTCAGTGCAGGTAAAAATAATAAAATTATAATAATTTAACAAAAATAATTTTCACACCATGAAAAATTTTTGCAGACAATGTTTTAAATGGAATTTGGCGGAAGCGCATTCAAATTATGCAAGAAACAGCTTCAAATGAATTGCAACAAAAAGTTGGATCAAATCGATTGCCAAAATTATTACTACGATTAGCACCTCTTCGTTCAGTTAGTCCACGTGTGCTAGAAGAGCTCTTTTTTGCTGGACTTCTTGGTAAAGTGAGCGTAGCGACCATAGTGCCTTACATACTAACGATGCAAAATGGATCCAAAATGGAACCTGAAAACCCAATTCAAGGATGTATTTAATTTTTAGTAATTAGTAATAACGTACCTGTTACTAAAGTGCTTTTAAAAAAACTTTACAAAATAAACTTGGCAACAATAAGTAATTATATTTTATATAATATAATATTTAAAAATTGAACTATTATAATTATCGAAATGAGATCATCTTAAATTAATTCATTGAAAATGTATTTTAAAGCCATACTCAATTTCTTATTACATGAAATCGTTTTTGCGTGCAATTTTTAATCTTTTTTTGAACCTTTGTTCAAATAAGTAACTTTTTTCATCATAAATTTCGAACTGTTTTTATGAAAATGACTACCTATATTAACATCAGTATTTAAAAAAATTTAGTTTAGAAACTATATGAATTATTTAGAAAAAATTGTGAAAAAGTATTAATATTATTTTGGAAACATAAGAAATTATTATATTGGCTAAAAAAATGTATTATTAAGTAAGTGGGGCAGTTGCAATTTTGCAATGTATATACATTATTTTAGAGAAAAAAAATAGGAGTACTTACATAGAAATACGTGCCTGTACAATTGAAACAAAAGTGCGATTTATACTTGATAACAATAATAATATAATATTATATTTACGTTTATTGATCTTTTCATAAATGTTCATATCAAGACACTAAAAATTGTTACTTCATAACTCAGCGATAGTATTGTGTACCGATAAATCATCATACAAATAAAAAAAGTTTTACAGTAATTTCAAATTGATCATAATGCATTATTTATTTGTATTCGAGGAAAAGTATCTGTGATAGGCTGAAGTTAGCATAGAAAAAAGTATTGTAGATAAATTCAGTCGTAAGCCTGTCAGTACATTTTGCACCAAGATATTTTTTATTGATTAGAGACTTTTTTTCGTTGATTACTCGAGTCTAGAATTTTTTTTCATGGAAGAAATGCAAGTAGATACGTCAGCGTCAAGCGAGAATGCCGATTTAATCGAAAAGATCGGTGAACAAGAAAGCGAGGAAAAGGCCGAAGACGGAGGATGTATCGGTGGCACGACAAGCGTAGAGACTCAGGTTAATTGTTCACCGGGTCCTGACCCTGTGGTATCGTTGCACAAGCGAGTCGAGAGCATCGTGTCGCTGATGAACGAACTCAACGACCAGCTGGAAATTCTATCTAACGAGCGTCGTACCAGCACATTGAAGACCCAGTGGTCGATCATCGAGGAGTTCAAGACTGTCAAGTCGCAATCCGGGAAGCCGTCAAAAATTTGGCACAATAGCCTCTTCTTTCGAATGTATTTTGTCGAGAAGGAGCTCGACGACATATTTCTTGCCGCCTTGAGACACAACTCCATGCTCTGCAAGCATCTCAACAATCTCAATGGTACTTACGTCAAGCCAATTTTGATCGGCGATCGGGCGTATTCACATTCGTTCACGATTTTCTCCTAGACAAAATTGTGGGCAAAAACGAAAGCAAAGCCGCATCGTATGTACAGCAGCAGCCACAGCATCGGGACGAAGCATCGTTGGAATTGCTGCTGCCGACATCGAGAACCCAAGAGTTGCTCGAAGCTGCTATGAAAAGTCACCAGCTGCAAGCTCCCCAATGTAAGCCCGTCTCGGCTGTGACTAACTCCAAAGAGGACGAGTCTTCTGGCAAACGCGATTTCAAGCAATCCTTTACCGATCTCATACGGGCCAAGATCGACTTTGACTCGCAATTTATTCAATTCAATGCATTAATGAGCGAGAACTGTCACACTGAAGACTTTCAAAGCTTTTATAAACTTTACTGCGCAGCCAACTCCAGTAGCAAGTCCAAAACAGTGAGTATGCAAGTGTATTTTTCATAATTTTTTGCCTGAACTTTTTTTAAACATTTTAATAAAAATAACTTACTTACTCTCGTTGAGGATTATTGATAATCGTTTATTGATAGTCTGACAATTACCAAAACGAACTTCATAGATTCTAGTAGTTCCGAGAAATGCATATCATCGTATTGCGCAAAAAACAAATAGCAGTAATTTTTTATAGTCGTCATCGTCACTGGCTATTGATAAAAGCGGCGGCGATACCAACCAGCTTCGACGGAAACGACTCTCTACGAGCAGCAATAGCAGCAGCATCTCTCATCGGAAAAAAACCCAAAAGCAACGAACCCTCAGAGCACTCAGACGCTCCAGTCGTTTGGCCAGCGACGAGGTGCAGATCATACGCACCGTCAAGCGTGCTACCTGACCAATTTTGGCAACGGGAGTAGTCGATGGAAAAAATAGCCAGAATATCTAATAAAATCGTATCTTAAAATTCTAAAGTCTTTATTTTATTCTCCTTTTTTTTTTAGTCGCTTTCATAAAATTTTATACATTCAAATAGTCGGAGCGCTGTGATTATCGTCAACCCCTGAGCTCTGAATTTTTCATACATGCGCAATAATCAATTGATTCTATTAATAAATGTCCGTCAAAATTGCAGTTTGTTTGTCTAATTTATTGAAATTCCTTCACCTCAAAAATTCGACCCTTCAGATTTTTTCCCATACGTGAATATGTAATGAAATGTTTTTACCGTTCCCTAGATCATTACCAACGTTAAATATATTTCAAAGTAAATTTATATATACTTATTGTTACTTTCCAGATACGAACTTAATATTTTTAGAAAATCGTAACAAAAGTAAAATAATAGAAGCTGTCCAAATTTTACCAATAAGATCGTTGAAATTAGCATTGTCGTTGTTCTATTGCAAAAGTTACCTCCAGTAAGTAATTATTGTATCGATAATGAAAATAGTGGATGTAAAAACAGAGTTATTCACATTACAATTCGTTATACTACAGTAATTTATACGTTCAACACATTAGATCGATTTTTACACGTTGTAGCCAACAAGTATCGGTTTACTCTAAGTCACATCGGATTGCTTATAAACCTATTATAGCGAATTTAGTTGGAAAAACACTTTTAATAATATACACAAGTTTTTGAGTCATGATACAGACGTTTTTAGTATGTTTCTTTTACACTATTATTTTGATATTGCCTTTTGTAAACATGGTATTATCTCATTCATAACTAAAGCTACTGCAAAACTGCTAACAATCACTGTATGATTGACTGACAAACTGAAACCGATATGAAATATTTATGTACAATACAGAACTATCGAAAAGTACGAAATATATCTGTTATAAGTTTTATTCACTCTGGATGATGAATCTTTTCCGAGGTTCGACCAACAATTAACAAAAATTGTTGTTTCTCTCATTTGAAATGTTCAAGTAACTTGCTCAAATCATTATTTTTTTTATTGAGAATTAAACCAAAACAAAAAAACTTTTTTATAAAAGTCAAAAATATTTCAAAATTGAAATTGCTATTACAATTATTTAAATGACCTATCTAGTTGTAATCAATCATACAGTATACATATCGAATTTCAGAATACACGATGCATTTACATTGATATAAAGCGATAAACTTGTTAAATTTTACATTTGACAAATTATTGCTCTAAAATTGCCTACTATGCTTTTCAATCAAAGATAGTATCGCAAAAACAATACATTTATGCACAGATAAACAGAATATATTCAACAAAACGTAGACAGTCATCATTTTTGTCACTAACAATTCAACGATTCATTCTTTTTTTCTCTAACTACATCAGTCATTTTTGCTCATACAGAACCATATTATGTTATCTACACAGATTTTTTTACGGCTTGAAAACTAATGAATAGTATTTTTACCTATCTCATTAATTAAGTAAAAATTTAAAACTGAAAGAGGATGAACACTCTAGTTTTCGGATGTTTGCTAGTTAGTAGTAAGCTAGTTTTGCTAATTTCTTTTGTAGTTTAAACACAAAGTTACAATGATTTTTCAATGACAAACTTTGAAATGATAATTTTAAACTATATTTCGTTGTAAAAATAAGTGAATTAAACAACATGAAAAATGTTTAAAAACCACTGGTCAAAATGAAAATTTGAATGGATTCTTCAATGGTATTATTAGTGATGTAAACAATTTTTTACTCCAGAATGACAATCTCCATTTGTAAAAACTTCACAATTAGGCTCTCCAGTGACAAGTTTGTCTTGTAACTGAACATGCATTTTTGTTTAATTTTTTTAAAATACTTATTGTTATAACTAAAGCACTTGTTATTTGAAGTACATACATTCAAGTACATGGTTCTTGATAACTAGCAGCTATCCGGCAAATAGTATGTTTATCCAATTATTATGAAATTTGAAATGTAAAACTTTGAAAGTGTATGGAAGCAAGTTGATTAAAAAACGTACAATAATTTCCATGTTACAATATACTACTCTGTTTTTATAACATTATGTACAGGCTTCTTGTACTACTCACAATTTGAATTTGAACAGATAAAAAGATGTTTCACTCACATGAAATTAATTTGAGTCAATAATAATTTAAATCATTTTCCTGCAAATATTTGCCAACTATGGTTTAATCATGTATAATTATAATTAACGTTACTTTGATTAATTTAAGCAATATCTCGTTTGACTAGTATAAAGATTTGTAATATAATAAATAGTTATATATAAGCATCTATGTCAAATTTAATTATTCTAGACAATCTATTTATAGAAAATTTGTGTATAAGTTTCTCAACATTGAACTAAATTGTTTTTTCCAACTTCAGTTGCAATTCAATGAAGAGTTCTTAATTCATCATTTGTACAATTGTAAGACTTAAAATTTCCCGATGAAAAATATGCAAAAAAGTGGGAAAACAATTTTCTTGGATTCCTCTAATGGTGCTAAGCACATCATTGTTTTAATCATCACTTACCGATATTTGAGGCACTGGTCCGCTTGTTGAAAAACGGACACGCACTTAACATAAAACTTTACATTTACATAAAACTCAAATCAAACAAATATTAACATGAGAGTTCAACACACACACACAAGATTCCATAATAGTTGAATGAATCAAGGAGCTGTTGCAAAAACAAATGCAGAGCTTCTCATTTTTCACCTAAACTCATAGATCTGAATACTGTGTTCCGGCACATGCCTCAAATTCAACGATTGGTACCTAAAAAAACATTACGCATTATTATGAAACATCACTAAATATTTTAACTTGGATGATTTTGAAAAATGTATTTATTAAAAATATTACCATTCAGAACTTCGATGATAATAATAACCTTCAATGGTAGCCGCAGATTTTTGAAAACAAATATAATAAAAGCCTGCAAACGAGGCCCCATTAATATCTTTGATTGTATGATCAGGCACTAGAAAATGTTCCTTCCACCTCATGAAAACATAATCTGTTCCTTTAAGAGCATCATAATCAAAGGTGTCAGAGTTAAAAGTTTTGACATATTGGCAAAACGAATTGAATTTGCTCTGAAATTAAAGTCATTCATGAAGTACACACATAGTTACAAGAGAAGAAAAAAATTTACTTACCCAATGTTTTTTGTCAACATCTTCATCAGCATCCCATTTGCGAGTGAGAAATGGATATTTTTTGGAAATAATTTCTCCATCAAAAAATGTGGTGAGTGTAGGAAATTCTTCAGTTAGGCCTTTGATTTTGAGGTATCCACAAAGATAGCTGTTTTCTTCATCAACATGCTGAAATAGAAAAAAAAGGAGTTACTGATGCACAAGAGGAAGAAAATGTGTAAAAAACTTTACTAGCAAGAAGAATTGATGGCTAGGTTACCTGAAGTACAACTTCGACGTCATAACTATTTCCCTTTGATCTTTGGGAGCCTTGGAATCGAGATCCGTTATAAAGCAGTGATTTGGTGACGCCGGGCTGTTTGGAATTGGCAGGTGGCGGTACTACGTCTACTTTCACCGGCATGTTGAGACAGGACGAAGGATGCAGTCACGAAGATGATAACAAACGATTCGCAATGGCCACGTCGCGAGCGGAACGAATCAGTTTAGATTTGAACAGCTATACGGATGGAAACAGCAGGCAGCTGCAAGTCAGGCCCAGATACTAAGTCGATGCAGAATCTTGGGAGCCGCTAGGCGCAGCAACAGCAGCAGCAGAGATGCGTGCAAAAATGTGCACTATACAGCAGGTGAGTGCAATAATCGCAATCGGACATGTGACGTGTTTCTAGCAGCTTCTATATATCCAGAGAGTATGGCAAAAGTGCCAAGTCAGAGTCAGTTGTGGTGTCGTCGAGTGCCCGATCACAGGTAAGCTCTCGTCGATGATGATCGAGCGGATTGGTGTCCGTTTTCTCCGCAGATTGGAGTACGTTACGTGCGTGATCGGCGAAGCAGCAGCTGCGCCTGCGAATTTCGCTCGGTCCTCCTTATTTATGCCTATTTGATAAGTCAGCAGTTTGCTCGCGAGCGCGAGAGCAGCTCGTGTGGAAGATTGCAATAGGCGCAGCAGCTATGTGACTCTCGTTGAGGAGCTGCTCAGGCCCGAAAACTTTGCCGCAGACCGTTGCGAGTCCAAAAAATTTCACGCAAGCTGCGTATATACGTGTGAGACAGTCGGACGGTATACGTATATACATATAATGCAAACAGGCAGTAAGTACCAGACGTGTCGGTGTACGTGTATATATAAAGCTGCTGCGCGATACGTCCGCGCGCGCTGCCTATAATGTAACAACTATCGGGCTGCGATGACGATGACGATCGACGACTCCAACTTTCAACGTCTGTGTTGGTACGGACAAACGACGACGACAGTCATACGTCGTATAGTAGTTATGCATACGCTCACACACACACGAGCACACTCTGTATATGCACACACGCGCGCGACACACAACACGTTGAGTTTGCTATATAGCTATAATATCATTGAGGTTGCTATACGCAGACTGCTGTTGCTCCAAAGCTGAACTGCGAGCCTGAGCGAGTGTTGCTGCTTCTGCACAAGAGTCGCGATGCGCGCGCTCTCGGTTTTGCTCTCTCTCTCTCTCTCTCGCTCGTGATATATTTGCCCGCGTGTACCTTCACTTTGCACTCGCCAACTTGCATGCTAGTATGTATGGATGTGCATTCACCGTTGGGCGCGCGCTGCAATTCTGCCGTGCGCCAGCGCAAAGTCTGCGTACACACCATACCATACCTATCCCAAATCTCAATGACTTTTGAACATGAGAAATCTTCATTGCAGGTTTCATCACATTTGAACTCTGCTTTGCCACGTGCGCAGCATTTCAAAAAAAAATATGGCAAATTGTATTGTGTGCACTTAGTGCTTTACTCCATACGAGTTTTCATTTAAAACTTTTAGAGATACGTGAATAATTGCAAATTGTATTTCAGTCAATTGCAATACTAAGTTTAGCAATAAAAATTAAATAAATTTGTTTGTTTGTTGGTATCTAATTTACTTGACGCTTCAGAGGATTTTACCGATTTACAACTCGTAACAATTTGTAGTCAACCCATGAATAAGTCTAATCTTCTCTTCCTTATTAAATAAAAACCTTGGATTATAAAATGCAGCGATAAAAATTATAATTAGCAATCAATCGAAAAATTACTAGATATATACCTACAAGAAATGAAATTTTAGTGATTCGATTATGATTCAACATCAACCATAGAAAATATATAAACCATCACGATAACAATTTTACATATTAATAGTAACAAGCGATTTATGAAATCACACACATAATTCACGGTGGTGGTTCATAAACAAGAGCAAAAATGTGTCGATGGGCAGAGGAAAAGGGTGAAAAAGTCGAGGCATGAGCCGACCGCATGCTCTTGTTGCTGTATAACAGTTCCGAGCAAATATTCACCCCCCAAGGGTCGACGAAATGTCAGTCATGCCGACCGAGGCACTTGGGCTCTATAACTTTGCGCGCAGCTCGATCCGAAGTAGGTATATGGAAGAACGGCTAGGTCAACTTATACAGTATAGTATTATAGGACTCGGCTGTGTTTTGGTAGGGAACTTGGACGATCGAGACGCGCGGGCAGCTAAGTTATCATCGGCGAGTATAGTTTGCGCGACGTTCGCGAGTGTCGCGCTGCTCACTAACTTGCTATAGTATAGCTCCGCATAAAGTATAAGAGGCCAACAACTGAGAGCATTTTATATACGGCTATATAGCCAGAGGGGCCAGCGCCTGGCAGCAGCAGGCCTGCGTGCAGTCGAGACTATTTCAGTGTTGGTATAACTCTGCACGAGTCGAGTAGTCGAGTGCACAGCACGAGACTGGACTGCGAGCAGTATAGTGACTCAGTGAGCCCGGACTGCCGTGCCAGCAATTGTGCACTGTTTGCACATTATACACCACAGCTTGTATACCTATACATATATTTATATTTATATATTGCATCGTTGCGTCGAGTTTGTCGCGAACTCCCCAGTGAGAGTCTATTTGCACGGATCGACGTCGAAAAAGCCACACACGGATAATCGTGCAGTACAAGAAATCGCGAAGCTGAGCCAGCCTCGATTGAAGTACGCGAGCACCCAAATAGAGGCACGTATACTGGCACATCGTTGCAGTGTATACACACAAGTTGAAACTACGAGAGAGTCGGTCGGTCGAGCAGTGTTATAGCGACGCGCCAATAAGCGTTTGCAGCCCGCGTAATGGCCGAAAACAACGGGGACAACAATCATCAGCTGATGATGAGCAGCAACAACATGATCAACAATCACCTGCCGCAGCGTTGCAAGAATCAGTGGGTCAGGCTCAACGTCGGCGGGACCTACTTCCTCACGGCTAAAACCACCCTGACCCGCGATCCCAACTCCTTTCTCTGTCGACTATGCCAAGAGGACTCGGAACTCATATCGGACAGGGTGAGCTTATATTAGTTTACTTTCTCCTATTCCGCCTGTTGATCTTCGTCCTAGTCCAAATTTATGCATCTCGCGCTCCCTTGCACTTTGCTTGGCCTACCTACACGCGCAGGTGTGTTCATGCATCGATGCCTCTGTATAGGTGCATAACGTTGACCGCCGAGAATCCGCAAATGCATGGATGACTCGGTACATGAACTACAAGAAGTTTCTGTAGTCCGAGTATTGGCCTGTTTTGGTTCATATTAGGGGGTGTGTGTGTGTGTGTGTGTGTGTGTGAGTGCAATTGCACTGCTCCGTTATATAGCAGGCCGTGCAGTCGCGTGCCTTTGGCCACCCCCGCCTGTGGGCGATCTCGCCTCTCTGTGTACAAAATAAAGCGAGGCAGTTCCCTCGTGTCCCCTGCGCGCCCCTTCGCGCACGGCCTCCTGCTCCTCTTTTGCTTTTCACCGATAGCACTTGTCGACTCACTTGCTCTCTCTCTCTCTCTCTCCCTCTGCTATCACGACTCTAGTTCATGTACACACACACACACACACACATTCGGAGATCTACCCTTTACGTCCATCTGCCTGTATAACTTTTGGCCTATTTTTCTCTCTCTCTCTCTCTCTCTCTCATTCTTAAGCCCCCCCAACCACCGACTCTCACGCCCCAAAGCTCTGTCCTGCTCTCGTATACACACACACACACATAACGCTGAGCGAGCTCGACACTTGCATTCAGTACATTACACATGTTTACAATGTAACTGTATACAAAGTCAAGCAAGGCATGTTCTTTACATAAACACTGGCGTTTTTCGCATTTCTGAGTATTATATTTATGTCTAAATTTAGGACGATACTGGAGCCTATCTCATCGACAGAGATCCGACGTATTTTTCACCGATCCTCAATTATCTCAGACATGGCAAGCTCGTCATTAATAAGGATCTCGCTGAGGAGGGCGTTCTCGAGGAGGCCGAATTTTACAACATCACCGAGCTGATTAGGCTCGTAAAGGAAAAAATCATTCTGAGAGACACGAGACCCATTCGTGACTCGAAGAAACACGTCTATAGGGTCATACAGTGCCACGAGGATGAGCTCACTCAAATGGTTTCCACCATGTCCGACGGTTGGAAGTTTGAGCAGGTAATCCTTCTGCCGCGACCAATTTATTTCCTGCAAATCGCTTTTCCATCGACATCGTTTCATCGTTAATTATCCTTTTGTCTTTTCAGCTCATCAATATTGGCTCGCAGTATAATTATAGTAACGACGATCATGCCGAGTTTCTGTGCGTCGTCAGTCGAGAATACGGTCCGAGCCAGCTATCAGCCAAAGAACAAGAATCGACAGATCGCGTCAAGGTACCACCACCACTAGTACCCCGCTCAAATAATGCGCATTCTCAATCCAGCCAAACTCATTCTTCTAGTCTAGATTAAGTTTTAAGTTACTTTTTTTCTCCATTATTGATCGATTTGGCATTTTATTAATTCAATTGATTTTAGATTAATAAGCGTTCATCTATAAATTAATTTTAGCGTATTTCACGATATCAACTTCTCAAGTATTATCAAAGCTGTTGTTTTTATAATGATCCTTTAATTGCTTGCTTTCGGAATATCAACTGTAGACCAAAATAATGTGCCTAAAATTATGCTTGCAATTTAAATGAAAACCAGTCTTGATAGTACCATCATCTATAAACATTACTTTGCATTATTTTTTTCCTTGACAGGTATTAACAAATAATTAATAGAATTATTGTATAAATAGCCGAGATCGTTCTAAGCATTGAAACAATTTTAACTATAATTCTCGGCATATTCAGCACACATTCCTCACTCTTCCTTCCTCTTGAAAACGCGTTATACTACCACATACATACACGAAGAATTTTTATAGTTTTATATGCAGCCATTTACACAATCTCAATGATGATACATTCCACAGTTGTTACTAACGACATATCAGCACATATAATATTTTTTACTGTCAAATCAAACATTTTTGCTCGGGCTGAACGTTAATAAAACATTTGAATGACATTTTGATAAATCATGACTCACTATCATGGTAACAAAAAAAAATAATAATAATAACAAAAACGAATAAAAACTAATTTTTATTATACTAATACAAAAGCTCAGTTTGATGTGTGACAAAATGGATTTGCATTGAAAGAGTAATGATATATCCTGCATGAGCATGCCTTATGATCTAATAAATATAACGATTTATTAAAATAACAATTTATTAAAGAATATTAATGTTAATCGAACTTGTGCAGATAATATATATTACCGTGTATTTATTGTAACGCTAAAGCGTAAGGTGCAAAGTAAAAAATATCTAATTTAACGAATGTTTGAAAATTCATACACATATATTTTATTGATATACGTAAAAGAAAAGCGTAGAAATAAGAGAAAAAGATAGCATTATATTTGTGGAAGGCATACATGAGTAAGAGAAATATTGAACGAAAATAAAGTTGCATTGCTGCTCACAGAAAGCCATGTAGTAGTTATTTATTTTTATTAATTTCTACGGTTAATATATCGGGTCACGCCGAATTTAATTGAATCGTCAGCACATTTATATAATGTATTTTTAATACCTTTGATAAAAACTCGTTCACTGCCTTCGCAAGGCTCAGTTGACGTAAGTAATCCCCAGCAAATAAATACGATTTTTTGGGTATCGTTTGCGCTCACAGGCCGATACACGATACAGCATCGTAAACAGCGTCGATGATATCGTTCTCCGCTGTAATGCTTACATTTATATGCCGTGCACCCTTTCATTTTTGTACATATCATTCATCGAGTTATAAAATGGCTATCATTCAGCGTCATTCGACCCGTAAAAAGTTGCGATCACTTGATATAAAAAAAAAAAAAAGAAAGAAATTTGCATGCCCAATTGTCGTCTGTCTGACATTATGCTACTTGTTCTCTGGTCCAGGTACTGCAGCAAAAAGGCTCGCGCATGTAATATACGAGTCGGCTACCGGCTATCTACGGCTGCAGCTCGTGCCTTCCTCGACTCTGGCCGCTCATCAAGAGGCTCGCGGCCCGCAAATCCAGTCAACTCGCCGGCCTCAGCACCAGGATCATCGCGCGCGACAACGACGACGTTCGCCGTTTTCGACAACAGCCCCTACGAGCCAGCTCGCAAACAGCCAGTTCGTCATTCTGCTACTTCTACTACTATAGGCAGTAATCAAGACAACTTCATCTTTTACATATAACATATAATATCAAATAAATATACATACACACGTACACAGACACACACATACGCGGGCGCGCACACGTTACCTTTATACATTTGCGCAAGACTGGACACGAGTTACTTACGTATACCACTACCACCTACACCCTAAGTTAAAGTTAATTAATTCATTATGTATACATTTGGATATTTGCCACTTATATTTCACGTCGTTCCTGTTATTGTTGTCATACGTATCACGCGTTATTTTTCGTGCATTACTCGTTTTAATTAGCCTTTTTATACTTATTGGACTTATGTTGTTCGTCCGTTCGCGTTCAATGCGCGTCAAATACGTAGCTTTATCGACGTCCTTTTATTATATTATTGTGTATATGAATAGATAGATATCCATTACATAAAAGATGTGTGCCAGTCATAGATCGTTTGTTTCTCTTTTGTTACATAAATATATTTATATAAATTTATTGATTATACGAATATGTACATAGTGTCAAGTAGCAGTTACGGCTTGTACAATAATACCGGTTAAGAATCAAGAGAGGCGCGTGAATTTGCCAATGAAAGATAAATGCAAAGATATATAATAGTAATGTGTTGTAGGCAGGGTACATGTAGATGAGTTAGCTGCTGTTATTTTTAATTTACCTTTAATAGCGATTATGCACATATTCATTTTACAATAATTCATAATTTCGACTCACTGCTTTAGTTAAAGACTTTTCGGACCTGTGGCGAGGTTTACACACGCGTTTGTTGTAGTGTGTGCAGTAGTGCTTCAAGATGAGCATATTTATCCAAAGTACACTTGCAAATGAATAAAAACGGCGGAAAGCTTCTAGCACCATGCACCGACGTTTCCAATCGTGTTAAATAGTTTTTTAAGTAAAGCATCAGAAAATAAAACAACAAAAATCCTGCTACTTTTTTTCGTTCGTACTTTTTCTATTACATCGTTCTCGTTGATGCACAAAGACGATATTGCATGTACACGTACGTAGCGCGTGCGAGAAAGGCCATATGTCCAACGACCCTGGAGAAAAAGCCACTGATCGATAACTCCAACTGAAGACCAAATTTATACAAATATTATATACAAACATAAAATACTACTTGGGTTACAAACGGTTAAGCTTTTCACTCAAATTTGACATCTAAGATCTAAGATATATATGTAATAAATATATACGTCGTATGCATCGAGTACACAAACGCGTGCTCGGATTCTCTTTATAATATCCATTTCCTACCGTTTATAAGTTATAATTATTGTATACACATAGTATTTGAATACTAAAAAGTATGTTCGGATTTTTACCTTGGACTTACATTCATATGGACATTTTTTAAACGTACGATCGGCGAAAAAACAAGCTAATGTTGATACGAATTTTTAAAAAGTATACATTGAAAAATAAAAATTTTTTAGTCAATTTATCGCGTACATGAATCGGTCATCCTCTCGCTTTCTCTGTCTCTTTCTTTTTGTTTCTACATATGCATAACTAAAAACGTACAACTACTGCTTCTTTGCATAGGTGCGTTAAAAACACACACTTACAACAATCAATAATGGGTAAAAGTAATTGTAATTCAAGTATACTAATGCATATATTATATGAATACACACCTTGTGCACTGCCGCCATGAGAAAACATAATTCTATTATATATATTTAAGTATAAATATAATATATAAATATTAGATTTTATGAATTATGTATATATATAGAGAAAAAAAACATATAATTATGCATACCAACATCGTCGTCCTCCACCTATAGAAACAAAAAACATTATATTAAAGTATACAAATACATACGTTCAAAGGAAAATTTTTAAAAAAACGTAGAAAATTGAGGAGACAGAAAGCTCGTAAGCGAGTGCCAGCGATTTTAAACATAAATGTCCATTACAAAAGTCACAGCGAAATGCATACATTATCAAAATACCGTTGCATGCAAAAATGAGCGTGTGCAAGTAAAAATGTTAAAATGTGCACGAGCTTGACTGAGTTTTTTGTTCGAAAAAATATAACATAAACATCATTCGACGGTATCATGCACCAATTTGACGCGTAAGCTGTCAATGGAAGTATCGGAGCACCGATTCATTGCTTTCTTTCTCCTTATCTTCCTCTCTCTCTTTCTCTCGACAAATGTGTAAAAAAATAAGTGCATTTTGTGATATACGCGCTAGCATATGTATATGAGCGCAAACCTGTAATACTATATAAATAGAAACAATATGTAAATCTGTAAGTGCGAATGTTATCGAGTTCTATAAAATATAGACTCTGCATGACTTTTGCGTCCGATATATAATATGAAGCGTTAAACGAAGAACAAAATGGTTACGATAAGAAAGAATAAATAAAAATACGAAACCAAGAAAAACAGAAGACTCTCTATTAAATTACAAAATCTCGCAAAGCAGCTTGTATATATAATTAAATTATATGCACTAGGCTGATACTTATTTACCAAGTTACTAACAATTTCGTTTCCTTGATTTTTATCGATAATTTATCATGAAAAACTATTATACCTACTAACTATTATACTCTTTAAAAACGGTTTAAGGGAGGACCAGTGCTCGAAAATGCCCATTTTTAAAAAAAGTCTTTTGAAAAAATTCACGCATATTCTTTGACTAATTCTTTGAATTTTTTTTCTCATTGGTTTCTGATAGTGATAAAAAATATCAACAACTAAAAACGTGATTTAAAAAAAATTTTAAGAAAAATCCAAGTTTAAAAAGACCACGTTTTTATTGCTTACAACTTTTTATCTCTAACAGAAGCGACTTGAGCGAAAATTGCACAGGACAAAAAATTATTAGAATTAGTCGCAAAGCGTTGTGTGCCTTTTTTAAGTCATATATAAAAATGACAGTATCAAGCATTGACTCCGCCTAAACCTTTTCTTAAGTTCTATAATAAGTTGCATCGTGGTTTTTCATATTAGACTGTCGATTATCAACAAGGGTTCGAGATTTTTTTAGCAACTTAGAATGTAAGTTCCACCCCATTATGCATATATGCAACTGTTTCTATCTTGGTACTCTAGTCTTGTATACTTACAAATCGATACATGTGGACAAGTGGTTTTGACTATTAACAAATAAACGTACAATAATGAACAAAAATACGCTGTATGAGTCATTGTACGGATAAGTACACGCAATCTGGACAATATATACATAATGTATGTTAAAGCTGCATCGCTCAATGCACAGAAATCAAGTTATTATATCTTTATAGAATATAGTTGATGAACATAAAATTAATTAACTGATTAGACATCTACGTGAAGTCATCGCATAAAGTGCATATAAGCATAAACCCATCCTGCATGACGTAATCCTGCAGGAGAAATCATGTCTCATGCGATTCAGTACATATACCAATCCATACCGCATTACAATAGTCTATTACTGCCCTAGGCCGCGAAAAACAAAATAATTCCCATATGCTATTCCTGCTTTGCTCTGCAGATGGGAAATAATCACTTTCTGGCCGCTGGTATTAAATAGGATTTATTATACCAAATAATTGTCATCATATCTATTACTAATGCGAGACAAATTCTATATCCTATAATTAATTAAAATCATTGAAAATGATATTGTAAAGCGACGTGCTCATTGTATATATATTTACATATATAATATGACAGCACAATGCATGCTGATGCCAGGAAACATAAGGGTCGGATGAAAAAAATAGAAAGATGTATAAGCGTATGAACTCGTGGAAAGATTGTCTTACAGCTTTGCAAATACTATGAAACTGGAAAAAACTACCATTTGGACAAATTTTTATTAGTTAAACTTGTTGTGAAATTACCTTATTTTTTGATTTACTGTATATTTTTCATACATGTACAATTTATCAAATTTTACTGGGTTATATATCAATATATTTCTTGGACTGTAAAGATATTAAGCATCACATTGAAATACAATTTACAAAGAGACTATGGAATCGTTAAGAAAAATGTTTATGATGGTTGTAAATTGTACTATGGAAATAAAGGTATAAATCCCCATTGATTAAATGGTATTTTTTATTTTGCTTAGCAAATATCCATACCCAATATAAATATTTTGAAAAATTAAAAATTTTTTCTGATACAGTATATAATAAATTTATATCACATATTCTAAGTATGCAAGAACATATGCATGCTTTATGCGCATATATAAATAATTGTTTATTTACACATATCTTTGTTCGCTAACCTTTTAATAACTATAGTTAGAAGAAAGCCTTTATCATGGCATACTTGCTATCGTTCTTAAAGGCTGATCTAAATACTTGGCCAAGGCTTGTGCTTTTTCTCTCAAAATTCCAAAGCCAACATTTTCTCTGGCATACAGGCAAAGTAATAAATTGGCAACTTCTGTGATCACGACTTTACCTTCCTATAATACAAAAATATTTTTTTAATCATAATCATGACATAAAATGTGCAGGTGTTGTCAAAATACTTACTGCACAATCCATCAACACAAATTTAAGTTGATCTTCTTTAAAGGCGTTTCTGCCATTTTTTTCATAAGCTGACCAGATATTACTGGTGATAGCAGCTGTCACTCGAGCATCCTTGTCACCATATCCACTGTATGCTAATAAACCACCATCTCTGTTTAGTAACCTGAGTAGAATCAGTAAAAATAGTTTTATGAATTTATAATCTATTAGTAAAAAGCTTTAAAATTCTAAATACTGTGAATGTTTGATTTTTGAAATAATAAAATAAGTTAAGAAATATGAATTTAAGGTTAAGGCTCACTGCTTACAGAGTATTTTCAATGCCACCAGTATTGGCTTGGCTCAAAACTTGTGTCAAAGCTTTAGGTTTGAGCATACTGAATAGTCAAAGCTTTTTAAAAGCTACTAGTAAAAATTCTTCAAAATTCCTCAATATTTTTGATTTGTTTATCACGTCGACGATTATCCAATGACGGATGAAAATGAGACTGTAGCAAGTTTCAAAAACCTACGCATGTAAAATATGAAAAAAAAACTTGTATTTCCTTAAGTGATACTTAAATAAAGACGGAGCTGATAAGTGACAAGTTAAAAGCAGAACAAACACATCCCTATGATATTTGATGCAATGTGATTGTCTGCTGATATTATGATTCATAGTTTTGAAAAAAGTTACGAGAGGGCATTGGTGGTAGGCCACTTGGGGGAGTCAAGAAAATGATGGAGATTTTGTCAAAATCACTTGCGGAAATGATCTCGGTTGACCTCATACTTATTTATAAATTTGAGACGAAATTTTGCCCACGTGTACTCAACCGTATAACGCAAAAAATACTCAGCTTTAATTTTTTGCAGTCGTCACGATCAGTGGTAAACAACGGGCATATGTAATTATTCTTCCAAAACTTTTTAATGTGAGCTATGTCAATTTAGTGATTTTAATAGAATGATCGTTTGTTGTTATACTTTTTATGGATAATAATAACTTTACGAGAAATCAGTCAGACAAATGTATGTCAAAATATCGCATATTCGCATTGGATTAAATTTGAATTATATTTTGAAATTGCGTCGCTGCGTAGGGCCGATCGGTGGGGGAGACTACATAAAATGAAACAACAGCCTCATGGCCTTACGGCGCGTGCGGAGCTCATTTCATCAGTATAGTTGACGTTGTTGGTAGAAAAAGCTTCCAACAATTTACATACTTTGACCGCAGCTGCTTTACGCACACGAACTGCAGAAGACGTAACGCATCTCCTTCTTAACGTAACCATGTGTAATAGGGCACAATTGCCTCCGTGCCCTGTACCTATATGCTTCGAGGAAGGCACAACATATCTTGTGGAATTTCCGAGTGTCATTCGCGGGTGGGAGACTCGTGGGCTTTTCGAAAGTGTCAGTAACGTCTTTGCTGGCATAAGCCAATGAGCCGTAGCCGCAGTATCACGAGTATACGAGATAATATAATATAGGTAATGAGCAAGAGGCACTAAGTGAAGCTGTTATTTATAAACAAAGAGACCGTGACGGTGGCTACGTCTCCGCGAGATGATGTCATAGATCGGCGGCCGTGCCGAGTATCGAAAGAGAAAGAGAGTATTAAAGCGAGTAAAGCTGCGGCGGTGCAAAACGAACATCTTGTGCCAAGTAAACACACACACGCGCGCATAACTTGTCTATAGTGTCAGTTGTATAAGGATGTCGTGTATGTGAGTGCGGAGTGTAATTACAAGTGTGTAGAGGCACGGCACTGCAGTCGACCCGCAGCAGTCGGTGCTCGGTCGGGGCGGTGCGTGTGCATATCGATTCTTACTTTATATACATTGTTATTTCTGCACTGCGCGGCGGTGGCGGCGGCGGATTCAGGTTATCGCGAGAGAGGCGCACACCACTGCAGACGAAAATCCGCGCCGCAGTTGCTCTTCGGCGTCGTTCGTTGTTCTCCGCATACATGTCCATCCTGTATATGAGCAATAATAGTAGCATATAGGCTCCCTACTCTCCTCCACGCTTATCGACACGATCGACATAGCGATAACGCAATAATCTTGATTTCGCCTTGGCTTATGAAAATTGCGCACGAAGGACTGGATTCGACCGCGGCATCGTGTCAGCATCATTGCCAATTTGTATAGCAGCAAAAACGGCCGAGCCTCAGCGTGGAACTAGTGAGTACACATATACCTATAACTTGTATCTTATGTACACTATATGGTTTGATGCTACACACCCAGCCAATCGTCTTCTATCTTGATCTGCACGGACATTTTTGAAACCCATGACCAGTTTGCGCTCGAATATTTGCTCGTTTTTCGCTGCTTTTCGTTTGAAATTCAAATAGCTTAAAACTCGTGCGCTAAGACGTAAATACACCGCACAAAGTGTCAAATAAATTACCATAAATTTTCTCAAAGTCGCTGCTCATTACAATTTTCGTGTGTGCTCGCGAAAACGAGCCTCGATGTAGCAATTGCCAGTGCCGATGAAAAAAGTTTCACTTTAATTGAAAGCGGTATGCTAGGCGAGATATCGCAATAAAGTAAAAAAACAAATTCGATACTCGTATTCATCGACACAGTCGCTCGTTCCGATAAGCCGTTTTTACAGCACACGCGGACTTTTGGCAGTCAGTTGCATTATTCGAATCGAATCGACTCTAGTCGAGAATATTATTTTTAGTCCCGATGGACGTGTGCGCTCGTCAGCGACTATTTTCTCCATACAAAGTCTCTCGATATCGTAAGTTTACTCGCTCCGTTACATAATTGACGAAGGTGAGTCGTATGGAAAAACGCGACGGGCAAAGGTGAATCGGCCTTGCGCCTCGGGAGCTCGATGAGAAGCGCCTCGATTACTATCGCTCGTTATTGTTAATCCGCTTATATGAAAATCTGCAGCACGTGTTCTCTCGTGAAGCGAGAGCTCGATTGATTGCCCTCGAATTTTTGCTAGTAAATTGCGCGCCTATCGTGCACGAGCTGCTTGAAAGTTTCGATCGATTGGCGCTAATATTCATTCAAATTGCACGTGTCTTTACCTAGATACGTGTATCGGATATAGTAGTTTATATTGGTAAACGCACCCGTTGAAAAATGTTATTAAATGCAAAAGTAGCGGAGTTGTAGGATCGATTGATTAGTTTTGACGTTCGAAAAGCTCGAGAGCTACAATCAAAGCTTTGCGCGCCACTTGCTTGTGCTACCTGTAGCTGCGTGGTAGGCATGTCATGTGCTCCGAATGCGCTGATTCTCGCGCCGTAATAGTCCGCCCGGCGGTTGTCACTTTCGCGGATCGGAGATAAGAAATTGCCACGAACGTTTCGTAATCGCTCGAGAGAGAGTGGGAGAGTAAGCACATCAGTTGACGTCTGTCAGGTGCTGCGGCCGCATCTCCGAGCAAAGTCTCGGACTCGGCGTTTATACGCATTGTAAAAAGACTCGTGAATAGTAATTGCAATGAGCCCTTTGTTTTCGCGTTTTACAGAGCGTTGCAAGCAGCGCACCGGCAGCGCCGAGCTGAACGGAGGAGGAGGCGGAAAGTCGAGGCGGAGACGCTCGCCGCCACCGCCGCTGGTGCTTTGCACCCGCATGGAGCCCCTGGCCAGCGGCATGTCGGACCTCGACAACAACGAGCTGCCGCCGGGGCAGCCGCCGCCGATATCCCTCGACAACCACAAGCCGTGCCTGCCCAAGACGGTGCCCATAATCGAGCACTACGACATCAGCGACCACGTGCTCGGCCTCGGCATCAACGGCAAAGTCGTCCAGTGCTGCGACCGGACCAGCAAAAAGAAGTACGCCCTCAAGGTCAGTAGTTGGCACGAGACAAGAGTCCTTTAAACGCTCTCTTGGCTGACTTCCTCTTCTTAATTTTTTTTGTGCACGTGCTTATCTGCGGCAAAAATTACGCTCGCACTTCGATGCCAGAGACTCAAATTTCGCACAGTCTTGTTTAACGATCTCGCGATTAGATAAGCCAGTGCCAAGTTTTTTTTGCTTTTGCTCATCGACGCGTTTCTTTGTATCGATGTTTATATGTATATCTGTAAAGCACGCGCGCGTGCACCAACACCTGTTGAGGCACTCTCGGACTTTGTGCGTATACTACATTGTTATGTATATGTAGGTGCAAAACACGCGTGCGCACAATGCGTCGCATGCTTCGATAGCTAATTTATGACCCTGCAAGATCGTAGCTCGTGTTTACGCAAGCTCAAAAACATCGTTTACTCACGCGGCTACATTGCCATTTCTTCGGATTCGCGCGAGAACCGTTGGATTGAATTAATCTTCGCTTGCCGAACGTTGAGCCAAAGTCAGACGATTCACCGTCTCTCTGAAGCAAGTTTTCAGTTTTTAAATTTTCAAGACTGAATTCGAGCGCATGTTAATGAGCGGGTTTAGGCTTCAATGAGTAACAATTCGTATGCGCGCACGAAAAGCGATCGATCAATCCGTATCAAGTTATGACTCAGATCGCAGCTCTCACTCTTGAGCATTGCGATGTAATGCTATATCCTTTATTATCTCATTATCGGGTAGCCTTTAATACTCGACCGGTCGATTCGTGACGCGCGTCTGCCTTTCTTCCCTTCTCGTCGATGTCTCTATATACTATGAACGACGAAAGTAACACTTTAATTCCGTAAACGCGCTCGATTATTTTTCTAAGGCTTCGAAATTCTATGTGCACTTTTCACTTGTCGCGTCGAGTATGACATATCAATTCATAAGTGAAATAATAAATAAAGAGAAGTGGCAGGCTTGATTACTTACTCAAGAAAAAAACGTTAATTTTAGCCTTGCTCGTCTATACGCGATTTATTTTCATCGTCGAGTGAGTTCTTAGTGCCGCGCGATTATTCGTGACCTGTAAAACTATCGATTTGTCGACAGAAAGACAAAGTGATAGAGAGAATATTCGACGTTGCAACTGCAATCGTAAAAATAACGAGGAAATTACACATAACGATCTGTATGCCTCATTGAATTTTATACGAAAATAACGTCCTTTCTTTCTCGGATGCGTAAAAAATTCATGTCTTTTTGGATCTTATAAACAGACACACAGTTTATACACGTACTATATTGGATGCGTTATTTTTACGTAGGTTTTGCACGATTGCGTCAAGGCTAGGCGCGAAGTCGAGCTTCACTGGAGAGCGGCGAGGACTTGCAAACACATCGTCCAGATTCAGGATGTATACGAGAACACATATGGTGGCAAAAAATGTCTACTTATCGTCATGGAATGGTTCGTATCATTTTAATTTAATGAAAAATTTTAAAAATTTCCTCTAAAAATGTATTCCTTGATTTAGTATGGAAGGTGGCGAACTTTTTCAAAGGATACAAGAACGGCAGGATGGTGCTTTCACTGAGAGAGGTAATTGGAAAAACTTTAATATTTTTCCTTACTCATCAGTTTATATTTAATTTATTACGGAGATTTGGAAATTATCTTAAATACCAGTTGTCTAAAATTTTGCTTTTGCTGTTTCAGAGGCCGCACACATAATGTACGATATATGCATTGCAGTCAAAAGTCTCCATGACAACAACATTGCGCATCGGGATCTGAAACCAGAAAATTTACTCTATACTCAACCTGGTTGGTATTTTCATTTTCTAATTAAACATATAATTATATCCGATTATGCCAAATAGTATTATGAAAACTCGTTTGTTCATTCGCAGACATGTTTGGTGTATTAAAATTGACAGATTTTGGATTTGCTAAAGAGACCAGTTTGAAAGATTCTCTACAGACACCTTGTTATACGCCCTATTACGTTGGTAAGAATTGGGAAAATATTTTGATACTTGTTTATCATCAATTCTATACTACAGATTAATTTATATTTTTTCTTACTTACTCAGCTCCTGAAGTGTTAGGTCCAGATAAGTACGACAAAAGCTGCGATATTTGGTCAATGGGTGTCATAATGTACATATTGTAAGTAAACACATTTCTATGAATTTCCAATCGAACGCACCTCTTGCTAAATTTTACCAATACAATTTCAGACTGTGCGGCTTTCCACCGTTCTACAGCAATCACGGGTTAGTCATATCACCAGGTATGAAGAAACGTATTCGACTGGGTCAATACGAATTTCCAGATCCCGAATGGACCAACGTGAGCGTTGACGCCCGCGAACTCATCAGCAAGATGTTGTGCGTCGATCCACTGGAACGCATCGCCATCGACGGCATCATGAAAAACAAGTGGATCGCCGTAAGTTTCAACGTCGTGAATACGCTCGTTAATTGTTGGGTTTATCAATTGCCTATTTCTTATTTGCAGAAACACACGGAAGTGCCAGCAACGCCGCTGCACACTGGCCGCATGCTTCGCGAGAGCGAGGAGACCTGGCCCGAGATACAGGAGGAAATGACGCGCTCCTTGGCGACGATGCGCGTCGACTACGACACGGCCAACTTGAAGCAGCTCGACAATACCAATAACGCCCTGCTCAATAAACGCCGACGTGCCAAACAAGAGCTGACCAAAAAGTCCCTCCAACCAGCTGAAACCACCGTCGTGAAAACTAGTGCCTCCTAGGACATAGCCAAACTTGCGAGACTCATCGATCACATGTGCCCTTGACTCATCTCCTTCGAGCGGACATTGTTCAATAATTATTTGTTATTGCCAAATACATTTTATTGTCTATACTTTTTGCAATGTTGACGCATGACGACTCGTGCGGTGGAACGTATCGAGTATTATTGTGCCTATGTAACTATTCTTAAGAAACTCACCTAGTGCAATCTTACTGAAAACAAAAACTGATAATCTATTAAATAGACTTTACGAAAACTTCTATAGTCTGAAAGCTTCAAGAAACAAGTCATTATATATATAAAATATATATAAAATATATGTAAATTGGTATTTTGGCAAAGGCATGTCTTGCAATTCAATCGTGTAATTATTCTATATCAAAATATCTTGATTAGGACAATAATTCATAAACTCTTCTTACTTGAAAAATTGAAAAAAAATATATATATACCAAATGCACTACAAGTATGTTCAATACATAAAATGTATCAAGACTTGCAAAGACAATTGACAATTTTAAAACAGTCAAATAATTTATTATTCGGCTGTGCGTATCAATAATATAGCAACCAACTGAGATGCTCAGTTCATAACTCAATCACGATTCACGATGCAGAAGTCATTGGTCTGAAAGTAGGACTCACTTCTCGTTTTATGAAGCTCAAACAAAACATGTCGTACGTGCAAGTGTTATATTGTTTAAGTTAGTGTTTGTGCTATAGCAAATGTTGAGACAGATGAGGGTCGCACTGGCGCTTCATAAAAACGCCAAGCGAACGACTCGCGCCGCAAACACTCGAGTTGCCATTGATATACTCTTACGTCTGTAGCCGACCGCACAAAACAATAAAGTAGCCGAATGAATGGCGAATATATCTCTTGATATTTTAAAAACGGTACCGTTCGCTACGACGACTCGATGTCTTTTTCATATTTATGTCTACAGGGGGTGAAACGAAGAAAGTTTTTCTATCTAAAATCGCACGTAGGGGGGACAGGAGACACTCGGTGTATAAGTACAGCTCCTGTATTATGTGATTGACTCAGTGCATTGTAATATTTTGACTTGTGAGCGCATGTTTGCGTGTATATTTTTTTTCTCTACACGACTTTGTTTTTAAGCGAGTAAAATGCATTTTTGGCTGAAAACGCCCCATATTCTGGTTAGAAAAATTCACCTAATACATATTAAATCGTTTTACCGTTATTGATCGTTGAGAAACAGTGTTGCGTTTTAAGAATAAGTTTTAAAATTTGTGTTGTATGAAAAAATGTCAATTAAAGTTCTTAGTAATATAACTAATTATATGAACAACAGTATTTTATAAATGCTAATGTGTATTAAGACGCTGATACTTATACATAAAAGAAAGTGTCCCTTAGTTTACTTTTAATTTTTTTGCTCTACCCATTCTCCTCCCCTTGATAGCCCTAATATATCATAAAAGTCTGGTGGATTCTTTTATCAACATTAAAAACTTTTTTTGTAAAACATTTTATCGTACAGTGCTTACTTTTCGAGTTAAAAAATTGCAAAGTTTTCAAATGAATTGAGTTGCATTAATATTTCGAGTTTAACATGGAAAAAATTTTTTGAATCGATAAAAAATTACGCCAATATTTTTTCAGAATTTTCGAAGTCATTTTTTTAGGGATCCAAAAATATATCCAAAAAATCCAGGCGCAGTCTTTGATCAGTTCTAAGTAATTTTTTGTGTATAATTTTTTTAAAGTAGTTTCTTTTCAAGAGCAAAAAATAAATAAAATAAAGGACACTTTCGATAGATATATAATTTCACGTTAACGAAATATTGTCTATTGATGTTGTTATTATCGCTGAACTGAACAGTAGCTATGCTAAAATCTACAATTTAGGTAAATTGTTGCAAACCAATCGTAAATGTGCGGTACTCCAAGCATGTATTGAATTCAAGTAATGAACTATATTGTATGTTAAAAGTGTACAAAATTGGTATTTTCATCGATTAAAAATTAATTTTTGAAACAAAACATGAATACTTTTTACTTGCAATTATTGAACATTATGAAAATGAAAATGATAAATTGTTGGATTTAGGTAGTGGGCGTGACTTTGCTCATTGCCGTGGCGGAGTGCAAGCCCTGGGAAAACACCAAGCCTTGCAAGTACTGGTGTAAAGAAGGTAAGCAATATTACTGCTGTCCAAGTGGAAAGAAAAAAAAATCCTTGTGGAGCTGGAGCCTGGAGGAGATGATGGACGACTCGTGGCTCTGGACCACTACTCCGTGGATCAGCTACCTGCTGCCGGTGATATTTCAACGCTCGTCATGGTCACCGGCGAAACCGATGCATCATCCCCCGTTGGAGCACGCAGTGGCAGAAGAAGAAGAGGTCGTCGAAGAGGAGGTGAAGAAATCTTGCCCGGAGATACGTCCGTCTTGCCCTCGCAGTCTCTACGAGTGGTCAAAGCCCAAGCCCTGCGACGGAGACGACGAGTGCGATGGACACCTGGAAAAGTGTTGCTACGACGTCTGCCTCGAGCACAAGAGCTGCAAACTCGCGCATTTTAGTTGAAAAATGTTAATCTTTGAGAATATAATATTATTTTTTTTGTAAATTTGCGTAATTAAATTATAAATTTTACTCGACATGTAAACATAGTTTTTGTTCTCATCATATAGTAACGATGATTGAATTACTTCCAACGAACTCGAAAAAGTTAAGTTAGTGAAATCTTGACTGGAAAAATGAGGTCAATTTAATCAACTCGTAGCAAGAGAGCTGGATAGCAACTCTAAGTGCATTACTTTGACCTTGCGAGCAATAAATTTGTACATTGATATTTTCATCAAATTGACTTTTCGCGATGGTCAAATTACTTTTAATTCCTATTAAATGTCCAATCAATTCATACATTTAATAGGATAATGGACGATGAGTAAATTCTGGGAATGGCGAAAACAAGCGAAAAGCTGTTCTGAGATTCAATTGATTAATTACTCCGCAGACGGCTGTGCTTATATATTATACGAAGAAAATCAATCAATCGATGCGTACGAAAAGCTGCAGTTTGCTTCGAAACGGGACAGATGCAAAAGGTATTAATTATGTCCGGTTGAAATTGTCCGTCACAAAAGCATTTGCGGGCCTAATGTATACAAGGTAATATTACAGACATGAGTAAGGGATGAGCTTTGCACGAAATAACTGTCGAATTTATACGCGAGTACTTGTCATACATAATAGCGGCGCTCAAAGTGTGTCATGCTCGTTCTGTATACTGACTGTAGAAGTACATAGTCATACACATGATAGGCTCGTTAGGCAGAGAGAGAATCAAGGAGGAAATGTAGGAAAAAGCATAATATCGAGTCATTGAACGAAAATCGAGCGAAGCTAATGTTTTCTATTTTGTCGATCGGGAGATTCGAAGCTCAGCTAAGGGTCATGTACTCGAACTAAACTGTCTATAGAGCATTGGTCAGGCGCAGTAGTTTTGCAATTGGGAATAGCTGGCCAGGATTTTCGGCAATAAATAGCCCAGCCGCACGAATGGTCGAGCCAAGTATATAATACGATATCGATCATGAAGGTAAGTCGACCCGCAGTAAACGAATTCAATAATAGTTGACGAGAGCACGAAAAGCTGCATATAGTAATGTACATAGAGGGATAAAAAAAAAGTAAATGTACATATACACGCAGGTATGTATAGTAGCTGCGCGCAAGTATCCTAACAATGAGACCGGAGCGGCGGTGGCGGCGGCGTTAAGCGGCTGTATGTGCTGCGAATCTGCACTCCGAACGAGTATATATACAGAGAACGGAAGTGAGTCGCGACGTCGTCGTCGTCGTCGTCGTCGTTTCGTGAGATTCCTTTGCACGCGAACGCGAAGCGGAGAAAGAAAGAGAGAGAGAGAGAATGAAAGGGCACGCGCGCGAGCAATAGCTATTGGATGCAGCTCTGAATTGCCGACGAACTGAGACTCTCGAGCGCTCGCTACACACACAGCCACAAATCTAAGGTATATAAACCGAAACGCGTTGAGTGAGTAAAAGAAAGAGAGAAGCTGAAACGCGTTGGGACTGGTTCGAAGAGTGTATATAGCGGAAGGAAAAAAAGGCAGCCAAGAATGGAATGCGAACGCGTGAGTGGAGGTGAGCTGCGCCCCTGTATACTGCGCGTGTACATATATATGCGCCCGTGAGCTGCTGCTCAGCTGCCTCGCTCGCTTTCTCTCTTTTCTCAATGAAACGCACTCGTATATACTATATATATAATAGTACGACGCATCGCGATCGGCAACGATTATTACTCGCTGGATGGCCAACCGTTATGCGCACGTTATTGCGACCGATCGGTATGATTATGAATTATATTCACCACTTAAGGGGCTGTCGAGGCAGTCGATGTTTCTCTTTGACGGGTCAATCGATCGATATCGCTCGATGGGCATACCGATAGGGCATTTTCGGCCCTCGAATTTTGCGACTAGAAATCGATCGCTCGTCATCCGCGCGGTACATTAGAAGTAGAAATCCATATTCGCGATAACGATCGAACGGGGCTCGGAATTTTTCCAACAGCTCCTCGATGCACGACTCGCATTCGCATATATATACATATAATAAATTGAAGTAGTTCTCGCACTCTATACTGGCGAGACACAGGAGCAGCGGTGGCAGTGGCCAGGGAACGACTCGAGTGCGATTCGCACACCTAAGAGAGAAAAGTACACTGAACCGCGGCTCTCCTCTATGCTCGCTCGCTCGCACAAAGTCTCTCTCTGTCTCTCGCTCACTCAGAGCTCCTCGCATGTTTATGTATATATACACACACGTACTCCTCCGAAAGAGGGAAGAGAGGTAAAACCGGTATACCGGGATGGCCTGCGCCTTTATGCGCTGCACCATATGGCACCCATGCGTATAGCAAAGTGTATGTGTATACGCGTATTATACACTCGGGGCTGCTTGTTCATTTTGCGCCGCCGCTCCCATCGATCCTGCCTCTGCGCACGCACACTTACACAGGGCACACATGTACGCATTCACTGATGAGTTTTTCAAGCACATAAAAATCACCTTTATTTATAGCGCTCGATTCTTTTCATTTAACATCCTACCTGTACGTGCTTTATTATTGTCTTTTATTTTTATTTATTTTTTGTTTTGTTTCTCTTCAAATAAATCGGTACCTTGTTCTCTACTCTACTCGCGGAGAATCGCGATAAGATAAGGAATATTCGCATTCGCCGATCATCATCGTCGTGCGCATTTAGTCATTTAGTCATATCCGAACAAAATCAATGAAGCAACGAGTACATCGAGTCCACTTGAATCTTTGTTTCCAATTCTTCGAAATAATTTTTATCGGCCCGACGATAATTTTTTCATTTCTCTACGGGAGTCGTAAAGTGCTCCTCGTCAAATATTCATCTCTCAACCGAGATCCATACTTTCGCAATATATTATCGCCACTACTTCATAAAATCGCTGTACATCAAAGACGACTCATTAAGAGGTGTTTTTTCTTTTTTTCTCATTAGCTAAGTTTTTAGCGAAAAATGAGCGCTCGAGTGATGGATAAATTTATTCGATAAACAATAGCAATGAGAGTACCAGCTATCGAGAGATCAATCGAATAAAAGAGAAAAACGCATAAAAGCGCAAGAAGGAAAAAGAAAAAAGGAACACAAGTTGGACTGGAGTTAATTGGTTGAACGAGTTCGAGTGCCGCTCGTTTCTTTAGCTGCACTTCATTCATGCGAAAAGTACGGATCGAGGCTGCTGCCGCTAACGCGCGACAAAGAGAGAAAGTAAAATAAGGTATCACCGATGGCGTGCGGCGATGCTCGCGCTCTCGAGTCCCAGCTGCATTCTCATGCCAGCTCTTCTCTTCTCTCTCTCTCTGTATATATAAATGGAAATGCACATCGTCGCGCATAACGTTGACTTCCGCCGCGGCTCAACTCAAAAATTGACCATCCAAAATGAGAGAGAGAGAGAACAAAATGCAGCCAAGCGCATCCGAAGCGTATAGAAATTATTCAATGCAATGATGCAATGACGCGATGAGGATGAAAAATGAGAATAAAATATATAAGCGAGCGAGCGTGATCGGACGGGCCGAGGAAATTCGAGCCGTTGGCATAGCTGTTCTCTCTCTCTCTTTGAGATACACTTTTGCGGCTGCTCTCGTGGGTGGCTATAGTACAGTGGCTGCTCCGTACACGAAGGTACATTCGAGCCGGAGTGTCGCTTTTCGCGGCGGCGAACATAGTTTCGTGCAGTGCACGCCGAGGAGCAACTAATCGCGCACTTCCGATCGTCAATTGTACACGCCTAAGCACGCGGTGTGTATAATGGGCTATACAGGTAGGCGAGCTGCGTCGGAGCGGCTTATTTCTCTTGTTACGCGTGTAAACTTGAATTGCAGCGCGTCTCGTAGATAGGCCTCCTGCGTATTTATGTATTATTTGCCTTTCCGAGGCGAGTTCACACGCGCGCGCGCTCGCCGGTGACTAATTAAAACTTGCTCGAGTATTTGTCACGTTTCGTAATTAATGGCCACTGGCGATGATTTCGTCATGCTACATGTACGCGCGTTCGTTGTTTCAACTCGCTCGCTCGAGACTATAATATCAAATGAAATCGGTTAGCGCGTATCGTCGGACGCGTGGCTGTGACGAAGCACTCGAAGGCAATTCGAAGCACGAGCCGCGCGCGATTCAATTAAAGCGCAATCTTACATTAGTCAACGAGCGCCTTGCGCGCTTTCGATCGATTCAAAAAGGAGAACCTAATGTCAAGATGAAAGATAAAAGCTCGGACTAAGTGATTAAGATCGGACTGGTGCATTATATAGGGCGCTGCTCGAGATAAAGAGAGACAGAAAAGATATATAAACGAAAAGCGAGGGGTGCGCAGACAGGCGATACAAAAATGCCTTTCCTATTCTCTCTCGTACGCGTATAGACTGTATATATACACGTAAGCCAGTTAATGCGCACTTTTGGGAAATTACTCCGTCTCTCGTGTCTCTTTGCATCGTCGTCGGTTTGTTTGCTCGCGCGCAATATATATATATATACATCGCAGGGGCTGTGGCTGCGTTTCACCCTCGCTGCGCGCGACGCGTCCATGGCTCGGAAGCTCGCTCGGCGCAAATTTATACCTGCCAGTGTATTGCCTCCCTCGCACAAGTATATAAGTATATAGTCTCGTTGTGTATATACGCCTCGAGCAAAAGTTGGCAGGCAAAAGTTTTCAATTTTATAGCGTGGCGTGTGCGAGCTTGCGTGTGCGCGACTCGGAAAGCCAAGGAGGGAGCGGTACGCGGCATTGGTATAGAAGGGATGGATATGGTAGGCGTTTTGCTGCTTATATTACAATATTATCTCTCTGTGCTCGTCGAGTGGCGCTTCGCGCCGCGCATATACGTATAATACGTATCGCAAAATAGCTCGTGAGAATCGGCGCGGACTTGACCCTCGGTGACGCGTTATACCGGTCTACCGTACCACGTACACGTCGAGTATAATATTGCTGTAAATAAGCTATGGCTAGGTACAAGCATGTATCGGAGACGAGTACGCAGGTGTTGGTGTCAACAATAACACGCATCAGCTGACGCGCAGCTCGTGTTCGTAGCCGACACGCTCAGCTGCAGCGACTACGAGCTTATCCTGTGATTTACGTTATACATTTGAGAGAGGACGCGACGAAATATGCGGGCGTAACGCAGCTCGTCCATACTTGCGTCGATTTCACGAGTTTGCAAAAAAATAATTATTGCCAATTGTACCGCTAAAAACGTAATATACAGAAAGTAACCATTGTGCCTCGATCCGAATCTCAAATAAAACAATTGTGTCGGGTGCGAGTCGACTTTGTATCAGGAGCTCGCGACGGGGGGTGCTCGACGGCAACCGATCGCACACCATTTTTAGCCCAGTTCTGTAGGGCTACGTATACGTGACACACGAAAAAGCTCCAAACTCTCAATTAAAGTCCAAAGGTTTGTATTGAGCCTGCCAATGATAGTAGCTGTAAAATCGATCGATGGTAAATAAATGGCGATGCATCAAAGCATCCGCATCTTATAGATATTATAAGTACTGTTTTAAAATAAAAAAAAATTATTAAAACACATGCCTACCTATATGCGAGTGCAGAGCTAGCGCAGAGATGAATGGGGGGCGCCGTCGAGCCTTGGAGCGTGTGCGTGCCATGCAGCCTGTATACGTGCACACGCGGATGGCAAACGCCGCGGGAGTAGGGATCGTATACAGCGATCTTGGCTGTTGGCGCGAGCAGCCGCAGCGACTGCGGCGGTGGTGGTGGCGGCGGCGGCGGTGCTGCTGCTGCTGCTGCTACTGCTAGTGGCTGCCGCGACGATATAGGTACGCGCCGCTTCGAGTGTCTAGTCGCTCTCGGGCTGCCAGCCGACTGCCGAGCTTTCAGTCGCTTATACTCGAGCTCTCCTATATTCCAGAATCAAGCGATACGCACGCTCGACCGATACAAGAGTGAAATTCGCGATGAGATTTAAAGCTCCTAGCGTTGCACTCGTTAGCTGTGTGATCGCGATCGTCTAATCGTCAGGCGTCGATCGTGCGATAGTTCCTTGTTGTTGTTGTTGACAGTGCGCGCGAGTCCGAATCCGAAGAGGAGAAAGAAAAAAAAGGTATACAGAGCGCGCGCCTCGTCCGCCGCTCCGAGTGCAAAGTTCGAATGAGCGAAACAAGTGATAGCTGCGCTTCTGCCGCTGCCGCGACACCTCGGCCGGAATAACATAAAGAAGAGCACGCGACAGCGAGGAGGCCCCAGCAGACGACTCGGCGTTTTCGATGCTCGCTACGCCGTTCGAGCCAGTAATCGAGGCTGGAGCAGCAGCAGCAATCGGCGATTCCAACGAAACGCACTGCCTACATCGCCAGCCGAGTCGTTTCGTCACCGGCTTATAGCACTTTCCCATCCAGGACGAGTGCCCCCGGAGCAGTTGAGGCCTTTTTTCCCAATTGGAGGGCGCCCCGAAAATGCTCGGCTCGACGACCTCCTCGCTTTTGTCCTGCTGCCTGCTGCTGCTGCTATCTGCGCTGCTGCACAGCTCTACAGGTGAGATAAACACTGCATCACGTCATTTACCAAAATACACAACTATGCATAAATTAAAAAAAATATCATTATTATTATATTTTACGTGCGTAAAGCAGTTGCAGACTTGTATATCGTATTAAGTTCCGGTCGTGCTCGCGACTCGCTCTCTCTCTATAATGTAATATCTTCATCCCCCTGCGAATGTGGCGAGGATGATTCATTCGACGTCTCATGACTTGTACGTTCTCCTTCTTGTACGCGTGTATACCATATAAAATATCGTCTAGGCCGTATCGGCTTTCGGCGACTGTCCGGCCTCCTCCGGCTCGTGCGTCGGCATTGTCTCGTATTTTATTGATAAGATAGCTGGCTGCAGCCTCGATACCGAGCCTGACGCGCTCGCAGGTGTCGAGAGAAATAACGCTCTCGTCAATGGCTAAGAGATAAAATTACTTCATCGTTGATCTTTTTGGGAAAGTAATTGGGCCAATTTTCACCCTATCGCGTGCACGCGTACTCGAGCAATGGGAATGGGGGGCCATGGCGTGGTATGGCTCACGAACGATGCATTCCGAGTCGGCGAGGGGTATTTTGTCGCGGCCCGTGTACAGGTGGAACTACGAAACGTGCCTTTTCCAAGCTGATCGATCAAACTTTTTATTCGAGCAATGTGAACCTCGTGAAACGGGATAAGAAATGTATTACATGTTTAGGAGAAGCCGACGATAACGGTAAAACAACATAACTCGGCCGCCGCTGACTCGATATTATTATTTTTCTACACATTGTTTCCGTATATCGCATCGGCGCGCAGCAGTACTTCTTATTCGCTTTTCTTCCGGTCTAGATATTGCGAGTCGCATACACATATATATGTATATAGATGCGTTATGTGCTGCTAGTCGTCGCCGCCGCCGTCGTCGCTGTCTCGTTTCTCGGAAGGATCGCGAGCGCGTGTGAATTTTACGTCTTGCGTTCGCGCGAATACCGCAGTCGTAGCGGGAGGTATTATACGACTATAACGACAATGATGATGGTGATGATGATGATGATGATGATGCTACATGCTATACGCGCACGCATTGCCATTCACTCCAGTCCATTGAAACTTGCTTCCTTCCTCTTTCTTACCTCTCTCTCTCTCTTTCTTCTTCTTCTTCTCGCGCAGTTTACCCCCTTATATAGTTGCCTCTCTGTCTATATACTCCGGCGCGCAGGTACATGCTTGGTCGTTTCGCGTAGCTATATAATATTCGAGGCAGCCTTTCATAGCGCAGTTCCGACCGAAATTATCCCACTGGCCGAAAAAACGAGTTTCTCCGCGGTCGGCATGCACAACAGCAGCCGAGCGCAGGCTTACACATAATTTATAGGGTTGAAGTTTGCTCTCTCTCTCTCTTGCTCTCTCTGGTCCTCGACTCGAGCATGCGCCGGCCGGCGGCCAGCACCGTAATTTTGCTCCTTTTTTCCTTGTATTTATTTTGTATTATCCTCTCAAATTGATGATGATGAGTCTTTCATTCGCTTCCTGCCGAGATCCTGATTTTTCTTTCCTTCTTTGTATACACACACACACACAGACACATACCAAAGTCCTACGCATCGCGGGCTCCTATATCCTATCCTATACAGCATCAGGACGTTTGCCTGCATTTTTCTCTCTTTTTTTTTCGTGCTTCTTCGAGTGGAAGCCGAGACCAAGACAGAGGAGATAGAGAACGAGGAAAAAAGATGAGACTGTTGAGATATGTATGGCCGGTGATGAAGCGATCGCACACTCTCTCTCTCTCTCTCTCTCTCTCTCTCTCTGCGCCCGACTGATTTCTTAGCTTTTATATAAACACACTGTCGTGCGCACATAAGCAGACGCACGCGCGCATGTATACATAAAACACATACGAGAATTGAATAAAGAATAAAGAAAGGAGTGACGAGCGAGTCGTCTTGAAGTGAAACATCTCGAGACTCTCGCATACAATGAGACGACTGTTTGCAAGCCACTGGCATCTTGTCTATTGTTGTACGAACTTGAAAATATTCCACTCGGAACTCGAACCTGCCCCTCGTTATTGACGATTCGATTAATACGCAACGGGCGTAATTATGAAATTGGTTGCATTATTTGCAACGCCAAAAATGTGTATGATGAATTTCTCAAGACGAGATCGAAATATCGCCCCGAGCAAAGCCGAGTCGTTTAAAAAGAAATAAACATCGATCGGTCTTTCCATTCTTTTAGAGTCTGTACCGTAGAAAAAAGGTTCAGCTATTACACTTGTTGTTCAAGCCAATGATTTATTGTTTAAGTTGTTTATTTCAACATTAGAGCTGATTCGAGCTGGTAGAAATTGCCCCTGGCAAGACCTTTGAGTTGCTTCGGGCTTCTATAAAAAAGCATTAGCCACGCAAAAATACACAATTAATAGGCTAGCTATTAAATATCTCGAAGCTCTTAGAGTCTGTGCGTTCCTTCATTGATTGGAAGCCTCGTTATTCGAAAAGTCCTTTTAATTTTTCTACCTCGCTTCTCGTTGCTCTCGTATTCGACAAGTCCTCAAATATAAGCGGCACTTGTTAATTTAGAAATTCCTTCGCAGTTTGGACTTTTTTTCTCACCGAGTACATCATACATAAGTAAAATAGTTTGTCCGTGTGTGTCCGTGCGTGAGGTAGGTGTATAACATGTATATCTGTGGCTTTGGGCAGCTTCTTTATTCGCTGCTGCTGCTGTCCACGTCGTCCTTCGATGCAGCCTCTCTTCCGGCGACTCAATACGCGTATAGGTAGGCAGGCTTCATTATGTTTTCGTTGCCCGAACTCCAAGTGTATACGGCTGTATTATGATGCCGTGGCCACATAAACATACATAATGCAGACGAGCTCTTTCTTTTTGCTCGTCACGTCCATTCATTCGCGTTGCCGTGTGTTACTTTATATACAGATCGTGTGTGCACACGGGCTGTTTTCTTTGATTCCGCTGCTTCTCCTGGCTGCGTCGTATAGTATAGTGGTAGTGGCGCATACCTTTCGAGAGAGGCAAAGATTCACTTGCTCGAAATGGGCGCACAGGTGTATTGTCTTGTTTTGGCCCTTTTCCGCACTCTCACGATCGTTACGCTAAGTTCTCATTGTGTGTCTGTATTTTGACAATCTTCGCTTCCTCGATATAACGAAGGATCGGTTCAAGCGCCCATCGGATTATTATTCGAAGATCGATCTCGACTCGAATGTATACATTGCATTTACGTTGCGTGCTGTATGCACCGCTAATGGCTCGAGGCTTCGATAGTTTCGTCACGAGCGACGTGCAGCGCGGTGAACAAAAAAGAAACACGCTGCACATGCCTTTATATCTATCCTATACGCACGAGATACGCGCAGAGAGGAGTGCACGCGACACTTTTTGCGTCGTCGTCGTCGTCGCCTTGAGAAGCAGCGCTCGACTTTCTCACGTTCGCTCGTTTACGCGACGCCTTTATTACTCTCATTTTTCTCCGCGCAGCTTTTATATTCATCCTTTTTTTTTAATCGCATTATGATACAAGAAGCCGCGTCTTTTTCTCATTCTGCTTCATTCGTTGACGTTGTTGTCATATCGCAGCCTTTGTGTCCAAACACCTCTTATATATATACGCGATGATGGGTATATAGGTATGTATAAGCTGCAGCGAGAGCTCGTGTAATAATGCCGCCGAGGCACCTCTAATCGTCGCGCATCGCCGTCGCAATATAGTCGTCCTTGATGCGGCTCTCGAGTGAACGTATACTCTTTCGGAACCGCCTGCGCCTCTCTCTGGTTGGGGCTCCTCGCTCTGTCGCTCTGACGCTGCTGCTGCTGCAACGCAGGCTGCATCTCTCTTATATAGCCTTTCCATTATACATCGGGCTTATTATTATTTCGCTCGGAGTGAAAAACAGAATGAGAGAACGAGAGATAAAAAAAAAGGAAAGAGAAAGGGAGAGATCCAATCGATTTGGGTAATTCGATTCGTTTATGCGGGATCGAAAATCGCCTCGCGTTCAGCTTTGACCGAACTACTGTTACGTAAAAAAAGAAGAAGAAGAAGAAATAAAGGCAGAAAAAGTAGAAGAGCAGGAGGAACGGAAAAAAAATCAAAAGAGGAAAGAGAAGCTGCTGCTAGGATCGCAGTAAACATCGCGTGGAAGCCAAATACGCGAAACATCCTCGCGAGAGGAAGTGGTATTATAGATGCTATTTAGTGGCACTACAGTGGGCAGGTGAAAGATCCGCTCGCACACATATAGCGTACGGATGGATGAGAGAGAGAGAGAGGCAGTCACGCACACGCCGGCTATAAAGTACGAAATGATGCCGGAGGCTCGCGGCCGGCCAGTAGCAGTATAGTCACCACAGGCGGTGGCGGCGTCGAATTGCTGCGGGGGGCGCTCCAAAGATATACAAGTTAGAGATCGAGGGCTGTGCTCCTCGTAGTAGTAGCGCGTGCGTGCCGTGCGTGACCATATCCCGAATTACCTGTATCCTATTGCGCGGATCCTGCACGTATCGACGCGATGCTCCGATATTGTAGCTCGCACGCACCGATCGTGTCCTCGTCGTCGTCGTCGTCGTCGTCCCGCACGCAAAATCGATCGACTCCTGTACTTCTGTATCAGCCAACGACTCGAGCTCGTTCTTCCTATTTTATAAAATAAAATATAACGCGTAAAAATATATACGAGCTGCCAGCCGAATGTCGACAATGGACTTGCGGACAATGCGTTAATCGAACGTGAGGCTCAAAAGTCCCTGTGCGGATCGCACACCTAGAGCGAATGTCATTGAGGTGCGATTTACGTGGAAATTACTCACAATTACGACGGCTCGGCTTTTCTTCGAGGCACGTACTTACTTTTTCGTCCTTTTTTCCCCCGTTTCCGACGAATCCCAAGTTTACCTCGAGCCCTGCGTTGCAATCAAGGAATAAAACAGTCCAAACGTTCAAATCACAGCGGATCCGAGCGCTATGCCGAGTGCCAAGGGAGAAAAAGAGACCACC